GGCATCAAAACGCATCAAACCCTAATAGAAATTTGTTTCTAAATGCCTCAGGAACCATACCACGTCGTCAAAGTGCCGAAATATTGCACTTTGCGTGCGCAGTATAATTGACATAGGCGGCTCATGTACGTATCGGAATGCTGACACAAAATAATTAATTACTCATTACCCGAACATTATTTATGAAATTTTATGATGGAACCATGTAAATAATGCATTGCTGACCATTCTTCAATCGTAAAAGTGCAGAAAATATATCCACAAAACGTGTAATTAATTATTGAAAATGACATCGTGTATACCGCTTGTCACCGTGGTTGGCCTTAGGTTATTAGTTAATAGCTAATTAATTTGATTAAAAATCTGAACAAATATGATACGAGAAAGTAGCTGAGGGATCACTGAACATTCTTTTATAATAAAAGTGCATAAATTGTGTTTATAAAATGTGTTATTAATTATTTGAAATTAGCTAATGCGTACGATGTATTCCGGCGACTTCGCGTTGGATATTAATTAATAACTAATTATTTACTAAAAATGACGAAGCAAACAAATAGTGAAATATCTTGTTTGTTTTATTTTATCGATACGACGGAACTTACAAAACATATCATAGCGTGATATAAATATAAATCTGTGAAAATTTATGATGAATTTTTCCTGAGTAATAAGTCATTTTTTGCAACTTCTTTTTCCGCTCGAGTCTAATTAATTCTGCTCGGCAAATCTAACACTGTAATACAGGTATTTATATTCCTGTATATAAAAAACAAAATATGATGCTTGAATGATACATTTTTTAAGAAATATTTTATATGTGTGTGTGTGTAGTTACAAAAAATTAACTTTCACTTTTTAATCGAAAACTCGCGTGTTGATACGGTGCATGTTCGATCGCATAGAAATCTCGATAAGAAAATAATTACAATATCCTAGAGTTATACACGTATGTATAATGAAGGTGTCATAGTTAGTTTTTTGTTTCATCCTCTATTATCCTCTATTATATGCATACCTGGACTGTAAATTAATCTATTATATTATAGAGATCAAATCTTACAAGATAACATTCTGCAGTTTTTATCGAGTAACACTTTTATTGATAAAAATGTGATGTTATTTGTATTAACAATTCTTTGTTTGCACTTCTGGGAATAGTACTTTATCTATATAAAGTTCGCTATTAATGGTGCTAAACTGATTTGCCATTAAAAGCAAAATTAAGTGAACTCTGTATCGCTTCTTAACCAACTTCACGATTTATTTCTTTATATCGTGATCATATATGTCATAGAACACATCCATTGCCAGCAAAGGCTATGAATTTTATTTTAGGCAAATTTAATTAACTATCACAGATTCTTAATCTCGCCAAAGAGAGTATCATTACGTTTTCAATATATGCAATGGGTCTGCAGTAAAAATATAATGAAATATTTGAACGTATGCATAGATAATAGAAACCCAATTATCAGAGACAAAGAGGATCAAAAGACGATTCGTATAAAATCCTGGATAACTGGGTTTTCTATGGCAGAACCGCTATCACCGAAAATTGCACTAGTTCGCGATGCGTTTAACTAATCGAGTTTCCACGATGTACGAGGCAGACAAACTCGTTCCTTTTTTTCTCTTTTAATTGAAAGTAACGATACGTGTTAGCAACCATATATGTACGCGATTAGAAAAGGCTAACGTTTCGTTTTATAAACAAGTTATGGATGCGCGCACGTAAGAAACTCGCTCCGAGAATAAATTCGATCAGAAATGAAATCCGATCGATGAAATTCATTCGTACTAGAAGAAAACGAATTAGGTAAATTTCTTTTAGAGAAATTTGATCTTCAGTCAAAATTAAAAATCTGTGCATATTATATGTTTAAACAATCCTCGTAGTGCACTGCATATATCTTATATTAAACAACAAAGTATCCATATTAAATACCGGATTTGCTTAGAAGCCTCGTTTAAGTAGAAAATTCTGTTTGAGACTCGAACTTAATAGGATTCTCAAACAGCGGTCCAATTAAAGGTTTAGAAGATTTACAACAAGAGAGGAAACATTTAATTCGCTACGCTGCTACTTCTCCAAAATTCATATGACCAGTTTCCTTGGCATGTTGTTGAGCTTCCATTTGGCCGTTTAATTTGATTTTACAATCGTTACACATTAAAGTGAACTTTTGAATATCCGTAAATTGACGACTAGATTTTACTTCTCTGGCAAGTTCTGCCGCTTCCAATAATATCGTTTCATCTTCCGTAGGAAAGATAGTTTGAATACTACCACCCTACGCGTAAATAAAGAAAAGTTGTTTATGACAAAGAAAACACTGACGGAGTAGTTAAAAAGGAAAGGTAGCGTACTCACATCGAGCGGTTCTAGGTACAAAGGATCATAATGAATTCCATCGAATATTAGAAATACTCTTTGAGCATAATGTTGATCTTCGCCGAATCTATTGATTATAGCGTTAATGCTGTCGATTACCGCTATTTCTAGTCCATAAAATTTTGAGAGTATAGAGAGCTCTATAGCACCGCCCCAAGATTCAGGCTTCAAAATCCATTCGCAATATTCGGAATTGGGACGACCTAAGAAAGCTTCGGAATATTCTTCCGGATCAGCCGCCACGGCATTGGCTATAATTTCTCTCATGAAGCTGGCGCAACTAGGATCTACTTTACCTAGAAATATACTGCAAGATTAAAAAACCAATAGAACATGGAATATCGGTAAATATAAGAAAAACACAGGTTTGTGCGCGTAAAGAATGTAAAACGTGTGATATACCGTTGAGCACGTATCCGACACTGGTGAATAAGCAAGAATTATCTGCAGGTACAACTTTTTTCATCAGTACACCGGGCGTGTTTACGAAATTCTCGTCGTCAACGATATGGGACCGACCAATTTCTTCCGACTTTTGTTTCCCATTGTAAAGAGGTGGCTTCTCTTCTACGATCAAGGTATCGCCCGACACAACACCGCTTTCCTCGATCGTGTCCGTTTCATTGTTTAAATTAATCGCCTTTGGTGGAAATCCACCAAGAACGTGAAGCGAATCGACTGCTATTCCCGTTAGCTCGGCCAGCTTCGATTTCAATACGGACACCTTATCCTGAGGGATCAAACCGTTTACGACCTTTTGACCTGATTTCGTTTTAACTCGCAACACGAATCCGGCCATCGTTTTTGTTTTTTCGTTTTTACTCCTCTGACACTGGAGTTGACTAGAACGAAAATTTTGTTCGAAGACTACAAGTTAATCAGCTGTTGATACAGCGCCACGCTAAAATTTTGTTTAATTTCGAGGCGAAGAACATATCACGATTGGAACACGGCGTCCGTCGTACACGACATATATTTCCTATTTTTTCTTTATTGATAGATATCGACTATTTTTTGCAGTTCATCGTCGTATGTATTTAACACACGAACGTATATCGTAACGTTGATCAGTCACCAGCGAACGTTACCGACTCGTTGGTTAGATGACCGTTTAGGTATTTTTTTTCGTTGCAACGTTGACTACGTGATTGAATCGTTCAAGAGGGTACTATATGTATACGCGTACAGTGACGCATGTACAGAGAGAGAGAGAGAGAGAGAGAGAGAAGCGACCAATGAAATTTAGGCATCCCATTCTGTATAGACCCAACGCGCGTTACTGTCGCTGTCGGTTCTCGATCTTTGTCATTTTTATGTTCACTGTCTACAGTCTACGGGGAAAATTTCTAAAACGATAATAGTAACGCGTATTACGTAGATGACTGAAAATTCTTATATTAGTAAGGGTTATATTAGTTACTTATTAGTTCCATTTCGACTTTCGCTTCTTTTCCAAGTATAATTTACACGTATAGAAGCGAACGATAGCGAGAGCAATTTATAGGTTAACGGGAAAGGCAATGTAATAATATGACAATATTCTTAAATCGTATTTATTTGATAGGTCGAAAAATACAGTTTCTTCTTTTTTTCGCGAACGAATGTAGAAACGTAATCGGATGTACGTTATATTTGCTGTTTATCGCGCGTGCAAATAAAAGATCGTTTTATCAAGTACTTTAAATAAATTTTAGCGCGTCTTTCGAAGATAGTTAACCTTGTTTCGACGTGTATTTTTTTCATTCGTAAGAATATTCGATCGTTGTAAAGTGAAAGGACACGGTGCCTAAGCTAGGTTCGCAAAATAAATAATATATATTTACACGAATTTACTTACACGTAACTCGAAATAAAAAGGATCGTCGTTTTCGCACTCTTTTCCCTATATGTATCTATACAACACGCGACGTACAGAAATTTTCGCGCGTTAATTCGAATTTAAACGTTTAAATATTCTTTTGTTCGTTTTTTGCAATACTAATTGTAGCGAAAAGTGAGAAATCAATACGCGTTTCGTGTACCGTTTCTCCTTAGGAAAGGAAAAAGGTGTCGTTGCTCGATTAATCGAGAGTATCTTTTCCCGTTTTTGGCAACAGGAACGACATAAGTCCACATACTGAAAGAAACAATCGATAAACGTAAGGAAATTGTAAATGGTAGGTAAGAATTGGTAATACTTACGGAATAAAAATGCCGCGAACAAAACGATAGGAACGACACAGGCCAGGTCAATGAGATAGCCGAACAGCAAATTACCGACCAGTGCACCCAATCGACCCATAGTAAGAGACAGGGCCGCAGCCATCACTCTGAAATAGAATAGAATAATTAGAACGATAAGAATTTCGGTATTAGCATTCTAATTACCTGAGATTCGTCGGGAACATGTCGACGATTACGCAATAAACCAGCGAGATGCCGAGGGACGTGAGAGCCTCGAAGACGCAAGATAGTACGAGGTTCTGAGTTGCATTGACAACGTAATAAAACGCAACGGTTACTCCGGCGGAAACCAACAGTGATCCGACTGAAATCGAAGGAAATTCGTTCGTTCGGAAAGTAGGTAAACTAGCGAGAGTAGAGAGAGACTCGGAAAGTAGTTGGAATCGTACTTAGAAAGAATTTTGCACCGAGCTTGTGCACGAATATCGGCAGAATGATGGAGCCAGGAATGCAAGCCAATCCGATGTAGACGGTGTGCAAATAAACGGAAGGCGCGATGACGGTGTTGCATCCGTAAGGATCGGCGAGGACCGCGTTATCCGGAAGCGCCGAGACTATGCAGACCGACGTCGTTTTACCAGGGTTCGCGTGCTCGAATTCTTCGAACCTGCAATCGAACGGATCTTTTATTCTTTGTTATTCGATTCTATCGCGTCCCAGCAGAAAGTGTTGGTCTACCTGGTGAAGAGTTCGGGGAACCAAACCATAAGAGTATAATAACTGCTCGTAAGACCGAATTGAATGCCGCACGCTAACAGCGTGTTACGAAGGTAAGGCGACTTGCAGAGAGCAGCTGTTAAGTCCTGTACTTCCTTCATCAGAACCTTCAAATCCTTTCGCTTGTGCAGCTTCAAGGACCTCGTGCTTTTGTCCTTGGTCTTCTCTTGCAAACTTTTTACCTGGCAAACGCGAAGAAAGATCAGATTCGAAGGACATCGCGGAAACAAAGCGACGAACGATTCGCGAGGAGAAAGAAAATTACCGGATAGGAGTCTGGGCTTTCGCCGGTGTTTTGCGCGTAGATCCATTTGAAGACTTCGAGGGCGGCTTCGGTTTCGCCGCATTCCAGCAGAAATTTCGGACTTTCCGGAAACGCGAACAACCAGAGACCCAACATTATCGAGGGCAAAGCGCACAGCGCCACGAAGAGATTCCATGACTTGAAGTAAAACACGTCCGACACGTATACAAAATCCATCGGTATGATCAGCCAAGCGATCACTGAAACCAACAACGATCATCGAATCTACCTTAGTAGCATTAGTACGATACAATATCGCGATTAAACCACCTCCTATATTTCTATATACTTGTATACATATAGATTTCGAGCTCGGTCGAGTCGACGAATTGGTAAATTCGATAATTGAAAATGGTACTTACACGGTAATAGTATCACTCCGACTGTCCAGAACATTTCCATCCAACAAAGGCATCTTTCGCGATACTTTGTCGGCTGGAACTCCCCTAAATACGGAAAACAAATGCCCATAGCTCCCGTAACGCTATATGTATAAAATAAACAAATAAAAATAGAAGTAAAAGAAAGAAGGAAAGAAAGAAAAAAAGAAGAAAAGAAAGCGAGCGAAGAAGAGATGTAACGGGAGCACGAATGACGAGGAGAACGAATAGAGACGATACTTACGCGAATCCGTTGAAAAATCGAAAGATCAGGAAGATCCAAAAATATTGGACAAACGAGGAAATAACACCGACGATACCGTCCATCAATAACGTAATTATTAACACGATCTTTCTCCCTTTCGTATCAGCCAGGCATCCCCATATATAAGAACCAACCACCATACCTGTTCTCAACCAGACCGAATTAATACGATATATTTTCTAGAACGCACTCGTATAGTAGAATACGTACCTAGCATCGGAGAGGCGGTTAACCATCCTTTCGAGGTAGAATCCATCTGTAAGTCGCATTGCGCTGCTGGTAGCACGAACGATAGTATCGTAACTCCTATAGCGGTGTCCATGTAAATTAGGCCGCATATCGTTAGCAGCGTGTAATGAAATTTCCCAAATCCTGACGAGCGAAACGATTACTCTTTTAATTCTTTTAATTCTTTTAATTCTTTTAATTCTTTTTATTCTTTTAATTCTGTTCGGTGTTTCTTGTTAATTATTCGCGATCTCGATGGATACGTCGGAGTTGTATTATTTCGGAAACGATCGTTGGAGAAAAGAAGCGCGTTGGTAAATAGAAGGTTCCAGATAAAATTAGTTGGCCGAAAGGTAAAGAACGTTCTAATAATACGGTCGATCAATTGAACTTGATATCGACGTTTAACGCGAATCGTATTCGACGAGTTTCGTTCCGTTTGTTCGAGCAATCGCATAAAAATCGTTCGCTTTCGTTCGCTTTCATCGTCGCATGTACTTAAGCGTATAATAACCATCGTATTAGGTACAGTTAACATAATTGTAAGAAGCGTGTACGTAAGTAAGAAATGATGGCACTCGCAACCGAGATTACCTTGCTTTGAACATAATCTCGCTCGCGTTACTTTGTTCGGTCGATCAAGATAATAAAGATTCGAAAGCTTTCAACGAGTTTCGATAAAAGACAAAATCGTTACGATCGCGAATTAAATAAACGGCTATCGGGGGTATTACCTACCTGTTACGGTGATTGCATGCTCGAAATCGGCACCTCCGTCTGCCAAGAAGTCGAGCCCTGTCGCAAAAAGAAGACGGAACGTATTATTAGTAGGATGATTTATTTTAGAGACGAGTAAAGAGAATTTTTGCTTAGTACGCGATATTTCGCTCTACGTTCGATCGATTACACCGATGAGAGAAATTCGATAAGAGCCTCGGATAGATTGAATAGCTGGATTAATTCGTGATTCGGCAATCGAACAATGATTTATCGAGTTTAACGCGAAGATAGATAAAAGATTCGAGTTTGTAATATGCATGATTCGTCGTTTCGATTTCGAAATCGAGTGTCGGTTAACGCGTAAAACTCGGAATTAAAATTTAGACTCGAATAAGAGTCGTTTTTCGGCTCCACGAGGATCGGTGGATGACCGCTGTTCGAACCTACCCATGACGAACGATTACGTTTCGAAGATTGTCGGTCTCTCGCGAGGTGATTGGTCCAGGTGGAGTCGGGGAAAATCCGGGGAGAATCTGGAGGACCCCGGTCGCCAAACCGATGCACTGTCTGTTTCTCGTGCGTGTTCCACGGTTTTGTCCTCGTCTGCAACCACCGTACGCTGCGCTCATTGGTGAACACTCGGTGGTTTTGGATCGCCGTCTTTGTCGCTTCCAAGCGAATTCCGACGATGCTTTCCACCGAGAATCTTCTTGGACCCTCTTCCTCTTTCGGCCAACTTTTCTCGGATCCTTCGCGATTTTTCTTCTTCTTTTCCCTCTATTCGTTTCTCTGTAGACGCTTCTTATTCCGCTTCTGTTTATTCTTCTTCTTCGCTAGTCCTCCTTCGCTAGGTGCCGATTCGAGCGCGAAGATTCGGCAAGATTATACTGCAAGCAAATCAAAGTACCTTTTGATTTTCTGAATCTGTCGCGAAGACAACGGGACGAACGAGCGACTGACCAAATATTGATCATGCCTCGACGTATATCTAGACTGTTTTCGGTAGCCACTTATTAACCTGTTTGATAAGATACTACGCTTTCTCCCTCTTCGTTCGTCGCTCGATCTACCTGTTCCGCGACAATTAGCTTGTCTTTGCGCGACGTTTTCGAGGACGGTCTCGAGAGGAAGGAGTAGCGGCTACCGCTAAATGCGTTTTCTAGAGTACTCGAAACTGTCCTCGAGTTGGTCCAAAACCGAAAGCGAACCTCGCTTTCTCTATCTACTCTATATGTAGATGGATAGAGAATCTACGTATAGGGTTTCGCGGAAGCGGTCGATAAGAAAGCGAAAACACCGTGTCGTGGGATCATGAGATTTTTTATATTACGCCGGACTAATAACTGATTAAAACGCGCGTGCACGATTTCGTTTATTCGTTTATTCGTTTATTCGTTTATTCGTTTATTACACCGACGTTGGTCCCGTATTTCGAACGGCGTCGTCGAGCAGGCTTTAATTAATATCACGGGTTCGTAACTCGGCTCCGCCATTTGTTTGGCGACCTACTAACAATGTAACAATTTGGATTCGGATTTTATTTTCTGGGACGAAAGATTTCGAAGAACCTCCGCTCTTTTCTCTGTTTTCCGTTTCGCGGCTGTTATTTACGACCTGTTGTAATTCGTTGACGAGGGTACTCGTATAATACATCGTCATTGTCCCAATCTTCTTTGCAGCTTGTCGCATTATCTAAATACGATGCTCGCAATAACTGAACAACGTGTTTGCCTGGGATTCGGTTTCTCGTTAAGTATAACGTGTTTGTCGAAGCAATATATCACGTCTATATGCGTCGTGCATTTTTTTTCGCCTGCACGTACATCGACGACCGTGACACTCGACGAACGAAGGTTCGCGAAGGGAACTCTTCTACTTGTAGCTCTAATGAATCGCGTTCACGGACCATCGAGCGAAATTTTCAACGCTTTTCGATTAGCGCTACGCTATGCTACGTGTCTCCGAGAGCTGACTATCGACTATCGAAGTATTTCGTCGTGATCGAACATTTAACGCGGTCCGACAATTGTCGAGGTTAATCCAGAGCGAAACTAGCGTGGCTTACTCGTGTACCGATTCGTTCGACAAAGCAAACAGACTTATCGAGATCACGCATCGAACAACCAACATCGACGAGTAAATTTCTTGGATGCTCGCGACGTTCCGCAAACTTCCTCCCCTGTTCTTCCTTTCTTAATTTCGTTAAACTTGTTGCTGGACGAGTGGCGTTTTTCATTTTTAAAAACGAGGATAGCGTTCGGGTAGAGGATAGAAACGAGCCTCGAACCTCTCGAAATAGGTAAATACCGATGGATCGATCGCGAAGAGTGCAATAAACACTCGACGGGACGTTATTTCGTCTAATTATAAGTGGCTGTTATCTTTGAACAAAGTTACGAACATGCCACTTGTTGCGATCATCTCGTATTCTCGGGTACGAGATATCGAAAAGTAAACTCGAACTTGGCGAGTTCGAACGACCTTCGGCTGTCGAACAGGAAGATCGTAATCGACCGATCGATAAATACGTTCAATCGGAACACGAATCTCTCGAATCTGTTCAATTATAAATTATCGTTGTTAGTAGATTATGCCTAGAGTGTGTAGCTTAACATCGTATTTGTTCGAACTGTGATTGTAAGTAGGTTGAAGTCGTACGATCCGGTCGCGGTGAAAAAAACAACCGGCGCTCGATCTTAATCTGAATCGAAAGAATCTAGTTCGGAATCACGGAGACCCGATTGAAAAAAGTCTATCTGTTTTATCTCTGTTAACGCGTATCGGTGTTTTCGCAATTTCCATCGAACCTTCGGTCTATCTTCTCGATATTATTCCCGATAGGGATATTTTTCTCGAGGAGGAAACCGTCCTCAGGAACGTTAGGTAGAAATTAACGGATAGGCGAAAGAAACGTACTTACGGTTCGTTGACGAATCAAGCATCGATAATTAGAGGAGAAAAGTTCTCGCCTAGCGAACTAGGATATATATATATTGAATGTCTAAAGCGCCGAATTTCTTTCGACATTGTTTCTCTTCGTGTTGAAATTCGTCGCGTTACGGTGCATTTCCCGCGTTCGTTTGGCAACGGTACAACATTTAACGCTCTCTTTGCGAAGGTATTTACTTTGTCGATAACCGGACATTTTTCTGTTCTCTGGCTGCCGCGGTAGCCAGAGAAGAGGCGATCCGGAAAATCTTTGAAATTAATTTGCGCCGATCGAGAATCGATCGTGAACGATTCGTCGATCGAGCGTCGGTCGATCAGGGGAAAAAACGGTCGTCGAAGGGGTAATCGCGCGACGAAGCGTTTTGGGAGTGAATGAAAACCGTGGCCATTTTATCCGGACTATGGCCAAGATTGTCACTTACGTAATCAGAAGGAGAATTTTCACGAGGTTGTTCTAATCGTACACACGTGTAGAAGCGATCGCGGTCGCGTCGCACCGTGAGCACGTCCAACTTTCTGTCATAAGGACTATCCGGTGAACACTCGGAAACCGAAAACTCTAAACTGCGAACTCGATGGCGATCGAGACGTTGCTGAATTACCAAATATAATGCACGAATTAACACGGGTGAGTAGAAAAAGAAAGCAAGGATCCAGTCGATCGATCGTGGACAATGGATACGCCGAGCGTGACACGGAACTGACGCGGTGTAAATCGCGAATCGACAAAGCCCGTGATTTTCCTCAAGTTCGTATATCGTGCGCGAGCACGCGCGTTTCTCGACGTTGGCACGCGCGACCAACGCGAACGGTGGATTCGCGCCAAACAACCGATCGCCATCTCGATATTTCCGTCATCGACGCAATGCGACGCGACGCTAGCGCGTTCCTGATCGCGATCGTCCGACGGGCTTTCGATCCGATCGAGAAAAGATCGAGAAAATATCGAGAACAGTTTGCCGGACGACTCGCGTGGACACCGTCCAACTGCAACAGGCAACACGCTCTATTTCGGCCTGTTTTCAATGTCAATCTAGCCAGAACGGAACGTAGGCACGACGATTCTTTCGAGATTAATTTCATCCGCCTTTGTTCGGACGAATTTCGAACGCTTAGTCGCTAAACCGAACAGTTCGTTCGTCGAATGCGTTCTGCCGAGTGTTCGCTAACGGTTGCTTGCTGTAGGAACGTTGTCGGAAAGTGAACAGGTGATTCGATGTATTTACGAGATTTACTAGACTCTATCGGTTAGGTTGTGCTCGTCGGCGATTAAACCTAACCGTAAGTAAGCGTCGGCGAGTGGCGATCGAGAGCTGAAACGTACCGGGAGCGACGCGAAAAAAAAATGAATGATTGGCAAGCGTTGTTGCTTCGAAATAGAATGTCCGTAAATCGATGGACACGAGAGTAATTTATTCGATATACCGAAGCCAATTGTGCGCGGACTAGGATGACGCGCGCAACTTGACCCGCAACGTTGCCTCTTCGAGATTATTATTTTCTTCTTAAAGATTGCTCTGGTATCTTCTTAACGTGAAAAGGCGATAATTTCCTTTTATGAACGGCGCTGCTACATACTCGAGTCGGAATCGACGAAATAAAAGACGTCGCGATTCAACGGTTCGATGCGAACACGCGTTTTATTGTATCGTTCAGTGGCCAGCATGTAAACAGTCCACGATATAAAAAGATCTGGTAAAATAGAAAAATAGGCTAGAAGCGTAGAAGGTGTGGAAATGCAGAAGACGTTTAATGCGTTCGCTAGATAGGTACGGTGGACACGAGGTTAGCTAGTACGCCGCGCATAATCGCGCATACATATTATGTATACATTCGTATAGTAAAAGGCATTGAAATTCCAGGATGGAAATGGCCATGCGCGCAACATTGGGACGTCGTTCGAAATTTCGCGATTTTCGAACGAACAAATTTACTATCTATCGGTGGCCAGAGGACGCGTCGATACTAAAATATAAGGCACACAAATATCGATCTTCGATTTAAGCTTCCTTTTTAAACGCTCGACTACGTTCAAATAGACTATCTTCGAATATCCTTTGTTTGTTCGCTTAAATTCGCCTGTACAATGATCGACGCGTCGATATTCGAGAGATCGTTGGATTTCGCTTAGATACGAACTTAATTGAGCATTTTTCTTCTCGCTTGTCTGCTCTTCGTTCGATTAAGTACTAACACGTATATTACTCTGCTATCTTGAGGGTATCTCGTTCATGAAGAACACATTCGTCGAGTATTCTTACACGAATATAGTATCTTATGCGAAAAGATAGAAAAATACTTGTACGATTAATCTCTCCCGATTAATGCGATCAAGGCCTGATTCGACGATTCAGACTATTCGCGAGAATTTTGTGCGTTTCGAATATGATTACGCTTCGTCGCTTAAGAGTAAATTTATAATTACGCTTTATCGTTCGATAACTGCTACGATTTCGCTGAGATTCGTCTAATTATAAATAAATTTATTCGATACTCGTAAACTCGCTTGTCCGATACGAGAGAAGAGATCGAAGATTCGTTTCGAGTAAAATAAATAACCTTTCACGCCGATCGAAACGTTCGAATATTCGAGGGAAAAAAAAAGAAAGTATAAATTTGGAATTTTAGCGAGTCAACGTTGACAAACTGAACATGGAATACTGCGGCTAAGATCGATTAAAATAGTTTCGGTTTAACGTAATAAAGTTGTTTAAGTAGATACTCGTTTCGAAGAGTCCGCGAGTAAGTAAGTACCTACGGGTTGTCGGAGTTCGATCGAGCCAAACACTCGCGTAAAATTCAACAATTTTTCTTCGTTTCCTTTTCGATTACGTCGCCTTTTATAGGATCGTTCCACGTTCGTTAAGATTTCTCGATGTTCAGTTTTGGTTTTTTTCGAGACGGAGTAAAGAGGGCGAGTAGACCGCTCACTGAAACACACGTTCATAAAAATAGTTTTCGTCCCCGTTATCTTAAATAACTCGATTTTCGAGTAGATCGGTGTTGCGATTTCGAATACGTACAAAATAGCTGAGCGGCAACGATGACGATCACCAATGTACAGTAATCGTCGATCAAGTAACCGATCATCAAGGTACCGCTTATAGCACCGATTCGACTTATGAACGCCGATAAACCGGAAGCCATTGCTCTGAAAGAAGAATTAAGTAACAGAGGCGAAACGAGATAAAGGTACACGAATCGATCGATTCGCGCAATTTTTCTTTCGACTAACAACAAGATATAAATAACCGTAGACGAGATAATAACCGGTCAATGCGGATATTTATGTCGATCGATAACGAGATCGATCGATAAACACCTGGTCGTATCTAACGAGCTGGCACGTGGAAATTAAACGGAAAAAAGACAAAGAGAAGAATCAAAGAAATTGAAGAAAGAAAGAAAGAAAGAAAGAAATTATTCGAGTGTCGTTAAAAATAAATCGAACGATTGTTATCGTTTTCTTCCTATATCTAATTGCTTTCAAAAATTCTGATAGTTTTGATTAAATGCTGGTAAAGATAGCATAATTTACGTAACTCGAAAGAAAAAATTTAGCGCGATCGAAGAATACGATGTACATATGTACGCTGTGCACGTTGAGCTACGTAATGGATTACCGTAAATGCGTCGGATAAAGATCGACTAGAAGGCAGTAGACGACGCTGAGGCAAACGGACGTGACGGATTCGTAGGCGCAAGAGAGGATCAAATTTTGCGTGGAAGTTTGCACCAGGAAGAGACAAGCTGCCACGACACCGGGTATAAAAGCCGTGATCACTGAAACATCCGGAAGAATAAATTATTAAACGGCGATACCTTTCGTCTGTATATACATACGTATGCCGGTGTACACGTACCCAAGAGGAATTTGTATCCCATGTAATTGACCAGAAAAGGCATTATCAGACCGGTTGGAATGCAAGATGCTCCCAAGATGAAAGTGTGAAGGAACACGCTCGTTTGTACTCTCGAGTTGCAACCGAACGGGTCGTCTATCCTTTGCTGACGACGAGATCGAAGAAAATCAGAATAAAGAAAAATTTGTGAAACGGTCGTTCTCGAGCACGCTTACCGAATCCGTGTGATTTATCGAGATCTTTAAGGTGCAAACGCTGGCTGTCCGGTTAGGATATGCCTGTTGGAAGTCCGCGTATCTGTGAAACAGCTCCGGCAGCCACAGAGTTAGCGTGTAATAAGCGGACGTGACGAAACAAGCGATCAGACATACCACGATGGTTCTACAGAGATACGGTGGCTTCAGTATCATCACCGTTTTCGCGTATATGTCTTTTATCATCGAATCGAACGATTTCTCCGTCGCTTCCTCCTTCTCGTTCGTCTGCATAATGCGGTGGACCAGTTCGTTCAAATTGTTGTTGCCAGAATTTCGAAGCTTCGTCTAGAAAAGGAATAATGATCGTAGAGAATACCGATCGACGAAATAGAAGAGACACGCTCACCTTGTATTCTTTCGCGGGTTGTCCGGTATTCTCCGCGTACATTCTCATTAAAACTTGCAGCATTTGCACGTTGTAACCGGTTTCAGCGAGGTACTTGGGCGTTTCGGGGAAAAATAATAACCACGTTCCGGTAAATAACGCCGGAAGGGAGCATATAAAGACGAAAAGATTCCACGAGTGTAAAAAGAAACCGGCGCCTTCCACGTTTACGTCCATCGGGATCACGATCCAACCGACGCCTGAAATTTCCAGATCGTTATATTCGAGTAACGATACGTTGGTTCGGTATCGCGAAAAGGTCGAAAAGATTACCTGCCAAGATGATCATACCCATCACCCAAGCCATTTCCATCCACGACAGCATTCTGTCGCGATACTTTGTCGGCTGAAATTCACCCAGATAGAGGAAAACGACAGCGGATTGTCCGTTCATTCTGAAAAAGAACTTATCGATTTTACTTATCGATAAATACCGAATTAGAGTAGAGTAACGATCGAACTCACGCTGCGCCGCTTAGGAATTTTAAAAACAAAAAGACCCAATAAAGCGGTACGATCGATGCCAACAATTCGGAGATTCCGTGAAGAAACAACGCGACCAACAAGGACATTCTGCGTCCTTTTATGGCCGCGTAGCAGCCCCAAATATACGAGCCGGCCAGCATACCTGTTAAATAAAAAAAAAAAAAAAACACCTTTTCGCTTTACGTACAATTCGTTTTTCATCGATACGAAACGGCCGATGGGAGTCGCTTGAGTCGTTGAAACATATTAAATTCCGTTCGATGGTGTTTATGCAGAAATGAGAACGAAGAGGGCAGAGGGGGTACGTGTCACGTTCCGACATAATGAAAAGCCTCCGCGAGGTTTAATTATTCGCGTTCGAGCCTCTGACACTTGCAATAATCCTTTAACACCTTTAATACCTTCAACGACTCGTCTTCCGAACGGAATATTCTCTTCTCGGTAATTCTCTCTCGAGCAGCTTCTATTAATTGTTCGAGTATCGCGAACAATTTCTGCGAAAATATATTCATCTTTATACGTTCGATATTTCGTCTCCAGGACGAAAAGTCGTAGTCGTGTAGAGTGTAAAAGTTTTAAAACGACTGGAAGTTCGACCGAGACACGTTGTACGGAGAAGGGAATCCGAGAAGAATTCGGTAATAGAGATTCGCAGAAATGTCAGAGTAGCTTTCCTTCTGATTCGAAACGAGCATCAATCGTCGAGCAGTCGAAGCACGCGTAGAGAAAGCCAACCGCGAACGCGAAATAATTCATAGTTTGCACAACTCGAAAGGAACAGGTATTTTACCCGCTATCGAAGGAACGCGTCGACGAAACGGTTACGAAGGTAAAATAATTTCTAAAAATAATGGAAAATAACTCACCTAACATGGGGGCAGCGCTAAGGCAGCCCTTGTCCACGGTGGTCATTTTAAAGTCGCACGCTGCCGATGGTATTACGAATCCGATGCTGGTTATGCTGAAGGCCACGTTCATGAATATCAAACTGCAGACGGCCATAATCTTAAGGTTAAACTTGCCAAATCCTGTGGGAATTAATTCGATATTCGGATAAATAATCGATCCTCCGGCTACGTAATTACTACGGATTACGTCGCGTAAATTTAAGGAAGGACAATTCAACGTTCGTGGCGCATCGGAAGATTTTCATCGAAGATAAGAAACGTTTAGCGGAATCTAACGCAAACACGTTTGTTATTCGTGCATTAGATTTGATCGCGTTTCGATGTTGGAAGTACCGAAAGGGAAAAAAGGAAATAAATCGCGAACCACTCGTTCGTCCTTAATCGTGATTTTGGTTCAAGGAAAATAGAAAAAAAATGGTTTTTCATCGATACGAAACGGCCGATGGGAGTCGCTTGAGTCGTTGAAACATATTAAATTCCGTTCGATGGTGTTTATGCAGAAATGAGAACGAAGAGGGCAGAGGGGGTACGTGTCACGTTCCGACATAATGAAAAGCCTCCGCGAGGTTTAATTATTCGCGTTCGAGCCTCTGACACTTGCAATAATCCTTTAACACCTTTAATACCTTCAACGACTCGTCTTCCGAACGGAATATTCTCTTCTCGGTAATTCTCTCTCGAGCAGCTTCTATTAATTGTTCGAGTATCGCGAACAATTTCTGCGAAAATATATTCATCTTTATACGTTCGATATTTCGTCTCCAGGACGAAAAGTCGTAGTCGTGTAGAGTGTAAAAGTTTTAAAACGACTGGAAGTTCGACCGAGACACGTTGTACGGAGAAGGGAATCCGAGAAGAATTCGGTAATAGAGATTCGCAGAAATGTCAGAGTAGCTTTCCTTCTGATTCGAAACGAGCATCAATCGTCGAGCAGTCGAAGCACGCGTAGAGAAAGCCAACCGCGAACGCGAAATAATTCATAGTTTGCACAACTCGAAAGGAACAGGTATTTTACCCGCTATCGAAGGAACGCGTCGACGAAACGGTTACGAAGGTAAAATAATTTCTAAAAATAATGGAAAATAACTCACCTAACATGGGGGCAGCGCTAAGGCAGCCCTTGTCCACGGTGGTCATTTTAAAGTCGCACGCTGCCGATGGTATTACGAATCCGATGCTGGTTATGCTGAAGGCCACGTTCATGAATATCAAACTGCAGACGGCCATAATCTTAAGGTTAAACTTGCCAAATCCTGTGGGAATTAATTCGATATTCGGATAAATAATCGATCCTCCGGCTACGTAATTACTACGGATTACGTCGCGTAAATTTAAGGAAGGACAATTCAACGTTCGTGGCGCATCGGAAGATTTTCATCGAAGATAAGAAACGTTTAGCGGAATCTAACGCAAACACGTTTGTTATTCGTGCATTAGATTTGATCGCGTTTCGATGTTGGAAGTACCGAAAGGGAAAAAAGGAAATAAATCGCGAACCACTCGTTCGTCCTTAATCGTGATTTTGGTTCAAGGAAAATAGAAAAAAAATGAAAAATACCTGTTTGATCGACGGCATCTTGGACGACGCTTTCCGCCGTTTGTTTGCTGGCTGCGAACACGAGAAAACACGTGGTTAACTAGACACGTATGTAGGAAAGAAAGAAAGACGGAAAGATCGAGAGAAATAAAGAAGAGAATGGGAGCAAAGAAAGAGGAGGGAGCAAAAGAAAAAGAGAGAAGCCGTAACTGTACAGGCCGAGACGAAAGTCGAACGCGGCGATTCTCGCGGTAGCTTTTATTTCGAGAGTAAAAACATTCGTACCGATTGGACGGCGGCAAAAGCGATTCGCGAGAATCTCTTGTCGAGACTTTTGCTTCTTCAGAAATCCGAACGTTGTACTTTAACCTGTTGTTGCTCCGCACCGATTCGGAGCGTTTCTTTGTTCTGTGTTCCGTCACGCGGTAAACTACACCTTTCGATAAACTTTGTATCTTTCCTATCGTTGTCCTTTCGATTTTCTCCAACTTTTTCCGAATTTATTTGAAATTTCTTCGACTCGCGATTCGACTCGCGATTCGACTTTCGATAGATGACAATCGACTTTTTCATTTCCAAAGAAAACCTTCCGTAGAAACGTTTCGTTTTCGCATCGGAAGGACTTTGATCCGTCACTGTTTCTCTTCGCTTTTCGCCTTTTATTTCTATACGATACGATACGATACGATATAATTCGTCGAACCGATTTCCACGATTTCGTTTCGCTTTTCGATCGTTTCCAGCTACCCATCGATACGCCTATCGATACGCCTCTTTCGGCTCTCCCTTATCGGATTAATTTAATAATAATATAACGCGTTTTTAACTTCGTAACCGATTATGCTTATATCCACGCAAGTTTGTCGCGTTCGTTTTTTTAAAAACAGAAAGGAAGCGATATTCTTTTTTTATTCGAATCGAAGCTGACGTCAGGTTCGAACTTTTCTGCCTCCAATCTCGACACGCTGACATCAACTTTTCGATTAATCGCGTATACCATTTTCTCGGATAAGCCTTCCTCGCTGCCGGTTCGACAAAGTTTCGACCGCGACAAATTTCTTGGCACTGTTACCGCTCGGTACTGCTCGTACTTTCGAAACGCGTTATTATTTCGATCGGCGAATAAACGAACGTCTCCGCGCTTGCAACGTTAGATAAAACGATTTGGTAACTCGTTAAGAATAAGTATCGGTAAATATCTCGATACAGTTGACGGTACGTAATTTGGCGACGGGTTAACGTACTCGCGACGGGTTCGATAACGTTGAGATCAGCGCGGCGAGATTGAACGGCGTCGACTAACCGAAAGAGAGCGAAAGAGAGCGAAAGAGAGGGAACGAAGAAAGTAAGCATAAGAGAAAATTAGACAAAAGGATGAGATTACCTTGGAAGTTGTAGGCAGCATTCGACGCGACTAGCGGCTCGGACGCAGCTGGCTCGCTCTCCAATCGAGCGATATCGCCCGACATCGTACGCGCGCAAAACTAACGCATCGTTCCGTCTCGCCTCGTCCGTTCGCGTTCGCTCGCGTCCGTTCGCGTCGGTTCGCGTCGGTTCGCGTCGGGCCGCGTCGCGCGACCTTGCTCCGTTCGCCGTCGTACGTCCGAGCCTCTTTCGCTCGCCGCGACGCGAGTTCGTCTAACCGAGTCTAACCAGAGCCGAGTGATCGCGCCACTACGAATTTGCCCTTCTTCGAGACTCTGCCTCCTTATCTGGTCCGCTGTACCACCGATTAACGCCAACTTCGCTAGACACTAGTTACCGCGGTAGTTTACCTACCTTTAATCTCGATTAAATTTTGCCGAATCGTACGAGATGCAAAGCTACTATATAGTCGAGAAGAAACGCGGAAGCTCTCGAGAAAGTTACTTTCGAGCTTCCTAATCGTTTCCGATTCATCGAACGTTTCCGATTGTAGGACGAATTCGCGGAACGTTCGAGTCGGAACCGACTGGAAGATCGAGAAGAATTTCTTGCTTCGTCTCTCTAAGCGCACCTAAATCTATATTCTTAGGCTAAAAATTGGAAAGTTACCGCGAGATGCTGAGTTTCGGAAAGTTTCGCAACGCGGATGCGACTACATCGAAGATAACGCGTGTTCAGGAAAGGACAGAATCTTATCCGACGACGCGTGACGCATCGCGTTCGAATCGGTTACCGACACGATTCAAAGCGAAACGCTCGTCAAACGAGAATAACGCGACGAATAAAATAGGTATTTCGGGAAAGATAAATCTGATTATCGAAATAAACGTTTCGCGAATACGCGAGTCGTAGTTAAACGAGGGTAATTAGAGGAAGCACTTCAGGTTACGAGTGTGTGCCTTATCAATTCTGATAAGAGCAATTAAGCCGAAAACCGTGCACCACGGTTTTCAAAGATACATAGATTCGTCGAATAAAATACGCCTCTTATTTATTCGTACGTATATGCACGCGTACGTACACGATTCGTAAATAAATAACGAGGGCGTAATGAACGCTCGATGTATTTTAAACGACGGAATAACTATCGACAATTTCGCTTTCGTTTCGAAGCGAAGTTAATTGGAAATAATTCGCAATTTCAGCATTGTTTCGATTTCTTCGACGATTCGATCCGTACGCGCGTTTATCTACGATACGCGACGCGAGTTCGTCTAACCGAGTCTAACCAGAGCCGAGTGATCGCGCCACTACGAATTTGCCCTTCTTCGAGACTCTGCCTCCTTATCTGGTCCGCTGTACCACCGATTAACGCCAACTTCGCTAGACACTAGTTACCGCGGTAGTTTACCTACCTTTAATCTCGATTAAATTTTGCCGAATCGTACGAGATGCAAAGCTACTATATAGTCGAGAAGAAACGCGGAAGCTCTCGAGAAAGTTACTTTCGAGCTTCCTAATCGTTTCCGATTCATCGAACGTTTCCGATTGTAGGACGAATTCGCGGAACGTTCGAGTCGGAACCGACTGGAAGATCGAGAAGAATTTCTTGCTTCGTCTCTCTAAGCGCACCTAAATCTATATTCTTAGGCTAAAAATTGGAAAGTTACCGCGAGATGCTGAGTTTCGGAAAGTTTCGCAACGCGGATGCGACTACATCGAAGATAACGCGTGTTCAGGAAAGGACAGAATCTTATCCGACGACGCGTGACGCATCGCGTTCGAATCGGTTACCGACACGATTCAAAGCGAAACGCTCGTCAAACGAGAATAACGCGACGAATAAAATAGGTATTTCGGGAAAGATAAATCTGATTATCGAAATAAACGTTTCGCGAATACGCGAGTCGTAGTTAAACGAGGGTAATTAGAGGAAGCACTTCAGGTTACGAGTGTGTGCCTTATCAATTCTGATAAGAGCAATTAAGCCGAAAACCGTGCACCACGGTTTTCAAAGATACATAGATTCGTCGAATAAAATACGCCTCTTATTTATTCGTACGTATATGCACGCGTACGTACACGATTCGTAAATAAATAACGAGGGCGTAATGAACGCTCGATGTATTTTAAACGACGGAATAACTATCGACAATTTCGCTTTCGTTTCGAAGCGAAGTTAATTGGAAATAATTCGCAATTTCAGCATTGTTTCGATTTCTTCGACGATTCGATCCGTACGCGCGTTTATCTACGATATTTTCCTGATGGATTTAAAGAAGACCCATCGCGAATACGTAGCGGGAATTTTTCAATGTTTGTCCCGCGAAGTGCATTCGTCGTACGCTTTGTTTCGGGCCTAACTATTTTTGCCCGCGAGTCGGCTGAACTGAAACGATGTCAAGAACAGGAGGAAACTGTTTTTCCTCGAACGGGGAGGTTATTCCTTCGAAAATAAGCGGTGACAAAGAACAAACATTTATTTCGATCTATTTCGATTTATTTCGATTCATTTCGATTCATTTCGATTCATTTCGATTCATTTCGATTTATTTGGAAAGTAACCGAGACATTATTTCGACACCGTTCGGAGATCGATCGGTTATTTTCATCCCTGCAAATCCATGGATTACCACGATAAAGATAAATTTACCGTCTCGTTAACGTTCAAAGAATATACATAGCAAAGTTCAGAAAATAAACGAGTTAATCCTCCGGGTTTCGTTCTTTTTTTGCGAACGAATAATCGATCACGCCGATTCTTTTAATCCGCGCGTGTCGCGCTAGCCGGCTGGATTATTTTCGCATTAAAATAGCCATTGTTATCTTCGATTTTTGTCGAGCGCGAATTACCAACTGAATTCGTTGGCGAAAATTTCACCGGCAAATAGTTTTTTAGTTGTTGCCTCGATGTAAAAATCTTAACGTCGATTCGTAACGAAGATCGATCGACGGAACAGAAAGTAACAGGCTGTCTGCCGATAACAGCCATCGTATCGCATCGTTTCGAGTCTGTTTATTCTAGTTCGCTCGCTCGCGGTTGTGGCTGGCTAAATGCCAATCGCATCGCACGGTAATTCCTTTATTTTCCCGAGAAAAAATGCTGCTTGTTATTTATTCGTTCGTAGGATAGTTCATAAAGTGGTCACCTAGCTCGAAGCGGATCGATACTCGGGACACTCACCGGGTTATCGGTAATAATCGTTCGCGACGAAAAACAATTAGCCAATCGATCGAGCGTAGATCGCAATTTGCTAATAATGTTCTGACATACTGAAATACTGAAATTTCGAATCGCACGTTTCAATATCTGTCTACGTTCCGTTATCTGTATCGTGACTATGTACTCGACTGGCATATCGTTACTCCGATAAACGGTTTATTATTTCTTTCCCAATATTTACGCGTTAATAACGTCCTATAATAATCCGAAAATTAGCAAGATATCGCGCATCGTACGCCGTTCACGGATAAGACGAACTTTTCGCGATCTATGCCGTGACTTTCCCGCGATACGCGCATACGTGCACATCAGAGATTGCTCTGGTCCCAATATAAATCCTTAATTGATTCGTAAATGACAAATTGTTCAATCTGTTCAGGAGCTTTGATAACTATCGAAGGTTGAACACTCGATTAATCGTTCTCGTTTATTCAAAGTTTCGATACGATACGTTTAATTGCACCAAGGATAAACGTTGCAATTAGGAATTCGGAAGTTGGAAAATTTGAAAAAAGGAATTTTTCCACAAGTATCAGGCTGGCGAATAAAGCAGGCCGATATGGTAGGAAATGAAATTTACCTCGATTTTCGATGTCCATTCGGTCGATTCCGAAAGCTCGTGCTCCGAATTGGCAAAGAACGTTAGGTTGCCGCGCGAACGTCCATCTTTTCGAATGATCGGCAGATCGACGTAGCAGGCGGCAGCAGGGTCCAAGAGTCGATCGAAAACTCGAAATAAAAATTCTAATGGAAAATTTAGGAAAGCATCGCGCGTGAAATTGGTCGTCGGGGAGCTCTTTGTTCGCGGGTGCCGTCGATACAACTACGAAAACTATCGCGAGCTTTTTCTTCGCTCGCTATCGGCTATCGACACAGAAGCTGATCGAGCTGCTCGAACGAACAGAGGACAGATATTTTTCTCTTCTTTCTTCGTTCGGAACATCCTCTTCCATCTTCCGTTTCGAAGCAGCAAACAACCATCGGACCATTCTTATATCCTTCCGAAAGTAGATTTCAGAAATTTTCAATCAGAATTTGAAAAGATTTCGAGTAAAAGTGTCCGCTCCGAAACAATTCCTTTGCACGCGTTTTCACCTAGCAACCTTAAATAATAATGAAAGAAAAAAAATATTGCGCGCATACATATTTTAATGATCGACTAATTAACGATCGTCCCGTTCCTATTTTCCCTTCCGAAGCAATTGTTACGCGACATAATTCTGTCAATTGTAGCAATTATCACAGGGTTAAGTGGACAAACGAGCGCGTTAGGGACGAGAAAGACGAGAAGACGGTGACGGTGACAATTATTACCGACAACAACAACGACAACGACAACGGTTTAATCTCTTTCTTCTCGGGGTAGAGTCTTCCCATCCCCCCTTCTTCAAATTTAATTAACAAAGAACGATCGATTAATTCGCCTTGGTGCGTACAACAGTTCCAATTCTTTCCTCTCTTTTGTGCTCTTCCACACTCTTTCGTACGCTTTCGTATAGCTATTTTCTAGAAAGTAGAAATTTTCGAGAATTTCTACCGAACATACGGGCATACCGAACATTCAGGATTGTATTCTGTACTCCGACAGACGATACGATTCTCGTTTTAGAGAACTATCAACGTATGTACGAATAAGAGATACGATCCGTCGCGTCGTTTTACCTAGTATTTTTCAATTTCGAAGCAAACGTCGTATCGTAATGCCGAAACACGACAACTTTTATCGGCAAGAAAATTGAAACGAACGGACGTTTCTTAGGCGGACACATTCTCTAAGATAAACGACGGCAAAGGAAAGTATAAGAAAGTAAAGGAGGATACGCGCGATCCAATAGGGATCAACGTTCGAATCGATCGGTATTTTATTATTTCGAGAAAGCTGAATAGATAGTAGGCGAGTTGTTTACCTCCGGAAGGGAATTCAATTATTTTCCCAATTTCGATTGTTGGTTATTTTCGTTGTTATCGCGGTCTTAGCGAAGCTCGATAATCGGATCGAAAAAGAAAGATGCTTCGCCTTCGTTATATTGCTATTCTACCGGGAAATTCTATATCGTAATTATCGAAAATTACTCGTAAAAGTAATATTGCTTTTAAAACTCCGGCGAGATTCGGTACGCGAACGTTCATTTTTTATTATTGCCGTACGGATAAAATATACGCGAGTCCGATTACGTAACGGCGGATCGCGATCGGCGCATGTTCGTAAGAATTAAAGCGACATTTGCGTGCATCTTCAATAAGACGGCATCGATCGTCATCGATTGTTCCGCTCTCTAGCAACGATATAGCGATACCGACGTATATTAATGAACTAACATCTAATAATTTGTCCAATTGTTCTCTTCTTTCGGGCGCGGTAATCGGTAACAGCGATAAATCCAGAACGAACGAATCGTGCATCGAAAATACGAATGATCGATCGATGCGTTTCGCTAACGTAAGCTTCGACAAAAGCGAAGCTGTGAGCAAGGCCACCGTACGCGACAAGACCTATTTTCTAGGACTTCCTTGTCTCTTAATGCCACGGTTCGATACGTTCGCGATACCGTTCTCTCTCTCTCTCTCTCTCTCTCTCTCTATCGTGCTTCTTCGAACCGATATGATACGTGGAAGAAAGGCTAGCGTTTTCCAACACGGTTAGGTTCGCTTACGAGCAAACAGTCACCGCTGCAATAATGACGTATCGATCGAATAAAAATGAAGATTTTCTCGAGGACAGCGTCTTTAGCGATATTCGCGACGACTCTCCGCGATAGAATTGTTGAACGCTCGATCGAAATTTCGTGGGGAAAATCCGGAAAGCAAGCTGTTCGCAAGCTCCGAGTAAAATCTTTCTCCGAACGCGAACGGTGTTAAATGAAATTGAAAATCCGCTTCGAAAGGAGTACGAGAGAATGGACAAAGTGCAATTTCCGCGGCGGAAATTACATCTACGAGCAGTGGGAAAAGCTCGGTTGAAAAGCTTCGTTTACTGAAACATGCTGCGCTCGTTCAAATAGCATAGCTATGCTTACGCTTTTAAGAAGAAACCTATTTATACGTAAATATAGGAATCTATTGTCGCGTACGAGAGCGTCGAGAAAATGATTATCGGCGAATATGAATTCTACGTACATGTCCGTACTTGATTGATAACGAGATAAAAATGAAGGGGTATCGAAAAATAATCGAATCGAGTCTCGAGTGTCGGAGAGTCTCGCGTACGTACGGCGCGCGAATTCGGTGATACGAGCTGAGTGGCTCTTGATCGATCTCGACGAGAGAAATTATTACTAAATTATCCGATTAAATTTTTATCGGTCAACGATTCCTCGCGAAAGGAAAGAGAGCCGATCGACGACGGTAACGAGCGACTATCCGATAACTATTAGTATATAACCGATAAATATTAGTTCGTTTCGTCGATCGGGTGTGGCGTGCGTCGAAAGATAGGAGGTTAAAAAGCGCGCGATAAACCGCACCGCCCTCGTCGATCGGTCACGAGTTCGTTCGTCGTCAGTCGAGTCCCGTGTCTCGTCGACTAAGCACACACCCCCGAGTTACGCGGCCGCCGCGCGAAACCATCCCTCGCGGCTCTCAGAGTCGATCCAACCACCGCGATGGACGAATATAAACGCGCGTACGACTCGTTCACCGTACGCTACTCGTAGATATCGTTCCTTCGGAAGGAATATATAGGGGGAAGTAGGGAAAATACCGATAAAAGAGAAAATTAGCGAAAAGTAGGAACGATCTACGAATCGAAAGGGTTCGCTGAAAATCGATGCATGGGCTTGACGCGACGACGATCGCGAGTTTCGCTCGGGATTAGGCTTAGATCCCTAAGCTTCGACGATGGTGGACAAATTGCACGAGTACGAGGGTTTCGCTGGAAGGGTGCACGATGTTCGCGACAAGATCAAAGAGAAATGGGAAGTGTGGAAGGAATGGAAGAACGGGATACCGTTGGACCAAGGTGTCGGAGGAGTTATCAATCATCTTCGTGGACCGCCGAAGCTCGAGAGGAGTTTGGACGATTATGCTCACGTTTATAGGTAGAATTTCGCGTAAAAGAGTTTATAGCCGACTTGCTACTAAACCGTACCGAACTCGTGTCGATTTTTAGAAAAAAGACTAGAGGAGAATTGGTACGCGTGTCCGCGGCTGTGATGGGAATCGAATTCTCTTACGCGGCGGAAACAGCGTTCGTTTCACCGACGTTGTTAAAAATTGGCGTGGATCATCAACACATGACTCTCGTTTGGGCTCTCAGCCCGTTGATCGGATTCTTTGTCACGCCAATTTTGGGAAGTTTGAGCGACAGGTGCCGATCGAAATACGGAAGAAGGAGACCGTTCATTCTATTGTTAGCGATCGGAGTGTTGATCGGTGAGAAGAAACTAGCTGATCGTACGGTAATCGTTCGAAAAGTTCTGCCAAGTATCTAAGTTCGTTGGACCTTTTCGAAGGGTTGATACTGGTTCCGAACGGCGAAGACATGGGTTACGCTTTCGGCGATACGCCGTCGACGTCGACTCGCGACAACTATACCGTTCCGCTTGGCCATCGAACAACGGCGAAACAATCGAAAGAGGAGTCGACGAAACATACTCGTTCCGGTGCTGCTCCCTCGCACTCTTGGGGAATCTTCTTTACGATTTTAGGCACGGTTCTCCTCGATTTCGACGCGGACGCGTGTCAAAGCCCGGCCAGAGCCTACTTACTCGACGTCACCACACCAGGCAAGCAAACTCTCTCTCTATCTCTCTATCTCTCTATCTCTCTATCTCTCTCCAACGACTCGATTTACCTTCGCGAATCACTTTTCTCAACCGTTTCGAAACTACTTGAGAGCAGACTTAAATTAATTAATTAAGTATACTTTCGAACCGATTCGTAAAAGAAAAAATAGAAATATAACGTTTGCAGAGGATCATGCCAGAGGTTTAAGTACGTTCACCATAATGGCTGGCTTAGGTGGGTTTATGGGCTACGGATTAGGTGGTATTAATTGGGATGCCACAACGATAGGCGTTATGCTGGGTGGACACCTCCATGCCACGTTCACGTTGATCACGATCATCTTCGTAATTTGTGTCTCCTGTACGATCACCAGTTTCAAGGAGATCCCCTTGGAACTACTGGAAAGAGACGAGTATCAACAGCTCCAGGAACAGAAGGTTCGATGCGCGTCGATATTTCGTTAGCTTCGTAGATACTAGAACTTAGAGATTTAGGACTTATATCGGCTAGAGAATAAAGAGAAAAAGTGTTATTTCGAGTAAAACGAAATAGGAAATCTGTTAACTTTCTCCGAAGATTTGTTAACGTTGTTCAGAAGTCTGGCGAAGGAACCGGCGACGAAACCGGCGACGAACAAAAGGAGTACGAACGAATCGCGACGGACGAATGCGCGTACTACGGAACGGTAGACAACGATCGAGATTCCGTAACGCGAAGAGACGTAAGTCGAACGTATCGGTTACCGTGTGGCGTGACGAGGATGAAACTGTGATGCGATCTATAGTATAGAAAGTATATAACGTTTAACAGGAATTTGTTCTTAAACCTCTTCCGGTGCGAGAGCCGGAAAAGCGGAGTGATCAGGTAGCTGCCGTGCCGAACGAAACGACGATAGAAACTGGTCACGTTCAACCCGCTTTCGACAAAGATACAGAGGCGAATCCGAAAGCTACTTTAAGGGAATATCTTCTTTCTATCGTGTATATGCCGCATAGTCTTCGTATGGTATGCCTGACGAATTTGTTCTGCTGGATGGCCCACGTATGTTATTCCCTTTACTTCACCGATTTTGTCGGAGAAGCCGTTTACGGTGGTAATCCACAGGTTCGAACCAATTCGTTCCTTCTCGTTACTAATTAATTCGTTAATTAATTAATAGTATACTATTTAGTTAGTAATTTTACAGGCACCGGACGGCAGCAAAGAACGAGAACTGTACGAAAGCGGCGTTCGATTCGGATGTTGGGGAATGTCTATGTACTCCCTTTCTTGCTCGTGTTATTCGTTAATTATCGAGAAGTTGATAGAACGTTACAAGTAAGAACGTTTGCTACCGCTTTATTTATCGTTAGTTTTCCCATCGCTCCAACGCGACCATTCTCTCCACCGATCTTTTACAGAGCTCGAAAGGTTTACATTTGCGGACTATTATTCTACAGTGCCGGAATGATGATGATGGCGTTGACGAAGCATCCGTTGGGAGTGATTATATTCTCTTGGACCGCGGGTGTTATGTATTCGACGTTGTTCACCATGCCCTATTTGTTGGTCGCCCATTATCATGCCTCGTCGACGGTGAGTAATATTCCCTGATCACGATTTACCTCCGTCAGAAAACCGAAGAAAATTCCTTCGTTACTCGCCGCGTATCCCGAGTCGGGATATTTTCGTTTAGCGGTGTCGGTAATTCGATAAAATAGGATAACGTAACGCGATTAACGTGGAACGTAGAACGAACGAGAAAATCGAATTAGTCGACGATTTGCAGTTCGAGGTGACAGCGGAAGGCGAAGCCGTTCAAAGCGGAGGCGTTCGTGGTCTTGGCACCGACGTGGCGATCGTCTCTTCCATGGTATTTCTAGCCCAATTTCTCCTCTCCTGCTGTTTAGGAACAATCGTCAGCCAATCCGGAACCACTACGGCGGTGGTCTGCGTGGCGAGCACCCTCGCCGCCTGCGGAGCCGTTTCTGCCACCCAAGTCATGTATTTGGATCTATGACTTTCCTCGCTGTCCTCTCGCTCTTTCTATCCAAATCCCTTTCATCCCTTTCATCCGACTAAAATTATTTATCTTGCGGTAAGTGTTCGCCAATCGATTTTCGATCGACATTTTACCCACCTTTTAGATTTTATATGAAATATTCGAGAAAATTCCGAATAAATCTGCTAGTAGTTTTCTGCTACTCTCGATTCTTTCCTGTATCTTGGATTCCTCTCTACGTATGTATGTACGTACAGAGGAAAAATAGAAGAGAATATTATCCCAAATAAATTCAACACCGCTTAGAATTCATAGGACAAGCAGAGTTTATTCACTTTTACGTTATTTTACAAACGACAAGATTTTCTTTACTAGTTTTAGAAGAAGTTTGCGGAAGTTCGACTATTTGTTATTTCGTGGAAACGTTATTTAAATGTTACGCCTTATCGGTACGTTACGATGCACAAATAATGGCTCCGCGTATCTTTACCAGACACATCGTCGAGTTGCAGCGGTTACGCGTAGTAAAAGGAAATCTGTAAATAAATGTAACGTGTAAAAATGGTAATAAAGATACGTAAATAACGTAATGCGGTTAAACGAACGAATTTCAATTTTCCCTTTTTAAATTACAGATCGTAAGTGCAAAGTAAACTTCTCTGGCAATTAATTTGCTCATGGCCTTGATATATTTCTTAATGTACTCGTCGTTGACAAGATCCTGAAACGAATAGGTTATCTTTTATATTTTTTATGTCGAACAATTTGAGGGAAGAGCTCGATCATAAGTTTCCGTACCTGTACAATTTCGTAAGTTCGATTTTTGCAAAGCACCGGGAACGAGAAGAATATATCGGAACGTATACCGTATGAATGATCGGATAAAACCGTCATACAGGTCCATTCGTTTGTTGGGCTACCGTTCCACAAAATTCTACAATGTTCAGCTAATCCGTAAGCCATCGATTTCACGCGGTAAGGTCTGCTGTTAATATTTTGCGTGTGCTATAAAAAGAAAAATTTTATTCGCGACTAGAACTCTTGACGCTATGGGAGAGTGATAGAGGGTAAGGTGAAAAAGGGATTTCTACCTGTGGAAGAATATTCTTTAGCCACACTTCCAAACCTGTGTTCAATTTTCTTCGATCCGTGAAGAACATGTATCTACAATCAGGAAAATTGCATCTGTTATTTGTGCCCCATATAATCACGTTTTTTATCTCTGACGGAAGACATTTTGCTCGAGCAGCGATCTGAAGCGAATACAATTTCTCGATGTTGGACAAATTTTTCTCGCTAAATAATAAATACAATAAGAAACAGCAACGTACGTAAGCTGTGGCGATATTGAAATTGAACATCGATAGCGCGGTTATGTGACTGGAAGGGATAGATTTCACGTATCTGGATATAATGGTAGCGGCGGTGCTTCCGATCACGATGATTCTCGCGTCCTTTTTCGCATAATTTTCGATCGCTTCACCCTGACAGGAACAACGAAAAGTTCTTCGAATCGAGACTCGGACATGTTCGTTACTTATGAAAATAATCGAATCGATTCAAATGTTAGTACGTAATATTTCGAGGTGAGAATGTAGTCCTTGAAAAACGGATCCCAATATTCGTCTTCGGTAAATTCGTATTCTCTCGCACGGCCGATGCAAACTACGACATCGGCATCCTTGAATTGAACGGAAGGATCGTGGCCATAACTGATACCTATCGTAGCGATCGTAAAAAAACCTAGAATCTCCTATACTTTCGATCCTCGATATATACCAATTATACGATATAAAGAGGATTCACAAATTGCTAAAAGAGATTTTTACCTTGCAGAAGATTAGGACTAAAAGACGTAAGCTCGATCTCGACGCTCTCCAAAAACAACGCTTTGTCCTGGAACTCGAAAATGCTAATAAAGACTAATTGGTTTTCTCCAAAGACATTGTCGTACAATATTCTGTAGAGAAAGGTGAGCGCGAGTTCTGTCGTTCCATCGGTAACTACGATCTTTAAAACGTCCTTTGTATCGTCTACACCACCATTTATACTTTCGTTTTTCCTTGAATCCATCGAGACAGTACCGTCGTTTATCGTCAAACGAGGATCGCAACGATTTTAATATGCATCTTTTCATCCGTTTCCTTCAGAATTTCACTCGTCCGAAGTTAAACGTATGTTCAATGTTCAAAACAGAGACGCTTTCTGAAAACGGCATCTTTACCGCCATCTAATGACAACGCGCGAAACTATCAAAGAAGAAAATTATCACGATCACGATAGAGTAGAAAGAATAGTTGTACAGTAAGTGTGAATTGCGATATTCAAAAACTTTTTTTTTTTTTTCTTTTTTTCCCATAAAATCCAACTTTCTTCGCTTTCGAATACAAAACTTTGAGTCGTTGATTATTTTCTATCTCGATAGTTCTACATCTGATCGTTGGATGGCGCTAGTAGTGCCGTTTTCGAAGAACATGCGAACGAATTCGAACGTTGAAAATTGTTCGAGAACGGGACTTTCAAAAGACTTGAAAAGAATTTTCGAAAGAATAAATTGATCGATCCTATATTATGATTAAGGCTGCTGTTGGTATGTAACGGATGTACGGTTTTAAAAATATAGATCATTACGTTGCTATAAAGTTTTATTTTTACATTATTCATGATCGTGCAGTTTAGATCTTTCGAGTGTTTCCAAAATAATGTCCACGATGGATATATTCTCGCCCATTACGTAGCGTGACTTTTTACGTATATCGTGACACGCGTTCGCGTGCAACGTGCCGTGAATCTTTTCCAAGTAATGATCGATTTGATTCGCGTATAACGCGCCTTTACTCTCGTAGGGTAATACGTATGGATAAGCGTTTTCGATCAGACGATTAATATATCGTGCTATGTTCACTTCGCCCCTTATATGATGCGTACCCGACAAACGCATTATTGGATCAATTCCGATTGCTTTCCATATTATTGTTAAACGAATTACTGCGCTCTCGTTCGAATCTCGATATTCCGAGCAAAATGTTAATAAATCGTTTGAAAATTGTTCAACGCTGGAATGAACGTGCGATGTTACCAAAATATCGATATAAGGTTTTATGAAACGGAACAAAGATTCGATACATTTAATCGGATGCTTCGGATCGCAAAACAGAATGAGCTTTTCTTTTTCCATTTTTTCTGAACATCTAATCGCGCAACGTTTATTTTCAAGCTTGTTTGATCGTTGATTTCTATCTTCGAGCTCCTTTTCTTCGATAGGAACATGTCTAATCCTGCCAGAAGAATGTTTTATTTATCTTATTTAATCGTTTACATAAATTATACGAACGAAGGGCTCGAATATATCAGAGCGTGTATAACATATTCATAAATTAAGACGTGCACTTTTTTCGTTCCAACGTCCTAGTTACTTACAAAAATACTTTAAGAATGTTTAGAAAAATATTTACTTGTTTAATCGACAAATAGGATTGTTATAAACCATTTCCAGATCCACTTTTGGTCCAACTAAGTCTCGTATATTGTTTAATCCATACTTAATCATAGTTGGCCTATAAAAGTAGAATATTCGTATTATTAATCAATAGGATTTATACGATGCGAAAACCCTTTTCAATTGATATACCTTTCTAACGACAATCCCCACGCAATTACGTTAACGTTTTCAGGAATCCCCATTGGTAATAACATTTCTGGTCTGAACATTCCACTATTACCAATTTCTATCCATTTATTCAAGCCATCGTGGTAACAAAAAATTTCCATACTCGGCTCGGTGTACGGATTATACGCTGGTTTGAATCGAAGCTGTGTAATACCAAGTTTCTTAAAAAATTCATACAAAATTCCTATTAAATCACCTAACGTGAGATTATAATCAGCGATTACACCTTCGATTTGATGGAACTCTGCCAGATGCGTAGCATCCAAGGTTTCATTACGGAATACTCGATCGATACTGAAGTATTTTACCGGTATAAAGTCACCCTGAAATATAGTTACACAATTTCATTGTTGATGATACTATTATGAAATTTTTCATCCGATTACCTGCTGCATAAGCTTGTAAAGCATACGAGCACTAACAGCGGTCGTATGGGTACGAAGAACATTTTTTTCTGCCTCTTCTATTTTCCAATCGTAGCAATAGCCTAAAGAGCCATACCCTCCTTCGCTGTGAACTTTTTTTACCTTCTCCAGATATTCCATTGGAAAATTCTTACTATGAGACGGTTCTACGACAAAAATATTTATCCGTTACATTCGTAATTTTCAATGAAATTGTCAATAAATTTACCAGATATGAAAAAGGTATCGTGCGCGTCCCTCGCTGGATGTTGCTGAGGTTGAAATAAAGCGTCAAAGTTCCAAAACGAACTCTCCACAAAATTATTCGTTGGCATTTCGGTAAATCTAGCAAAGAGAGAATGACAATGTAAATAAGACAAATATTAAATGTTAGAATGATTTAGCCAATAATATGTTTTCTCCTGCATACCCCATCTCGAGGAAAATCTTTTTAAATTCGCTTCTGACTTTTAACAGAGGATGCAAGTGACCTACTTCTAAAGCGGCACCAAGAGCCGAAAAATTGTATGGTTTGAACTTTTTGTCTTTCCAAGCGCCGTTCGCTAATAAATCAGCAGTCAATTCTGTTTCCAGTTTTTCAACTTTTCTTGAAAAGTTTTGACCTTTGCCCAGTTGCACGGATTTAATAACTCTGTTAATAAACAATCGCTTATTTGTATGTAATATAATCAATATATATTCATATTATGCCCAACTTACGTCTCTTGAATAAGTTTCCTTCTTTTGTAGTCATTTCTGAGGCGATCGCTCAGATTAGAGAGACTCTTCAAATCATTTTGTGTAACGTCCGTTATAGAAGATACCTTCTTCCTTACTATAGATGTACCACTGGATTTATCAATTTGTATCCAACCGGCGGATAAAGCTTTAGAAAATCCAATTTTTGCAAACGGTACTAACTGCATGATATCGGACTGAGGTATTCCCTCATTAGGAATTGCATTATAAACTGCTGCTTCGTGACTTCCATGATTTATTATATGTTGGCCCTCCGATGTCAATTCCCACTTTCTATCGCTGGTCTGTTTAGTTGTGATTAACTGAGAACATTGTGATAACGTTTACAAATAATTTACGTAATTTTTTTCTAAAACGAACAGTGATCGAACAAATATGAATAGAATTTTTAGGGTTATGTAGAGGATGAAATGGTTTCATCTGATCATATATTTGTAATTAGAATAATGTTAATAGAAATACTTATATAATTTAATAATATCACATAATCCAAAAGCATTGTACAGTTATAAGATCCTTGTTTTATTGAACTTACATCACCAACTGTTTCCAGACTTTTAATAGCTCCAACAATTTTTTGATGGTTTTCTTTAAAAATATCTGCTAAATCTAGAGAATTCACTTCCCCGTACTCGTCTAAATAATCCAATATTTTATCAGTCAATTCTTTCGTCATATTTGAAATGATTTATTTTATAGTAACACAACCTGTAAAAAACCATGTGAACACCGGCGAGAATAAATTACAAATGCCTTATATCATATTTCTTTTTTATCATTTAATATGTATCAGAATGATTACAGTTCTTGATTACTAATTTCAACGGCATGTAAAACAACTATATGATACTATTACAGTAAAATATTGAAATGCTTCTGTGAGATGTATGTCAATCCTATCCAGGTAACTAAGTCGCACACATACACGCGCCTGTATGCATTTAATGCATATACACATATATATATATATATATATACAAATAGATTTTGAACAAAAAATAATAATAGTAATCGTGTCAATAATTTCGATTAATGTATAATATACTTTTACAACTATATCTTAATATGTAAAAAAAAAATGTTTAACAGGAACTTTTAATATTGTAATTATAAATACCTATTAGAAATATAAAAACAGGATGAAATAAATATTTCTTAAGAAAAGGTATATTACTTTTTGTACATAGTTTATTGACAGTTAACAATACAAATTATTTCAGTGGAATAAACCTTGAAGAATGGGTAGCACCGATACCTGGTCTACCGTGTTTTACAGGTTTGTAAGTAACAGAGAATTCTCCCAGATAATGACCGATCATTTCTGGTTTGATTTCAACCTGATTGAATGTCTTTCCATTATAAACACCTACAATAGAGCCAACCATTTCGGGTACTATGATCATGTTGCGCAAATGAGTCTTCACGATTTCTGGCTTTTCGTTAGGTGGTGTTTCCTTTTTGGCTTTGCGTAACTTTTTCACAAGAGCCATAGATTTTCGCTTTAATCCATGGGAAAATCTCCTACGAGCCCGAGCATGCATCAAAACCATCAGCTGCTCACTGAAACAAATATTTATATTTTATAATATACACAAAATTTATACTGTATCAGCACTTTTAGTGCACTTAATTGTTAATGATAAGATGACAGTACGTGATCTTTCTCATTTGTAACTTTAAATAATACTCACTTTGGCATATCCAAGAGTTGATCAAGATCAACTCCTCGAAAGGTGAACTTTCGGAAACACCTTTTTTTCTTCTGAGTTTCCTCTGCCTAGAATTATACATGAGCGCATCAGAGATAGGTTATAATACGTGTAAAAACATTCACATCTTTACGGTAATACTATAATGTTCTTCTATTAAAAGAGAATCCTATAAATCGCTACCAATAATCTATATTTACAAGGATGAACGAGATACTATTAGATATTTTCATAGAAATTACGGTCCATACCTCAGCCATGTTTTCGGTCGGGAGAAACGGCAATAAGAAATAACACGATTTTTCCTACGCAAAAATTAATTTAGCCACAGACTAAAATGCATCTAGATAGAAAGCAAGCATATCCTTTCCGTCGAGTCGATAAAATATGCAATATTACTAGAACAACGATTTGGCGCGACAATTTTGTTTCAGTTCTGTACATTTTGTATTCTATGGTAATATGCATGAACTCTTTATAATTATCGTGACATCGACAATGTACACTTAGCGGACAAAAGTTTCAGGATCTCAGTGTGTTTCGTTCGTTGGATGAAATACTTCTTCTTCTATATTTATATATTTCATAAATATATTAAAAGAATTAGATGCAATATTTCTTTAATCTTGTATAATTGTCACATTATGAGCGATTTTCGTTATTCGTTAATTTTTCGTCGCTGTATATTCGAACACGAAGAACAGGTTGTAGAGAAACTCCCCTAGCCTAGTGAGTTGCGCAAATTTGTATTCTTTCGTAAAGCAAAATAAATGTTCATAGATAAAGAACAAATGACCTAATCAATAAACATATAAAGTCATTTTATTCTGCACGTAAACGTATTTGTTAATGATATTAAACGATTTAATACGGCGCGCTAATACCCGCACATTACGTAATGTTTCCGTTAAAAAACTGTGCTTTTAAATATTTTCATCGATTAATAATTTATATTTATTTAATCGTTAGAAAAATCCATGAATTTCAAATGACTGTTTTGTGATAGCTGAACATTCAGTTTGCATAAGTCACATTGTTTTTTAGTTTGTATAAAAAACGTGTACATTTTAAAGTGGCGCTAAATCTCGATTGCACTTGGTCAAGCTGTTCGATATATTCGTTCGAGTGCAAATCTGGCTTCCCTGGGGAAAATGGTGGTCGAGGGGAAACAGTCCCTACCACCGGCCACAATAACAGAGTATTGACAGGCATTAGGCCTTGTTCAGAGGAGGCATTTTGGAATAGGATAAAAATTTTCTGACTAAATGTTTAATTTGGAAAGCAAACAGATTCCTTTTTGTAACGGGTAGTAACAATATAGGAGATAATTTGAAATTCGACTAGAAATTATCTAATACGTATCGTGCACGGCTACACGAGGATGGTGGCTCCCTCGGTTCAAATGTAAAAAGCTGCAAAGAAAGTGAAATTTGCGAATTATCTTTCCGATTCGGTACAAGACGAATGTTGAACAAATATCGTTGCAAAACGAATCAGTCGGTTTCTAAAAATAAACATTTATTCTGGAATATTTGGTTATTTATCAACCTCGAAAATGTCTTCTGTGAATTGAGCATAACGTCTGTCAATGCTGTTTTGCTTTGAGCAAGTAGTGGGGACCATTTCCCCTTGACCGCCATTTTCCCCAGGGAAGCCAGATTTGCTCTCGTGTGTTCATATATTTGAGACGGCACACGTTCTCATTGGATCCGAATAACATTCAATAAAATCGAGAATATCTAAAGACGAGCACGGATCAATATTTACTCGTAAAATATGAAATACATTTTAGTAACTGGTGGTGTAATAAGTGGAGTCGGTAAAGGTGTTATTGCCAGTTCTTTTGGTACTATACTTAAACATTGCGGCATTCGTGTGACATCTATTAAGATAGATCCTTATATAAATATTGATGCCGGAACTTTTTCACCTTATGAACATGGTAAGTACGTCTTAAAAAACGTATTTCCTATGCTTTTTCTCTCATACGAATCAATTTCGGAAAGATGTTTTTCTTTCACGTTTAAAATTTCATATAGCCATGTGCTATTCTGCACGTTGCTGTCGCGCACTTTACAGTCACGTGTTGTATTTTTTAAATTTTTCTGTCAGAATTCGATTTAAAATTTCATGTGAAAAATTCATTTCCACTCGATAGTTAAATCGATGAATTTTTATGCGTGTATTGTTAACTTAACAAATTCCTCTTTGCTGTGTGAAAAAGTCCCCTTAGCTAAAATATATGTTCATTATCTGATCCATTGAATATATTAATTTAGATAATGTAATTAAGTAAAATATTGAAGAACACGCTAAAATTTTGATTATTATATAAATTTGCTGTATAAAATAGATTGTCATTCTAAAGAATAGATACAAAGAATGTATATGAACAAAACGATTCAGTTTATTTATTTCTATAGTAGCTTTTTGGACCGATTTAGTAAACTAAATAAAGAATATTCAAGGTTGCAAAAGGTCGGTCTTTATAAGAAGAGTTATAGTTATTTATTGTTCTATCGTATATGTCTTTTATGTTCAAAATATTCTTTATGATTAAGGGGAAGTATACGTATTGGATGATGGTGGAGAGGTAGATCTTGATCTTGGAAACTATGAACGTTTCTTAGATGTGACTTTACACAGAGACAACAATATTACAACTGGGAAAATTTATCAGCATGTAATTTCAAAAGAAAGGCACGGTGATTACTTGGGAAAAACAGTTCAAGGTACAAACGATAGTTCATTTATTATTATAAAGTCCATTGTAAAGTGAACATTAATAGCAAATATATTTTGGATTTCAGTGGTACCTCACATAACAGATGCTATCCAGGAATGGGTTGAACGAGTAGCGAATCAACCAGTAACAGAAAGCAGTGATCAGCCTGATGTAATTTAATAGTTGTCTAAAATGAAAATATATTAATATAGTATAAGGTATATAATAATAGAGTATGTAAATTGATTTATATTTTGTCGCTTATAGGTTTGTATTGTTGAGTTGGGTGGAACTATAGGAGACATTGAAGGAATGCCATTTGTAGAAGCTTTTAGACAGTTTCAGTTTAGGGTGAAAAAAGAAAACTTTTGCTGTGCTCATGTATCTCTAGTGCCACAAGTACGAACTCGAATAATTCTCCTTCCTTGTTCTAGACCTTGACTTTGTATCGATGCCAAGTTGGTTTATTCTTAGCCCATAGAATTATATAATTTACTTGTAAAAATTTACAGTTCTGTTTATAGACACGTAAAGTATAGTAAAAAAAAAAAAAAAAAAAAAAAAAAAAAACGTATTTTACCTAAAAGCGATATAAAATAATTATATTGGAAAATATTATTGTAAAAATATGCTTTTAGCCACGATCCACAGGAGAGCCAAAAACAAAACCCACTCAGTCTAGCGTGAGAGAATTACGAGGATTAGGATTATCACCTGACCTGATAGTCTGTAGATCGGAAAATCCAATAGGAGATTCTGTGAAAGAAAAAATTTCAAATTTTTGTCACGTTGCACCGGAGCAGGTGAAACTTGCCAATTTTGTCACAATTTTCATGAATTTGATAAAGAAAAGCTAATAGAAACTTTTTATTTGTTAGGTCATAACTGTTCATGATTTATCGTCTATATATCGAGTACCGCTTTTGATGGAATCGCAAGGCGTCATTGAATTTTTAAATGACAGATTACAACTAAATATTGGAATGCCACGACCAAGATGTTTCATGCGAAAGTGGAGAGATTTAGCAGATCGTATCGATCACTTACGAAAAGAGGTGAATATCGCATTAGTAGGAAAATATACGAAACTAGAAGATTCCTATGCGTCGGTTACGAAAGCGTTGCAACATGCCTGTATACAAGCTGGTTATAAACTTAAATTAACGGTAACAGTTCAAACATATTTTTCACTGTATTTTCATAGTGATTAGTTTTGTAATTCTGGTATTATACGGTTATAGTATATAGAGGCTGACAATTTAGAACAAACAATGAAAACAACAAATCCTGTATTGTACCACGAAGCTTGGCAACAACTTTGTAAAAGCAGGTAATTCTTTGTTTCGTACGTACGAAACATGCGTACTTGATTAATTTTTGTTTACGTTAAATTTTTATTATGTCATTCGTACTGTTTTGTAGCGGTGTCATAGTGCCGGGTGGTTTTGGTAAAAGAGGCATGCAAGGGAAAATGGAGGCATGTAAATGGTGTAGAATAAATGATAAACCGTATTTAGGTATTTGTTTGGGACTACAAGTAGCGGTTATTGAATTCGCAAGAAACGTTTTGGGCATTGAGGATGCAAATAGTATAGAAATTGATCCAAAAACTGATTATCCTCTCGTCATAGACATGCCAGAACATAATCCAGGTCATATGGGCGGAACTATGAGACTTGGAAAAAGACGTACTCTATTTACAGATGATAATTCTATTATAAGTTAGTAACAGAATATTTGAACAATTTTATCTAGCAAATGTTATTTCGCTTCAAAAATTTTGTTTAGAATTATATCGTATTTTATAAATATAGAACAATTGTATGGTAACAAGAACTATATAGAAGAGAGGCACAGGCATAGATATGAAATCAATCCAAAATATATCGAAGAGTTAGAAGAAGCTGGACTGAAATTTGTAGGTAAATTAAATCGCGTTAATTACCGGCATTAAAATACAGAAGAATAGTAACGATTAATTTACAAATTTCTTTAAAAGAAATTTCTCTTTTGAGATTTCTCATTATTTTTAATTATTTTTAATTATTTTGTTACATTCTTCAGGTCATAACGAAGATAAACTACGTATGGAAATAGCCGAATTAAAAGAACATAGTTACTATGTTGCTACTCAATTTCATCCGGAATATTTATCGAGACCGTTGAAACCTTCTCCTCCATTCTTAGGATTAATTTTAGCTAGCGTTGGCAAATTAAAATATTATTTAGCTAGAGGTTGTCGATTCTCACCTCACGAAGTCAATGATAGTGAGTCAGGTAAAGTAACATCATATCTGCGTAAATTTTGATAATTACAATTTACTAGTAATAATTTTCGCATTTTTAGCAGATAACGATTACCTCTATGATTCCATGGCGAAACCAGAACTGAGCGAAACACCTAGTAGAAGTAGTAGCACCACATCGGGCGTTAATGATTGAATTAGTGTCATTTACGTTGCGACGAAAATATTTTTAACGATGAAAATATATTATTTGTATGTATGCGTGGTAGGCAGATAAACAACTTTTATTCTAAAACAAGATACGAGATACATTTCAAAATGTGTGTACTATATTAAAGTTACATTAGTGTATTATAGATCTACACTGTATAATTATATGTTAAAATATACACGAAACCAGTTACATGCCAAAATGTTTAAATAATAGTTTTGTACCAAATGAAATCACTTAAGTATTTACAAATGAACATATAGAATGTGTTTTGAATAAAAGTTGAAATATTGCAATTTTTATTATTGCTTAAAATTATTGTATGGCCTTTCTTTTCACGATCTTCTTTTTAATTACATATGACATATTTTTATAATCTAAATTTCGAAGGATTATAATTTTATCATTGATTTTTATTATGTACACTATATTTCTTTTGATTATTAAATTTTTCATATTTGTATAAATTTGAATTTCTTGTAACTTTCAACGTTTTATTATTACATATGAAAGTATAAAATTAATCTTTTAATATAATTATGGCAACTTCGTAAAACTTGTGTCATTACAAATTACACATTTCACTAATTAGTTGTATATCAAGGAATTATTGTTACAAAGTCGTAATGAAGACTTTTTACTTTTATTGAGCAGCACATGCGTTCTGCTGTGAATACAGTATATAAAATATACACTGGCATATTAATACAGTAAAACATTTTCTTTGTATAAAAATGACGTATGTACACTCTCACTGTTGCACGTACCGTACACGATATCATTGATACTAGGTGAATATTAGGTTACAATTGTGAATTCGGATCACTAAAATTCGAAAGGGAGAAAAGAAAATATCAAAAAGAAATAAAATATCTGTAATACACAATAAACAAATGTAAATAAAATAAATACAAAAAGAAATTAAAATGCACTTTGGACGGTAAGCATAAGAAATAATACTAAAAATATTTCTCGCAGTAAGGAAAGTATTTTACATGCAACAAAAATGATGAAGTTTGGACATTTTGTATATACAAGTAATCGCCGATAAAAGAAATAACAGAATTTGTACACGAGACACAGACTTATTTTTTATATGATTCATATTTTTCAATGGATTCTTAATAATTTGGTAAATAATGTTAAAAATAATTGATATCGTATAAAATATAAAAAAATGAGTAACTGCTCTCGTTTCTAAAATGACTAAATGGTAAAATAAACAAGTATCTAGCGTATTACTATCTTGTCGTAATGTTAGGTCTAAATTACAAAAGTACATAATAAATACTTATGCACCCCGCGATCTATGATAACAACAGTCTGTGAACGGTTTTTCGCTACTTCTTATTTTCAATAACTCGCTACGAATATCATACGCATTACGATTCGCGTTATGTATCGAAATAAGTTTAAAACTATAATTTTAGTAATAAAGTGATACAAGTATAATGGTAATCTTTACTTTAAAAGATAAAACCAAATAAAAAAGCAGTATCTTCAAACAGTTAATCATAAACAATTACATGAATTTCTTTGCGGAAATATCTATAATTGTTATTCCTGTTATCTTCGTTAATGACAATTTGTTTTAATTTTTATACGTAAATCGAAAATCGATGCATACCTCATTAAACATTAATAGAACAAAAATTTGTATGCTCATTGATGAATCTTCTAAGGAAAATTTCCTTACCTTTATCAGTCTGATATTTTTCGTTAGAAAATACTCGATAAACTGATTGTATTCCATGAATGAAAATTTATCAGCGTTTGCTATCATTTTACACGATTATAAACCGAAACAGCGAAATGGAGTTTCGCGTTAGTACTATTCACGTTTTATAAAACTTTTCGCATGACACTTGAAAGTGCACTTATAAGCATATTTATCTATAAATATTCTGGCATTAATAATATAATAGCGTAATTTTATATTTAAATAAACCATTCTTTCTTCTTTTGAACTTGATGTCCCGTTGCTGAATGAACAACTGCTGAGTCTGGGTCTAACGCTATCTCCGCACCTTTATCCTCTTGCGTTAAATATTCACCTTTGTGTCTCGACATGTATCTTCCTATAAGCACTGCCATTACCACTAACGCGATAATAATAATAGCTAAAACACTTCCTAAAATCGCTGTATCGGTTTCGTTGTAAGCAGCTCGAACTTTTTCTTCGTCTACCTGTGGTGGTGGACGGGTTTCGACGATATCGGGTGGATGCGTAATTGGTTCTACACCGCAGAAATCTTCGGTGAGCGAGGTGCCCAAGGAACGAACGTTTTCTGGCCCGTTTTCTTGGAATAATAATTTCAGAGGGTAAATATCATCGAATTCTACTCTAGATATGCAACCAGCAAATCCCTCTGTCATGGATTCATTTCTTCCTATGTACATATATTGAATATTATTGAACTGTGCATCGGCAGAAGCTTTAATGTTAAAATGAAATTCTTTCGGCTCGTAATTATCCACTTGCAACACGAGAGTTGCTCCAGAATTCTTTCTGCCTACTCGGACATCGTGATATTGTCCTAAACCGAAATGCTTATTGGGAAATATAACTTCTTGACGCTCGAAACCGAAATCGAAAACAACGCGCAAATGTCCACTGTTCGATACCATAATCGTCATGTATTCTCCAGAAATATTTGAAAAGAGACCGAGCAAAAATCCTTTAGGATTCGTTGTTGTAAAACCGACTCTAATCTTCTCAGAAATCGTTGAACGCCAACTACCCATGAAATCATACTTTATCATGGAACTGGGCCGCATATTTACACCAATTTCTGTAACAATGAAATTTCACCAGTTATACGATAATGTAGCTAGAACTTTCATTGACGTAATTAATTCGGATCAGGATGGGTTTAGTCTTTCCAGTCGTGTGTTATCACGTATAACGATTAAAAATCACGATTACGTAAATGAATAATATCAAATAAAATAATCGTTTATAAAAGACGAATTACGTACCGTCTGCGCAAATAGGACCTTTGAACGCGGTCCAACGACAGTCGCACGAATATCCGTCGTATCTTTCATGGCACGTACCGTTGTTGAGACACGGGTTGCTTTCACATTTGCCCATACAACCTTCAGAAATTCCGTACAGACCTTGTCGTCCATAGGTTCTTAAATCTTGCAACTGACCGTTTAGAAGAAGGGCTCTGATACAACCCACGTAACCGTCCCTATATTCTGTCGTAGCACCAACCACGAGATCCGACGTGAGGTGAAGCGCTCTTACTGGGCCTGGAGGTTCTCGCACTTCGTTCTTCAATGCTCCGTCGACCACGATTCTAGCTTCCTTACGGTTTCGTTCGACCGACACTGAATGCCATCGGTTATCAGCCAATCTATACGATGTTTGCACGCTCACAGTAAGTGGACCACTGCCTGCCAAATACTGGAACTGAATCTGGTTTCCACTGACTATGGAGATCTTTATATAATCTGTCGGTCCTTTACTGTGGATTATTACAGCGTCATCTATGGTTGTTTTGAACTCAAAAAAGATATCACCGCTGTGACCGATATCAAAGGTTGGTAGATTGATGGTAGCATCAACAATGCGGAATGTTACTACGTTCATGAACAAATCTACAATAAAACAGTGTTCAATTATTTTACATCGGGATAACGCGTGTACTTCTGTTTCGATACAAATGATATAAAGGTAACTACGAATTTCTGAGGGTCAATACAAATCTGATAATTATTAAGTACATTTTACCAATTACTATTAGTTAGATTTACTTACAAATTAACTACTCTGACTACTACGTCTTACCTGATCTTACCTTGGTAGACAACCAAGGTAATTCAGAACCTTATAAACAATTTAAAGTATATTAAATTTTCTCGTTCATGTGAACGTGATCAAAGAAATTTCTTTAACTTACCATCGCCTTCGCAAATAAGGGGACCTAGCGTGTAGTGACCCTTCTTGTCATCGACCGGCGTACCGGTATCACCGAATCGCAATTGCTTCACAGGAAGATATTCCTTTTCTGTAATATCGCCACTGTCTTCGAGAGGACCATCCAAGTCGGCATCGCAATTGCACCATTTAGTAGAATCCGCGCAATTTCCAAGTATACCGCATTCACATTTACGTGAACCAGGTAATGCACCTCCCCAATAGTCCATTTTTTGATTGTTTCTACTGACCCACCACGAATTCGGTCTAAAATAATCTCCTTGAGCTACTGAAATTGCAAAATATATTTTTGATACAAGCGAACAACATAAGTTTGTATTTATTCATATTTACATTTATATATTCATATGAAATCACACCTGGTGAATTAAATAACTTGGAATGTACACATTCGTAACTAATCCTCTGCCTACAATTCATGGATCTATTGAGAAGAGCTATAATTTGATCCATGTCTGCGTCGTAAATTATATCTTGAACGAAACTACCTGGCTCTTGGAACCCGTCTACGGGTGTCATACGTTCATTATTATGTCGTAAAATCGTTCTCACGCGTCCATCGGTATAGAATTCGCAGACTACAGGGAATGGTTTCAATGGACCACTTCCGTCAACGTCTATCTTGATGTCTGCTCGTTGACTGACTGAATTAATATTCTTATACGCTTCGCACGAAAGAGGATTTAAGGCTGTATAAAAGGTAACGAATGATATTACTGTATATTCAGGATGTGACGATGTCTAGAACAGTGATGGACAACTGTGTTCACAAAAGAGATATTTGTCAGAAGCGGAAAAATGTTTCGAGTCTCTCAAGGTTCTTTCTGTATTTTATAACCTTGTCTCATTGGCTCTCCCTGGATACTGATGTATTCTGTAATCCTAATTTTCCTCAAACTCTTCCAACACCAGTATCATCTGTCCATCATTGCTCTATAATTTCAATTAATTATCCCCATTTACTTACAAGTATGGCATACGGCTCCAGTATATCCTGTATTGGCACAATCACAGAAGAATTCATCAGAATTTTGACGACAAATCCCAGAATGTTTGCATGGATTTGGATTACAGCGATCCATCATTTGACACGCATCAAAAACAATCTCGTTTTTGCAACAATATTCCTCCTCCTTCCAGTCAGTTGGTATCTTATAATTACCATCGATGCTTATCATTCGCATACAACCAACGAAACCGCGATTACTTTCTACCCCAATCATACCACCGATCAAATACACTGGTCCAGTTATCATTTTTAACATACGTTTAGTCCTCATAGGCGTTCCATCGACATTCAAAATAAGACTGTTCTTGGAAATTGTTAGAATAACTTGATGCCATTTACCATCGTTAAAATTTTCATCGAAATTATCTAAAGTTACTCGTGGACTTTCGTTTGTTTGGATATCAACTTTAAGTTTGCCGTTTTCTAAAAATAGCTGTAAATGTGAAAATGTATTAATAGAAGCGATAAAGAAAGAAAGAAAAAAAAAAAAAAACATTATTTTTATATTGCATCAATAATACAATGGATTTACATACCTTTACATATCCTGGCGAAGTAAACTGATGATACAAAATAATTCCCTTATCTTCGTATGTTCGAAAAGTAAGAGATACGTTCAAAGAGGATATTCCTTCGTATCCTTTAAGTCTGGCATATGATCCATGAGTCAAAAATGTAACAGGAATAATAGGTGGTTCTGGACAACTGTAAACCGTATTTACTTTGTAGTATCTTAAATTTTCACCGGTGATTTCAGTATTTATTAAATCGTGAATAATGCCTGTTGAATTTAAGTAAAAGTTTTCTATGCATCCTGTAAAATTTTGATTAACCACTAAACCATCCTGTTTGTTAGGTACGCCACCTATGTAAAGCTAAACAAACATTTATATATTAAATAACATTATATGTTCACACATACAGTAAACGACATTTTACAGATTCCGATTACTTACTGCTCTATTTAGATCTAATCTATGGAATGCTCCTTTTATTCTTCCTTTGATTAATACTCTATCTACAGAGAATGAAATATTTTTTCTGTTGCGAGATATTAAAACATCGTGCCACATATTGTCATCCAAAAGACTTCCAACGGATAAACTTGTCATAATACCAGATCCAAGATCGATATTTAATAACATTCTATTATCTCTTAATTGTAAAGCTATATAATCTCCTTGTGTACCGCGTGAATACATTAGAACTCCATCAGCGTTATTTGTTTTAAATCGAAAACGTATAAAATGTCTGTCTGTTTCTATAGGTTCTCTCAACAAATCATATCGCAGAAGAGATGAACCATTAAAGGAAAGAACATCGGACACTAGAAATAAAAAAGAAATCGTCTAAACATTTTAAGACTTTAAATGATTAAGTTCTTTTACTTTTTTAGAACTCTTACCATAATTACATCCATATAATTCTATTCTTAAGGATATTCTATCGCGCCATCGTGTTGGATTTATTCTAATCCATTGTGCAATAATTGGTACTTCGAATTTATTAAGTTTTGTGGTGTCACCATCTGTGTTACCCTTAAACATCTATAAGAGAAGACAAAGGAAAAAAGATGATTGTTTTCTTTTATTAGTAACTCGAGCAATGAAATCTTTACCAAATTTGCTGTAAATCTATAGAAATTAATTGTACACGAAATATTCCAAATTGAAAATATTTATTCGAGCTAATATGTTATTAAAATTTGCATGTTTAGTTAATAACATACAATTGTTGAAAATATAATATTAATGCTTAAAATTTGTATGCATGTAAGTAATTAGGATTGAACATTAATCGGTAAATATCTAGCATGCTCTTTTCTATAAGTATGTTAGTATAGCATTGTTAATTATAAGTGCAAAGATATAAAAGCAAGAAATTAATTATTATAGTACTTTTCAGTAAATTGTGTTTTAAAAATATAACTTTCAACAATACTCTTTCTCCAAAATAGATTACAGAGTATTAATAGTTATTACATGAGAAATAAAGAAGTAATAATACTTTTAAAGTAAATACTAAGAAATGTTGTGATATTTGTTTCTGCCTTCACCAAAAGATATTTGAAATTATAGTTCTGGACCTTAGAAAAAAATGATTGTCCCTGTTGTTTAAAAATAGAGAAATATTTTGATATGTACAAAATCTATGACACATTGCATTGCATATTTTTAATATAAAGAAGAAAGAAAAAAAAAAAAAAAAAAGAAAAACTGAGTGAAACTTTTGTTTACAAATAATTACTTTTTACAGAAGTTCTACGTTTTCTTATAATCAGTATCTCTGTTAATACCTCATCTACACCATCCTGGCTTTCATAACTGGCCCAGGCTTGACCATCGTCAGAATACTGGACAATGTATTCTGTCACATATTCATTAGTATGAGCACGACCTCGTGTGGCAATGCTGCGTATCTCATATCTGTCTCCCAGTTCCACAGTAAGATGTTGATCATAACTGCTAAGCTCTGGTGACCACGTAGAACCTCCTGCAAAGCCCAGCCCCATGTCCATGTGTAAAAGAAAAAGAGTAGAAGCAAAGCAGATAAGTGGCAAGAAAAATGTGTCATGTAATTAAATGAGTATAAAATAAAACCATTTGATTTATATTTATAAATAACATTTTCATTACATTTATGAGAGTAAATATACTTTCATAAATGAAATGTTAACAAAGAGTTTATAATAATTTAGAAGATATGTATGAAATTATGATAAGAACGTGTTATAAAAGCAATCCAAAAACATATATGTACAGAGAGCATGCAAGCGATACGTACCCATGAACCCTTGTAATAAATTACTATTAAAAAAGCATCCATCAATTTTACATGCTTAAGCGTATAATTAAGATAGCAAACAATTTTTAAATCTATGCTATAACTGTTACACTCGTATGTTCCAAGAAATTCTGATTAGTTATTATTAGTTACTAAATGCATATACCTTTCCAATAAATTCTCTCTTGGATTATGGCTATGTAAGCACAAACACCTATTTTAAAAATTGTAAAAGGTCAGTTTACCTTAACATTACCATCTTCTTCTTTGAAATCAACATAGTCCAGGCCATTTGTACCATAACTGATACCATATTCCATAACATACTCATTTTGAACTGCTCGCCCCTGGGTCGCCACGGCTGTGATATTCATTACTTGACCCAGGTCGACTATAAGGTACTGATCAAAGTCTGAGCTGCTAGCCGTCCATGCGTTTCCGCCTACGCCACAACATATACGCATGCATGCAACTCAAAATGAACTTAGGAAAGCAGTCATATTAAACAAGATAGATTTAAAATTAAGTTTCGTATAATGTAGTATATGAACTAGCTAGTATCTTACTTATTATGATGTAATTATTTTTATGTAAATTAGAATATTTCAGTTTTATTTTTGAAGATCTAACAAAATAGTCGCAAGCAACACTTTTTGAAAAGAAACTTGAATACATGTAAGGAAAATCTACAGGATCATACATTATTCAAAGAATATTCCCTTGCCCTTGCACAACAGTGGAATAATAGTAATAGGTACGTGTATTTTTTTTACTCAAAAATATTTGAAATTATTCATTACCATATAAAATACTATATGATAAGGTAAAATAAAATTTATACTAGTATTTCAAATTATTTTATTATACTCGCTGGCTGAATTCACATAGAATTGTTATGTCTGTACATCTTTATTATACATAAATATATATATATATATATACAAGATCATGGACATTCCTCTTTTTGTAAATATTTTTGTGTATATTCGAAATCTTGTGGAAATAGAGGGACAGCATTGGTGAACAGTTCATCGCTGCTCAGTATTTTAAAAAAAATATTTTGCGACCGCGGTACAGTTCCATTTTCTTGTAAAGCTATAGCGACACAATGTTGCGAATTTAATAATGTTTCTTCGAATAAAAACTGTTGTTTTATTCCATTTATATACAACATTGTATCAGTTATAATACTATTTTTGGTAAGCTCTGACTTTGTTCTGAAGTCAAGTGCACTAAGTTCAGTAAGGATACCTTTACCTATAGCTTTTAAGTAGCTCTCTTTCAGAGCCCAATGTCTGCAAAACATACTAATTTGTCCCGACTCGTTTATAGACGAATTGTTTATTTCATTCCATTCGGAAGATGAGAAATTTCTATTCATTATGCGAAAAAACTCAGACAATCGTTTACCACCAGTATATTCTAATTTCATTACATCGATACCTAATTTTAAGTTTCTCGTTTCACCTGCTAAAACCGTATAATCGCCATGATGCGATACATTAAAACTTAAGTTCAAGAATAAATTTTTTAAAATTGGTTTATTACAAGTATCTCTGGTGAATAGTATATCATTATATGGAATGCAACCATGCTCGTTAACAAATTTTCTCAACATTAATCTCCCCACTAGAGAAGCCCTAACATCCTTACGATACATAAATCTGCCTAATCTTTCTTTCTCTTCCGACTGTATGCAAGAAATTGCATACGCAAAATCTTTTTCGCTCGGATTCCATTCCTTCCAATTGAATGCCCATCGAATACTTTGAAACATTTTTAGACAATTAAGTATATCTCGTTTACACGAATAAATTTTTATTTCCTTCCTTTTGAAAAAAAATCTTGACTTTAAAAATACCAGGCTATTCTTTAGCATCCACCTGAAGCAAATAGATAAGATAATTATTTTTTTAAATTGATCAACGAATTAGAACCAAGAAAGAAATTATTACTTAACATGAACTCAGATGTACAGAATAACTATGCAGTGAGTCAGCAGACACGGTCAATATAATTGAGATCTAAAATTCTTTTAACGAAGGTGGGCGTGAATAGTGGAAATACCAACACCGTTTTAACTCGGGTTCCATTATGATTTCAAGATTTGTACTTTCATTGTTAAAACACAAGTATGTAACGAGTAATACATAATACACTACCTACATTGTTATTAAGTATATTTATAAATAAAGTTGAAAACAAGCAATCTCGATAACATTAATAAGATACCGGTGGTTCCATATTCTCTCAGAACTTAATATATAGATAACAAGCAACAAACTACATAATGAAATACTTGTAAACTTAAAGAAATAAATAAGGAAACGTCGTCGAATAAATATATATGACAAAGTGCAATTTAGAATATAGAGGAAATTAAAGAGAAACTTTACCATTGAGTTTGGCATTATTCGGACCTCTTTCGGGCAATGACGTAGTGGCTGTTAAGTGAGCTCTCTCCAAAAGTGGCTCGTTACATTCATCATCTAATTAAAAATTAAAACATAGTTGAAATTTAAGGACTTAATTACATAAAAACAATCCAACAGTTGTAATTATTCGAAACGACCCAATATTTGTATTTGATTCGATACGAAAATTATTGATTTATTAATGCAATTAAGGAATTATATTTTATATAATCGAGAAAAAAAAAATTGCGTTTCTTCGATAACATAAAGCGTAGTCCATATAAGAATTATGAATTCTAACACAGTTGAGGAAGAAAAAAATAAAGAAATGTTGATCATGCAAAAATGCATACGTTCAATCAATGAAATATAAAAACTGTTTCGCTTCTGAATCGAACCTATTATGCATTAACTCTACGCCATGTTGTGAAATGGGCTTGGCTGTACTGAATCATGTCAGAAAATTGATTGTAACATCGAAAAGAAATTTCAAACGATCAATAAGAAAATTGCACTTACACGCAGAAGTAAATGAATTACTTGTAATTGTGAACACGAACACAAAACACCTGATAGTATTCATCGTATCATTGCCCTTTTAGAGAGCAACGCACGAACGAATCTCGTCAACGGAACGCGTCGTTGAAACTGTTCCTAAATTCCCACCAATTCTCAATTCCCACCCGTTTGTAATTACTTTACGGTATAGGCATGCTATGCTTTACACGCATCTATACTATACATCACGAATATGGTAGGTTTCCTTAGGGAAAATGGTGGCCAAGGAGAATGAATTCCCACTATTCGGTATAGCAACATTGGTACGCGTTACATTTCTTTCGCCCGAAATCAATAAGTAATGAAATTTTATGAAATAAATGCTTACTTTAAAAAAATCAATTGATTTATTTCGTAATAAAGAGTTAACACCATTTTGCTGCAAAGTAATTCGTTCGAAAGGTATAGATAGAAATATTTTATGCGTTCTTTAACAATTTAAATTGTTCTTCGCAAAATCGTCATGCTCTAAATTCTAAATCATGCGAAATCTTCGTAAATAAATTCCTTTTTGCGAAAGATATTATAAAGATATGTATACGTATATGTATAAAATCTTGTTGTTTTCTAATGACGGTAAAGTAGATTGAGTCGATAATGTCGCCAACTTGAACGAAGTTGAAGAAGTTATAGGTAAGTAGTATAGCTTTTTGCAAAAATTCTTTAAAAGCATATTTTCATAATATTCACGTATAATGTGTAATTATGTTCGCGAAAGAAATGTTACTTTGCTACAGAAACATATGCAGAATTTAAATGATTTAATTTAAAGAAGTAGCATAAAAAGTAAATGTTATATTTATTTTGTTTATTGATAGACATATCCATAGAGAAGGTTATTGGCAGCATGATGGACGACGAAAATGAAACTCGTGTCAATATGGAGAAACAAAATGTAGAAGAAGAAGAAGAAGAAGAAGAAGAAGATGAAGAAGAAGAAGTAGAAAAACAAGAGGAAAAGAAGGATAATAAAGTAGAAAATACATTCGAAGTGGAAGATAGAAAGGGGGCTGAGGAACTAAATTACGATGACTTTGAAGAGTATCCGGATTACGAAGAGGTACCGGAGTACGCGAAAGAGTATGAAAAGGGTAACATGTTTGTTAAATACCATTTGAAATTATAATCGTTCGTCGATTTGAATGCTTTAAAAAAGGATCTCACGATTTTTAACGACTCGCTAGTTCGCTAGTTTAACGATCGGAATTATTTTCCGAAATGCAAAAGTTCGAAAATCGAAAGTTATATCTTTGAATGTTCGGAAAACATGTTGTCGCAGCTGTTTCCAGCGAAACGATAGATTGGGAGAGAGAAGCAAAGAAAACGCTACGGCTGGATTCCGAGGAACCAAGGAGAAGACGGAAAACTATCTATGAACTGGATGCTTATGCTTCTTCGGGTCCATCGATGAGCGATATCCTGAAACTGAGTTCGACGGATATCACGCCTGAACCAGCGCGACCGCCAATTCGATACTCTGTCTCGATGGTGAATGATCTACGTATAGAGGGTGATAGAGAATTATGATCGTTTTACGATGATCTCTTTTTAACAGGGTGTGTCGGGCGTAGCGAGGCTCAATCTATCGCCTCTAACACAGAAAGCGGTCGGTTGCGTGATAGGAGAGAATGTCAGCACCGAATATCCTTGGGTTTACGTTCGAAAAGAAATTATCGAGGATAACATATACCTTTACGAGGAGAGCAGCGATTTTATAGCCGTTAAGGATGAAGTTGAAAAGTTTCCGAATAAAAGGATACTTATCGGTTACGTACCCTCGTTGACCGAGGAGGGTCAATTCTACATTTGCTTAACCGAAGAAGCCAGGGACGCTGTAATCGCGCTTATCCAAAAGCAGAGAAGGGAACACGAAAATCGCGTGAGAACCGCTGTTTATAAACCAGCAGGAGATTGGGAAGATCTCGGTTCCGGTGAAGAGATTCAAACGACCATTCTAAAAAATACGAGGCCTTTATTGGAAATCGAGGTGAGCCCTTTGAAAATATTACCAAGTATTCGAATCAGTTTTTTTATCAGTGCGTTTGTTCGCAGGTATCGTGCAGAGGAGACGTGCTTAATTCACCGGTACACTTCGAAGACAGAAAAGTCAGCGACCAAAGAGACGGTTACATCGAATTGCTTCCTTATCGTCAAACGTTTGAAAACGTTTCGCGTAAACTGCTGTACAATGCAACGCAAGTAACACCGTCCGTTCGAGATGTCGACACCCAGACACCGCTTTCGGTGGCTAGAAATTGTTGGGCTCAATACGTATACGAGTATCGACCTTTGAACATATCCAACTTTCACCCAGAACAAATGGAATCGTTGAAAAATTTCTTTCGTCGATTTACCGATCAAGTTTGCGATCAAGTTAGTACGCGAAATAGTTATATAGTTATAGTTATATTTTATTTTCATATATTATATTTGATATATATTTACAGTTGTTGTTGAACGCTACTTGGGACATCTATAGAAACGATTACGTGGATCTGGTGCGACACGAAAGAGACACTCAATGGCCAATACCGGAAGGCTACAGGGAACATTTAAGTTTCCACGATGAAAAACACGTCGTGGAAAGAGTAATCAACGATCTTTGCTGGCACCCGTTATGGACGGGAGTCGCGTTCGCTGCTTATACGCGATACGGGAAAAGTCAACATCTAGAGGGACCTAAGTCGCACGAAGAGGTGAATCATCGAATTCGATGTTATTTTTTCAACTTGTTATAGTTGATCTAAGCGTACTTATTCTAGATAGATTGATATTTTCTATAATACATAGGTGATCAAAGCCTACGAGAACAATTACGTCCTCGTGTGGTCTTTCAACGACAGCTTAGCACCAAAATTATTGTTAGAATGCCCAAGAGAAGTGACAAGCGTGGCTGCGAATCCACTCGATGGTCATCGAATCGTGGGCGGTTGTGCAAATGGCCAGTTAAGTAAAAAACAAACGGAAGGTATAAGAAACGAAATGCGAAGTCGTCGAAATTGTAGGTGGTACTTTGGCACATTCCTGGAAAAATCGCTCAAGTAGAAACCGTTATCGTGACCACTGCTATTCAAATGAAGTATAAGACTCTGATCAGAAATCTGACTACGTGGATGCAAGAAGCGGTTGGAACGTCCTTCGTTAGACCTACAGCCATGTCCCCGTTAAAGGATAGCCAGAAGGCGGCTATAACTGAAATTCTATGGATGCCACCGTACGATAAGGTGGATAAAAATGGAAGAATCGTAACATTGCCGGATGACGAGGATGCTAATAATTTATACTCGCAATTTATTACCGCGAGTCAGGATGGCACGATAGCTTTCTGGGATTTGAAGTTAGTAGAGTTACGTAATTAGTATACTTGTCCGATTAGTGGTCTAGTTACTTGTCTAGTCTAAATACGCGTAAAAAGACTTTTATTCGAAGAGTTTCGTCCCTACGACTAATCGCGTAATTTGATCGCAAGCTGGGAAACGTTCGAGCAAAAAATCCGTTCGACTCCGGGAAAGACGTTTCCAAAAGAGCCTCGAGCCCGCAACGCTCCCGATTACGTGTTGAAACCGCATTATGTCTTGGAAGTTCAGCATCCGATCGATAGTAGAAGACAAGTGATCACTACCCTCACTATCCATGTGCCAACATTTAAGAAGGAACGCGCCGATATTTCTCTGCCCACCAAGGATCTGACTATTAGAAAATTCTATAGAAATATCATCGAGAAGCCGAATTTCGTGATGGAACCGAGAATACATATTGGCACCATTGAAGGTACAATTTCCAATATATTAGAAATATTTGATCGGTATAGATTTAATGTACAGCACTGACTCGATAGGATTCGAAACAACATTGTACGATGAAAGTTAAAGGAAAACACTTAGTAATTTCGATATCGTCGATAGGCGAATTTGGCTGCATCACATGGGAGGGATACGATTTCACTACGGATCTGGCTATTAATACCGAAATATGCAAGTGGTCCTGGTTGAAAAGAATACACGATGGACCGGTAACAAATTCGATTCGATCCGGACACAACAGCAATTTGATAGTAACGATAGGTGGTAAAGTGTTTGCTATTTGGAAAGAGGGTATCAGTGAGCCATTGATGTGGAAGAAAGCGGACGTTAGGTACGATGATAACCGTTATCTTAGCCGTTATCGAAATCGTAATTTCGAAGGTGAATTTGAAAGTTTCGAATTTACCGCGCTACTACTCGTTTAGAAAAATTTCGAAATGTATGCTCCGTTGACCATAGGCTCACTGCTTGTGCCTGGGGTAAATTTCGGCCTTCGGTTCTGATCCTGGCACGGATGGACGGTACCGTGGAAATATACGACTTTATGATAAAAAGCCAAGAACCGTGTGCCATACAAAGCTTATCGGGGCGCATAATCACAGGGATCTACACTCACGAGTTACGCCTGGATCCTTATGTCATAGGATTTTGCGATTTTAACGGTATCTTAAGAACATTCTTACCTCCTGTGATTTTCCTTAAATCGGACACCGCCAACATTCAGTGGATGGATGAATTTATCGAACGGCAAATCAAGAGGGTAGGTATATCTCGATTTACAACTAATTACCGGCGAATCGTTAGAATCGCTCCCATCGTAGGTGAGCAAGTGCAAAGTTTGGCAGAACCAATGGAGGGAAGCGAATCACGAAGGAATTAAGGAGAAACAAAAACGAATAAAAGAAGCGACAAAAATGAAGGAATTAGAAGAGGAAAAACAAGCGAAAGCTGATACCACGGAAGCCGAAGTAACAACCACGAAGGACAGGGAAGCAAGCTTTGTATGGGACTTTCGTTGATTCATATATTAGGTATCGTTACGAAAGTTCAAGACGGGAAATCAGAAATTTTGTGTCGTCGCGTCGTTTAGAAACGATGGGAGCTTATCGAGGAGGCTCGTGAAAGATGGAAGGCCGAGGAGCTGAAGCGTATGCAACAGGTTATTTTGGAAAAGAAAGGATTAAGAAAAGAGGAGCTCGAAAAACAACGAGCACCGATATTGAAGATGCGACAGGATGCAAAAAGGAAAAAACAAAAATTACAGCAGGCATTGCTGATGCAGGAGGAGCTCTTCGAACATTCGAAAAATCTGTTCATGTTGAAACGCGAACCAGAGGCGGCGAAAGTGTCCGTGCAAGCCGATGAAAAACGAGTCGAAGCTTCCATGGAAGAAGCTTTACTCGAACAAGAAGTAAAAGTAAATTTATAGAGCAAATATATATGATATCTCATTGAACAATATGAATTTCAATGAATTTCAATGAATTTCAATGAATTTTCAACAGACGGATAAAGTGGATCCGAACGAGGAAATACTTAACAACTTTGCGCAAACGCAGATGAAAGTGCTAGCGGAACTTGAAAAACAGCCCTTTCAGCATTCGTTCGATTGGAAAAAGATTTTGACGGAGGGCAAGTCCAGACGGATCTCGATGGATTCGGAATTGAGAAGACTGACCAAGTCGAGGAAGAAATTTAGTAAACCATACTAAATGTATAATTGTCTAACTTACTAATAAAACATTAAACAAGTAACGGACGCTAGTCTTTCCATCGCGATTGCTTGACCATGAATATGCCGGAACAGGATCGCAGATTTTACTCGACTAAAAGTCGAACAAAGTTTTACTTAAAAAAGGAAAAACCTGGCAACGGTGTTTCAATTACGCGAAACGTTGTTGCGTAGGTGAATCACAATCAGGTGATTCACATTCGTAGGTGAACTGACAATCAGAAGCTTGCAAATATAATATCCGGTATTCGTTATAAGAAAGATTCGAGCAGACAAAAGAGAGCAATTTACCACCGTAATTATCCCCACCTTCTATCGTACGCACTATAAACGTTCTTCAGTTTGACCGTATTATTTTCTATTAACTATCATGTTTTAGATGTTATGTTGGATGTACGCTGGCTGGTAAATCTTCGAACGAACACTCATAAATCTCATAAACCTTGAGATTTTTTTTTACAGGAATTCTATTCTGATCAATGCTCTATGGAATTCTATCAAAAGTTCGATTAAAGATTAAATTATGTAGGTCGTAAAAAGCCGTGGAGCTGTCTGAAAGCTGTACAGTTGTTTCCTCGTTCAACTAAAATTATTGGAAACCTGCATAAGTTTGAAGCCTGTTTCAATTGTAATAAGTAATTACAATCCTATATTTTACATTTATACCATGCCGAAAATTATTATCAATCGGCTACTTATCTTCGTTGCATGCGCATTCAAAATGTATATGTTTTTCGCAGAAATACTGGATGATCTGGAATTTTCCGCTTGGTCAGGTTATTTTTTAATAGGAACCGAAGCGACTCTTCAATTGAAAAAGCGATTTTTATTGGCAATGCCTCGAACGTTCGCGTGTCGGATCTGCACCGAAGAACGAGAAGGATACTATTCGAGAAGAGGAATCCAAGTCCAGAATCTTCGTTGTCTTTGATGGCTGTATTGTCGCGATAGTAGATACGTACGATTTAATAGCGCATGATCGTTCCCGCAACCGTTTTGGAAGAACACCGAATGAGAGAGGGACGAGACGTGCAATAGTAAAGCTACTCTTATAAGTAAGAGTAATCTCAACGTCCAACCAGTTAGTCAGTGTCCACGATAGCGAGTACATATTATATGTGGTAAGTTCCTTTCACTTTCCACGTTTGTTCGTCAAGGTTGAACGTGTAGAACACGTTGTTGGTATCTACTCGCTGGTAAATCGCCATTTTCGTTTCTCTCGAAACACCGTCATTTATAATAACTAGATTATTCTTTAGAAAGATATGCATTTGCATTTGTTTACCGTTTCTTCTTTTGCCGAATATCACGATCACGATCATTAAACGCGAGAACAATCGTTTATTTGTTTTTTCAGATACATCAACATGAATGGAATATTCATATTATTACTTGGAATCGTGGCCGTTGTTAATGCAGAGGTAAAGTTGTAATAGAAAGAAAACTTTCGAATGAATTTATTACTCTTCGGCGTGGATAATCTGTATACAAACACCCTGTATGTTTCAGCAAAAAACTGCACACGTTCATCTGGTGCCCCATGACGTTGCGAAGAAAAATGTGACCGGACATTTAACCATTACCCAAACGGGTGACGATGCTGTCGAAATCACTGGCACGGTGTATGGCCTTACACCAGGATTGCACGGTTTCCACGTGCATGAGAAAGGAGATCTGCGAGAAGGATGCACGTCTACAGGTCCACATTTCAATCCTACGAATGTAAGTGAAATCGTTTCGACGAGATGCTTTGCTTACGAGCGAAAATTGCCGAATTGTACGAATAAGAAGCGGGCAAAAAAATAAAAAAGATTAATTCTGTATTTAGCTTACCCACGGTGCACCGAGCAGTACGGTGAGACATGTTGGAGATCTAGGCAATATCCAGGCAAACGCTCAAGGAGAAGCAAGCGTAAACATTAAGGATTCGATTATTTCGCTTAGCGGACCGAACAATGTTCTGGGACGAGCGATAGTTGTTCATTCCGGCGAGGATGATCTGGGAAGAGGTAGCAGTCCACTTTCTGCGACCACCGGTAACTCGGGAGATCGTTGGGCTTGTGGCATTATCGCAATTTTATAGGTTTCTATCAGAATTTCATCAATTTACTGTCTCCGCGTACACTTTTCATTTCGCTAAACTATCGTTTCGTTCTTTTTCAGATTCTTACGGAATATCGACGAAAGAGAAGTTACAGCATGGCAGGGCTATCGGATTATAATAATATGGCTTATTAATGGCTTTAACGGTCTAAAATCTTTCGTTTCGACTACATATTACATGTATGAATTTTACGGATAAAGCTGTTTATACATCGTGTCTCAACACATCGCTTTTTATTAATACGTTATTCTTGTGATTGTCATCTATATTCTTTGTATCAAGATTATCCCTGTAGCTATTGATATATTACATTTTTAATATGCGTAGTATTTGGAAATTTTTAAATCCCCGAATTCGCAACTTCTCCGATTTTCCCATTTTCGAATTCCAAAATCCACGAATGTTCGATTCTTCAAATTTTAACTTCCAAACTATGTAAATTATCATATATTTACAAAACTCAAATTTCCCCGATTCCTGAATTCACCAAGCAGCATCGTTACTTTCTCGAGAACAGGGTACCATGCTTGTCGGTACAACAAAAAAAAAAAAACCCACCGCCATCTGACGGATGACATATGAAATTAAAACTCTTGATAACAGGAGCACAGAAAAGTAAAAGAGCTGTTTTACGGAAATTAGAAAGTTTAAAAAAGACGTAAGAAACAATTACGTAAAGTTTTCCATAAATTATATCAAACCTCTGTATTGGAATGTTACATTGCACGGATAAGGAGAAATAAAAATGGCGCCAAAATACATCATTTTAAAATTGATTTAAAATGGCGCGAAACTAGTAACACAGTCGATGTCAATTTTACCATACTTCTGAATAGTAAAATACCGAATGATTTACAAACTAATGAATGTCGATATTTTCATCATAGCGATTGAACAAATATTCTTTCATTGATAATCGTCGTTACAAATAGTGTTGAAAAAAAATTATAAATTGCATTATTAGAAACATGATATATACACTGATTAATTTCCTGTTTAAAAACTGAATTTAATTTGAACATAACATTTAAGTATCCTTATATATATTTTATGAAAGGTAACAATTTTCTTTAAAACCGTTTTTAATAATTTAATTGCACAACGCGCATAAATAATATTAGAGTTTTATAGCTGTGCAGTAATGAAAAAGTTTATTTATTTTTAATACATAGAAAATATGGACACATTCATTTGTAACAAATGCTTTAGTACAACATACAGGGGGAAAAAACCATTTTGTTTAACGCAATGTGGTCACATATATTGTCATGGATGTATACAACAAGGTAACAATGATAATATTATATTGTCTTAAAAATGTTAAAAGCGATTGTATAATATTTAAATACTAGGACAATAAAATCTAATGAACGAATAATGAAACGTTTTATGCAAAACTAATATAATTTAAAACCAATCTAGACGTTTTTTGATAATAATTGATATTTATAAAAATATATTTCTTGTGACGTAGCTGAGAAACAATGTCCTCAGTGTCAACAATTGGATATCTTTTCTGTGGAATTACAACAGCCGTCACTATCCAAAGTAGAATACTTTTTTGCTCCGCTTAACGAATCATTGGAATCGTTGCACAAAATATGTGGATTTCAACATAATCAGATGAAAATTATGATACAGCGTTTCCATGATATTGTATGTTCTATAAATCTTTCTCTATTTAATAAGGCCAATAATTTAATTGGTTAATCAAATTTAAGGATAAGAAATATGAAAAACTGAAGTCTCACTATTATAATGTTACACAAAATAACAAATTACTGAGAGATAAATATATTAAACTCAAAATGGAAAACATAGAACAAAAGAAGAAACTTATGTCTTTTGAAGTAAAGAGTAGAACCTTAAATTCTTTGAGCGATACTTCTACGCCGTTAAGTGTCAACAATCAAAGAAATATGAACATAAGGTATAATATACGTTATATCGATTTATATTACGCGTTTGCTAAGCTAAGCTAATAACTTACAAACTATAAATGTTTAACTATGTTATTGTTTCAACAAATAAATAAATGATATGTTATTTTGTTCTATAGAATACCTTTTTTTGAAATAATTCATCTTTTTTATTTATAGAAATACACCAAATTCATATTTTTCATCTTGTGGAACTAATATATCGAGTCAATCATCCAATATAGGAAGAGGACACAGAATATTAGAAGGTTTTCGAATACCTTATCCTCGTTCTGTAAAATCAGTTGGATCTCGTGGAACATCGGATTCAAATTCTACTTATACGTTTGGACGTTAAATAACTATAACTTATATATTTATTATCAAAATAAGCTAATTAACTTTTCGCAAAGTTTTCAAAATTACTCATAATAAAACTCATTATTATCAAGTTTTTAGACTGTCAGTTACAGTTTTGCTTTACATGAATTCGTGTTGATAAGAGCAAGACAAAGAAAATTTGGTTAGAGTATTATGAAATGAAGTAATCACACGGAATACAAACGTCTATTTATTTAAATGGAAAAGTCTGAAGAAAAAACAAAAGAAAATGTTTTATATTATTTTAAAATGTACGAAGTTAAATTTATTTTTCGAATAATTGTAACTATTAACATAGATACTTTAACAAAAATGGTGTAGTCAGAAGAACGTGTTTATTTCTATAGCAATTGCGATAAACATAAAAATAGGTAATTAAGTGATTATATAAATACACGAAGATAATAATTACCTTAGGATTACACAATGAATAAACTCACAATTTAGGAACAATTTATGTTTTCATTCATGGTTAATAAAGATTAAATACGGTACCACATGATATAATATAAATCAATAATTCCATGTAAATAATATGTATATTATACAACCTGATACTGAATATACAATTTTCTTACCCACGTGCGACTTGGGTTAGTATTTAGTATGATAAGTGCATTTCATTACAGCAAAGATAAACATATAATAATAGTAAAGTTTTAAGTATCAATTCGAAATGACAACACAACATAAACAGACAGAAGTGGCAGATACAAAAATTACATGTATTACATCTTTAATCGTAAGTAAAACATGATAATTCATATTTAATTATTTTTTTAGTACATATCAAGTGCTTTTACGTGTATAAAATTGCGGGAAATTTAACTAAAATGTTAAGTTATAACAAACAAATTTTTGTTACTTTAACAATTAGTGATAATTTTGTGAAATATTAGTTGAAACATTCACATTCATTGTAAAATATGCAAGTTTGGCACAACAAAATTTATTTCAAAAAAAAAGAAAAAAAGAAAGAATTATTGTTTACTATTTATTGTTTTACAATTCAATATATTGATTTGAATAGGCAGGAGGACTAGCTGGTGTTTCTGTAGACATAATATTATTTCCATTAGATACATTAAAAACACGATTACAATCTAAACAGGGTTTTATAAAATCAGGAGGATTTTCTAATCTGTACAAAGGAATCTTTCCTGTATTTATTGGTTCAGCACCAACTGGTAACGATGCATTGTTCAATAGATAAAATTAGCATTTTAAATAATTTAATATATGCATAGAATTAAATGAAACAATAATTAATTATGTATACATAAATAATGTTCTTTTCATATTGCAGCATCTTTATTTTTTGTAACTTATGAAGGTATCAAAAATGTAACACAGCACCGAATTCCTGAAAAATATCATTCCCTTTTACATATGAGTGCAGCATCTTTAGCAGAAATGGTAAATTTCATATAAAGATAATGTAGAATATAAAGATTAAATTTCAGTTTTTATACCTATCGAACATAGGTAGCTTGCCTCATACGGGTACCAATAGAGGTTTTGAAACAGAGAAAACAAGCTTTAATATTTGAGAGAAAAGACATTAGTCTCAAATTACTGTATTGCGGCTATTGGAGCACAGTGCTGAGAGATATGCCCTTCAGCCTAATACAATTTCCAATTTGGGAATGTTTTAAAAGAATATGGAGTTTAAACGTCGATAGAAATATTTTTCCCATAGAAAGTGCAATATGTGGTGCAATTGCAGGTATATAGTTTTATAGCAGTACATAGTAAAGTTTTATTTGATCTGTAATCTATAGCACAAAATTTCTTAGGTGGTATATCTGCTGCTATTACAACGCCCTTAGATGTTATTAAAACAAGAATAATGCTTTCACATAGAAACGAAAATGCTTCAAAGTTAAAAATATTATATGTTATACAAAATGTTTATAAAGAAAAAGGCTTATATGGGTAAGATTTAGCATTAGTATTATAATTAGTATTGATATTATCGAATATATATCATACGTTTTTTTGTAGACTTTTTGCCGGTATCGGTCCCAGAGTAATGTGGATAACTTTAGGAGGTTTTATATTTTTTGGAACTTATGAAGGAGCAACAGTTATAGTCATAGAGCATTTATTGCCTTTTTCTATTTTTACGAAGCAACCTAATAAATGCTATTAATTTTAATATACATCAACAAAATTGAGTGAAAAGTGCATATTTTATACAATTATAAAAAATATGACAGGGACCTGTAAAAATATGTTTTATATTTACCTTTGAAAATTGTATATACATTTCCTTTTAACGTTAATTGTTTATAAAAAATAACGACATTTCCGCAATATGAACATTTCATAACATTTGTATACAAACATATAAACGTTCTTTCAAAAAGGATAACATCTTTTAACTTTTAAAGTTTAGACTTTAAATTGTACATTAATTTTTCTAATTTCATTGCTTTTTGAAGATTACCGCTGATCTTTAATTTTCCCATCATAAAGGCAGATGCAGGTTTCAATTTTCCTAAATGATTATAAAGTTTGTAATTGCTAGTACAAGATGTAATTTAATTCTTAATAATATATATATGAAATATTTTTAAGTAGCAGAATTTTTCGTTATAAGAACAGGAACTTACATAAATATATTTACATACCAGAAAACATTGCGAAAAAGTTTTGAGAGTCCATTGTTAGTACAGCATCAGGTGGGTGTGTAGGCTCTCCTTTTCCTACAGAGCCATTTCCATTCTTCAAATCCAGAAACCATATACTAGCTTCATCACCTACAAAATTTGTATTAAATAATATAATTTTAGAACTATATAAAAATAGTATGTTAATAGAACAATTGATTACTGTGCAGTTGACATTACCTTTAACATTAAACTGAAAAATAGCTCCAGTTTTGTTAACAAGTTCATTATTTAAATTCGCTTCAATGGCAGTGAATATTTGTGCAATTTTTGTATTTGATTTATTAGCATCCTGTGTAGTAACATTAGTTTGCATAGTAATAATTTTCATCTCATCTTGTAAATCTAAATTTTCTTCTAAGAAGAAATCTAACATCAGTTTGTCTTTGTTCGCTGGAAGATAATTATGGTTAGTTATATCAGAAAAGATATATTAATGTGTTAAAATAATAGCAAGTATTATTGTAGAAACAAACTTGGATCGCATGCATAATTGGTGAAGTCAGTAATCCCTTCATTTTTTAATAGTACTTCGTCAATTAAAAATTGTCCTGTAATAGATCTGCTATCTTTACAGATTAAAGCATACACAGCATCTCCCATTATGTCAGGTTTGCGACTAAAACTACTAGATGCAGGCCCAGATAGCATTTCAATGGCAGCAGTATGAATAGCTAAAATAAAAGTTTGCGATCTAGAAGTAAACAATTGATCATGATAATAAAATGGGCTTATATAAAGAATATAATACCAGTTTTTGGCCAAACAGCATTCACAGCTATACCATCTTCTCTGAACTCTTCTGCCATTCCAAGAGCACACATTGACATACCAAATTTAGATATTGTATATGCCACATGATTTTTAAACCATATTGGTCTCATACTTAACGGTGGACTTATGTTTACTATATGAGGATTTGTGCTTTTTTTTAAATAGGGCAAACATATCTTTGACCTTAAAATCATTAATATATTGCTATTAACTTCAGCTTATATTTTATATAAGAAAAAAGGCGAAAATATTAAAAATTATTTACTAATCCTTGCAGTATATACATACACTAAAAATGTTCCCCTGGTGTTGATATTATTCATAAGATCATATTTTTTCATATCAGTCTGCAATGTGCCTGTTAAAGAAATTGCGCTTGCATTATTAATAACAACATCGATACCACCAAATGTATTAACAGCATTTTCTACCGCAGAAACTACTTGTGTTTCGTCTCTTACATCAACAATACAAGGTAATGCTTTTCCACCTGCTTGTTCGACTAAAACAAATTAATACTTTATTTAATGAGATGAAGATAAATTTATGTTTAAAATGTTCTTGTCTCATAAAAAACAAACTAATTACAAACCAAAATTTATATATAATAATAATAATAATAATAATAATAATAATAATAATAATAATAATAATAATAATAATAATAATAATAATAATAATAATAATAATAATAATAATAATAATAATAATAATAATAATAATAATAATAATAATAATAATAATAATAATAATAATAATAATAATAATAATAATAATAATAATAATAATAATAATAATAATAATAATAATAATAATAATAATAATAATAATAATAATAATAATAATAATAATAATAATAATAATAATAATAATAATAATAATAATAATAATAATAATAATAATAATAATAATAATAATAATAATAATAATAATAATAATAATAATAATAATAATAATAATAATAATAATAATAATAATAATAATAATAATAATAATAATAATAATAATAATTACTTTCTTTGGCAGCAGTATATATAGTGCCTGGTAATTTTGGATGCGGTTCTGCTGTCTTGGCTGCAATAACAATATTTGCTCCATCTTTTGCAGCTTTCAAAGCAATACTTTTTCCAATTCCTCTTGACGCTCCAGTAATGAAAATTGTGCGACCCGCAAGCTTTCTATTTTAAATATCCATAAACAATTATTTCAGTAATTAATATACAAATAATATACCAACTGCATTAATTAAACATTTAAAATTATATTTGAATGCAATATTAATAAAGAATAACAGATATTGATTTTTCTTCAACAGGTTTCTTCAAGCAGTTAAACTTTCCCAAATGAAAAGTTGTGCGATTATTATTTTAACATATCCATATTGAAGATAAATATCTGTTGCACTTTAAAGCAATTTAGGTAATTAATTGTAAAATATTTCACAAAATTTGCAATACATACCCTGTATTTATCATATTGTAAATAGATTGAAAAACTGTCATGAAAGTCAATGATAATTAAAATATTTATCTTATTGTAATGACAACAGTTAATTAAAAATAATCTAAAAAAACAAGAATCGTACTTTGACTTGGAAAGTGTCACGGTTTAATGTCCAATTACAATAATTATTATCGTCGTAAGTTTACCATATTTGACAACATGGCGAAAATTTCATGCATAACAATGATGGTCTAAATACTATCGAATAAATCAACGCACAAATTTTATTTCTACAAATTTAAATCTTGACACATAAATTTGAACATATTAAACGTATGTAAGTATTAGATGAAGAATAAAAATCTGAAATGAATTTGAAGTGAAAGTTGAATGTCAGTATCATCTTTTAAAGTTTTTATTATATATTTGTAATCATTACTTGCATAAATTTTATAAATATTTTTATATCTGAATTTTAGATTTAACAAAACATTTCGTCAAACATTTTTTTCCTGTAAATCGTGTCTGACTCTAGTTTCGGTGAAAGAATAGTATGACAGTAGAATAGTTGTATAAGTTTATGGGTACATTTATATATCTGTGACTGTATCTGCTTACTTAGTATTGGTCAGATATGGTTGACACGTGAAAAGAAATTTCATTTTATTATTATATGTAGGAAGCTTATACGTATTCTTACGGGGAATTGAATAGTATTTAATTAAAGATTTATGTTTTAGAATAAATTATTTTTTGTATACAATTTTATTGTTATTTATCGTGTATGTATTACGAGTAATTACAAATTAAGGTTATGTTTATACTGGCAAAACAATGTGTGGTATATTCTGTTATATTTCACAAAACCTTGAAAGGAGTGCACAAGTATCAAATGAGGTATTAGTATTTATATATATTGTAAATAAACTGAGTAAGTAGATTATGGAGGTATAAAATATTCCTTTATATTATTTCTTAGTGGAATGGTTGTAAGGACTTGATATATGCTCGTGGTCCTGATAAAGTAACAGAAAAAGTTGAACACCTAACTCAGAGTTGGTTTGGACATTTTAATGCTTCTATACTATGGATGCAAGGTTCTAATTTATATGGACAACCCACTATAGATTCTATTGGAAATATTCTTTTATGGAATGGAGATATATTTTCTGGAGATTTGGTAAATATTGGTCATGATGACTGTTCTTTTATAAAGTATTGTTTTGTAAATACTTTTATAAAACATTCTTTATAATATACACATGGGCATAAATTCATTATCAGACTTAACGTATCAAACAATAAAATAGTTCTTATAAACAATTGTTCCTTTTGATTTACATTGTTAGACTCTTATTCCTTTGAATCTTGAGAAAGTTATAAAATTCCCATTTAATAATATATATCAAAATTATAGCTATATTATTTTTGTTTGTTTTAGGCACAAGATAATATATGCGATACTGATGTAGTACTAAATGCTCTTCAGTCATCCTTGAATATTATGCCTGTATTTAAAAAAATACAAGGCCCGTATAGTTTTATATATTTTCAGAAGTCGACAAATATTTTATATTTTGGCAGAGATATCATAGGACGACACAGTTTACTTTTAAAAGTGAATACGGATGAAAATGCTTTGCTCTTAACATCTGTTGCTAGTAAAGAAATAAGTGGAACTATAGAAGTTCCTGCAATTGGAATCTTTGCAGTAAATTTAACTAATTTGAGAATAAATCTTTCATGCTATCCTTGGAAAGAGCCAGATTTAAGATTCACAGACATTATTGAGATGTTAGAAACACGCCTGAATGTAGATATCAATATTAGAGATACCATATCAGAATTTAATACTTCAACGCATTTACATATGCATCCTAATATTAAAGATATAGAATATTTAGAAAATAGTCCTTGTTTTGACAGCTTTTACAAAACATTAGAATATTTGTTAAAATGCAGAGATACATACGAAAGAGTAGACTATCTATCGCATCTTCTTCATAAAGCTGTAGAAGTTAGAATAAAAAAACAGCCAAAATTCTGTAAAATGTGTATACAATTAGTTTTAAACGGCGAAAAAATTGCATGCGATCACGCAAAAGTGGGTATTTTATTTTCGGGAGGTTTAGATTCTGCAATTTTAGCATTAATTGCGGACAAATATGTGGTAGAAAATGAACCTATCGATTTGATTAATGTTGCATTTGAAAAATTAGTTAATACATCTAAAAAATCCAATGAAAATAACGTTAAACGAAGTGTAGAAGAACAGTACGATGTTCCTGATAGAAAAACTGGAAAACAAACATTTATGGAACTTTCTAAGATTTGTCCGAAAAGAAAATGGAATTTTATAGAAGCAAGTATCATTATTAAATCTTGGTTTGTAATTTATGAGTGTGATGAACATTTCTATGATACATGTTTCAGGTAAATATTAGTCAGACAGAATTACAGAAATATCGTTCTTCACGAATTTGTAATTTACTGTATCCACTTTGTACTATATTAGATGAAAGTTTAGGCTGTGCTGTATGGTTCGCAAGTCGTGCGAAAGGTACAATCAATGGGAGTGCAAACATCTATGAATCTCCTTGTAGAGTACTGTTGTTAGGCATGGGAGCTGATGAATTGTTTGGTGGCTACATGAGACATAGAACAACATTAAAACATAAGGGATGGGATGCTTTAGCTCAAGAGTTAAACATTGAATTGTCTAGAATTTCTGAGAGAAATTTAGGCCGTGATGATCGTATCGTGTCTGATCATGGACGGCAATCTAGATTACCATATTTAGATGAAAATGTAGTACAGTATGTTCAACAATTGAAACCATGGGAAAGGTAAATCAAGTAATAAAAAGATAATAATGAGAATGAAAAAGAATTCGTATCCTTAAATTGTTTGTAGGTGTTATCCAACAGATAAAATGCCATCAGGTTTAGGAGACAAATTATTGCTACGTTTAGTAGCGTATAAACTTGGTTTTCGAAATACTGCAAATTTTCCTAAGAGAGCATTTCAATTTGGATCTCGAATTGCTAATAATAAAGAAAATGCTAAAAGTATATCAGATCGCTTATAAAATCATGGTATGTATGTATAGTTTCCTTTGGGTATCTGCGAATAAAATTGTGACATGATTGATATTAGAAGTTCTTTTCATGTTCATTGCAGTCTTTTTGTTTTCAACAAAAGTACATTCGGAGTTCAAATTTTGTAGCTATTAAAACGATGATACGTGTACACAATTATGTGATCGAAATGTTTGGAATTGTATGAAATTGAAATGGGCATTCAGAGGTCTATAAATTCTTAAGAACAGAAATAAATAATAACGAGCATACGATTTTTCAGTTTAGTTCGGAGTTTCGCCGCTAGATGGCGCTACAAATTTTCTCCATAAAATGAAATTTTTTTTATTTTCTTTATTAAAGCTTTCAGGAAACTTTTATTGCTTTATTTTACTTCTAATGTGATCACATAACACTTTCTGAGCCTCAGAAGTACTCAAAGTTTGCTAATTTTCGAGAAAATCGCATTTTTATATTTTTGTAGTTCCAACTTTCACCGCTAGATGGACGGCAATTTTGTAGTCCATGAAATGGGCTATTTTCCTATTTTCTTTAATAATGGTCCTAGCAGGCTATAATTAGATTCGTTCGATTCCGTAGGCGACAAGGAACAATTCGTATATCTCAGAATTTCGGAAAAGTCCCTAGTTTTTGAGAAAATCGAAATTTTAGTTTTTCGTAGTTCCGCCGCTCGCCGCTAGATGGCGCCACCTGTACCGTTTTGGACCGAATTCGACAAAAATTGATTTTCTGGCTTTATTAGGCATCAAAACGCATCAAACCCTAATAGAAATTTGTTTCGAAATGCCTCAGGAACCATACTACGTCGCCAAAGTGCCGAAATATTCATTTTTTTATTTTCCTTATATGCGTGTTCGGACCCTCATTTTTTAGGTTTAGTTCACCCGTTTCGCCGCTAGATGTCCGCGAATTTTTTAGTCCATAAACTGCACTATTTGTATATGCAATAATTTGTAGTTTTATATCTTTTGTTTTGGATCTGAAGTGTATTTTAATAAAAAAGAAAACACGCACTATTTGTAACGGTTTGCTACTGCGTATAAGGTCAAAGTTCAAAATTTATGTACCTATATGCGAATGTAATTTTATTTTCTGTATTCAATTTTTTTTTAAAAAGGTATTATTTATAATTATACAGCCTATACTTGTGCGTCAAAATTGACCAGTTATCGTTGCGAAGTGGAATATATTATAATCATGTCACAAAATACAATTTGTTGGGATACCGAATTACGAAAGTTGAAGCTTGGGGAATTGTATCAACTTGGGTGGATATTAAATGTGTCAGATTTATGGAAGAAATTAATGGCAATTGTACCGAAAGAAGATACATCTGATCTTCCTAAATTTACTTCTGAACATTTCAGGTAATTTTATGAAACTATTTAATTAACTTTGATGAAACAGAATAATTCATTTTTACACTTTTTTTTACTTGTATTTTTTTAGTATAATTGAGCAAGCAGCACAGCAACAGAAGAGAAATGCGGCTGAAATATTTTTATCCGAATGGGGAACAATGGGTAAAAGAAGGCCAACTTTGCATACTTTGTTCAAACTTTTGGTAAAAGCAGAATTGTTTAGAGCTGCTGATTATGTAGCTAGAGATATATTAAAAGGTATAAAGAATCAAATGCTGTTTTATATATATTATATGTATATACTTTTACTGTTTTATATATATTTAAATATATTTCAACTATTTATTTCTCTTTTTTTTTTTGTTTATTAAATAGTTGAACTTCCAGAACGCCCGAAATGTGGGCCTGCTGCCCCTGTAGATACTTCAGATGAAATTATGAAAGAACTATTAAAAAAGGTAGAAGAATTCCAGAAAGTTAAGCATGACGAAATTTGTGCCTTTCAACTTCCTTCTAAAATTAACGAAAATGAAAATATCAATTGTCCGCGAATTTTTTAGTCCATAAACTGCACTATTTGTATATGCAATAATTTGTAGTTTTATATCTTTTGTTTTGGATCTGAAGTGTATTTTAATAAAAAAGAAAACACGCACTATTTGTAACGGTTTGCTACTGCGTATAAGGTCAAAGTTCAAAATTTATGTACCTATATGCGAATGTAATTTTATTTTCTGTATTCAATTTTTTTTTAAAAAGGTATTATTTATAATTATACAGCCTATACTTGTGCGTCAAAATTGACCAGTTATCGTTGCGAAGTGGAATATATTATAATCATGTCACAAAATACAATTTGTTGGGATACCGAATTACGAAAGTTGAAGCTTGGGGAATTGTATCAACTTGGGTGGATATTAAATGTGTCAGATTTATGGAAGAAATTAATGGCAATTGTACCGAAAGAAGATACATCTGATCTTCCTAAATTTACTTCTGAACATTTCAGGTAATTTTATGAAACTATTTAATTAACTTTGATGAAACAGAATAATTCATTTTTACACTTTTTTTTACTTGTATTTTTTTAGTATAATTGAGCAAGCAGCACAGCAACAGAAGAGAAATGCGGCTGAAATATTTTTATCCGAATGGGGAACAATGGGTAAAAGAAGGCCAACTTTGCATACTTTGTTCAAACTTTTGGTAAAAGCAGAATTGTTTAGAGCTGCTGATTATGTAGCTAGAGATATATTAAAAGGTATAAAGAATCAAATGCTGTTTTATATATATTATATGTATATACTTTTACTGTTTTATATATATTTAAATATATTTCAACTATTTATTTCTCTTTTTTTTTTTGTTTATTAAATAGTTGAACTTCCAGAACGCCCGAAATGTGGGCCTGCTGCCCCTGTAGATACTTCAGATGAAATTATGAAAGAACTATTAAAAAAGGTAGAAGAATTCCAGAAAGTTAAGCATGACGAAATTTGTGCCTTTCAACTTCCTTCTAAAATTAACGAAAATGAAAATATCAATTGTAACGCAATAGATAAATGTACAAATGATAGTTTTGTAGATAGAAATATACAGTCTACAAAATTAGTTTCTACAAAAGAAAAATGTGATGTAAAAACTTCTGAAAGTTGTAAGGACATTAATGCTCGACAAGATCCTATAGAAATATTGTCAAATAAAGAAACTTATAATTCACTGTCGCGTGTATACATAACTGATGCGAATACTTTGCCACAGCTAGTTTTTGAAAATGCAGAAATGATGTCTGATAAATTACCTAAACCAGTTTTAAATAAATTTAGACAAACTGCAGAAGAAACAATACTATATGAAGAAATGCTCCCGGATGAACTTCCAACGCTTTTAAACGATCGTATTAATCTATCGCCTAGTGTATTTGGTAGTAGTGAAACAAATAACGTATTACATTTATCTAATCTAAACATTAATGAATATGAATTAATTTCTAATGAATTGCCTCAGTGTATCGTTGAATTTCAGAGGAATTCTACAGCTAACGTGGATAACACTGTCTATATAGAAAATAGCGAAGATAAACAGGAGAATGTATTGAGTTCGCAACAATTACCAATTACAATCTTGGAATATAATAAATAATGTATCTATTAACTGTACTTAACAGTACAGTACTTAACTTTATATTTTATTTTATTTTAAACATTGAACAACTTTGTTTACTGTCTATAAATAGGTTTTAAATTTGCCTTCAATTAATCTTTTTATACAAAAAATTGTAAATTTTCCACGTTTATAACGTTATTTGAAATCTAATAAAAATGTAAAACTATTATCAATAATTGGCACGAATAATTATAACGAATATGTATATAAGAAATTGTATATATGAAATTATCTACACTACATTTGTAGGTATGTACATTTAATTTCGATATAAATATATTATAAATTACATACTTTCTTACATTATTATGTACAATAATAATTCAATAATATATTTTTTATGAAATGTCACGCTGATTTTGGAATTAAATATAATAATGTTGAGGAACTTTCAAAATATATATCACATTGTGCAGTAATACATGAGATAGATGCAGTGAAACTTGTGACGTAATAGAGAGATTTATTAAGTCTTATTGTAATTGATAAGAAATACAAGATTCTATAGTAAAAAATGTAGATATTTTTACGACCTAACCATCACTATTATTACTCTGTTTCATAGTAAAGTAGGCGCTTTGAAGTTCTTTAAGATTACTTTCTAAAGTTGCAACTTCATCATATCTGCAGTCAGCTCTAGCTTGTTTAATGTAAGCTCGAAGGTTACTCATTTGTTCAATAATAGGATCCATTGAAGAAGGCATCATAGGTGTAACATTGGAAGGACCCCAACCTTGTGACTGGTTCAATACAACCGCGGGCTAATACAGAGATCAACGTGTTACTTAAATTGATTAAAATTAAATGCAATTAAGATAACAATAAAAAATGATTACTTTATCTTGGTTGTTTTCTTTTAGAGAAGATCGAGCATCACTATTATTCCATATGTCCTTTTTATTACGTTGTTCTTTCGATTTTTCCCTCTGTTCTTCTTCTAACTGCCTTTCGTACGCTATTCTAGCTTCTAATCGTCTTTGACGTTCTTTCTGTAACTCGGTATATCTTTCTGGCGAAGGCAAAGCTTGTACACTTAGCAATTCCTCTTTCAGAAATATCATTGCAGATACTCTGACCATATGATGCAATCGTACTTCCTGTTCATGTGGAGGACTTTCCACGCATCTTATTCCAAGTACTGAAATTCTTTTGCTAATTAAGTCTATATTTTCACCTAATTTTGCAATCTTAACTCGCAAAGTTTGAGCATCTTCTAAATTATATGTAGATTCTCCTTCACTGAAAAATATATCTCCTAACTTTATTCATAATATGGATAATATAAATTATTGTTAACATTTTGGAATGATCAAGTAATGTACCTTAAAGATTCCCACATTTTATTATACATTTTCACATGTTGAGATGCCTCTTCCATGTATGATCTCATCTTCTCATAGAACTGACATACAATTGGTTTATCAAAATGTTTTGCTTTTTGTTTTTCTCTTGCGTCAAGCAGATTTGCACAATGTGTACAAATCCTAAAGTGTTGTTCGCTACCTGCTGAATCATTAACCAATGATAATACGCTATTCAAACTACTACTTGATGGGGACCTAGCTAGTTTCGTAAGACCGATACCAGCGCGTACTATGCGTTCTGAGATTGGACGTTCAGAAGTAGGAGATACTGCTAAATCATCTTGTACAGATACAGGACTTGTCATTTTTTCTACAAAGAAACAATCAATTTTATATATGAAAATTTTCTTCTATTCTCTTTTACTGTCAGAATTACTTACTCGCATCCTGTAAAGATAGAAAGATTGTACAACTGTGACACATAACAGCACCGCAAAGTCTGCAGTGATGTTTTCTTCTTGCAACGTGAAAACTCTTTGCGCAAGTTGGACATAATTTTACATCTTTTTCATCTATCCACGGTACAATGGTACGTTCATGAACTATAGTCAGAAAAATCAAAATTTATCTTACTTATGATACAATACTTAGATTTAAAGGCAGTCAATTATGATTCTACCTTTTCTATCAACTGGATCAGTTGGTAAATTATTTAATAATTTATCTAATCTTATTAAAAGTTTGTTAGTTTCGGTAGAATATCGTTCCAGTCTCATATTTCTTACTTCTTTAAAATACTTTGTATGTGATTTTACTGTGCCTAAAATTATTTAATCATTACATAATATATTTCCTTCGTCTTTAAAACATAACTTATACAATACCACTTAATACCTATTTCTTGAGGGCCCCAATTAAGTTCTGGACTACGTTGCCTGTTATGCGATATGTTTTCTCTGAACGAATCTGGTATTTCATCTTGCTTTAAAATTTTCTTTTTAGCCTTTCCAAAAAGATCTAAATGTACAAAAATTTAAATTATTTTATTAGGTCAATGTACTTGTTATTAATATGGATACATTGATTATCTTATTTGTGAACATTAATTTTGGTAGACCGATAAAATTATTTCCAAATAAGTATTAACAGAAATATTCAAACCTTTAAGCGATTTTAAAATTTCCGGATCATCATTATGAAAATCTTCAAAATGTTTGGTCAACTGATGAGGTGCTTTGAAATCTGTCATACATATTGGACAAATGAATCCTTCTAAAACTTCTTCGCTACCAGCCATCGTGAAATACAATAATTACAAAAGTTTCACTATCTTTTTACACAATTTTTTTTTTATTTCATACACAACGTTAATCATTTGTAGGCGTCCCTTCATCTATGGCTAGACAACATGTTTTCCGAGCAGCCATATTGATTCCCATCAGCTGATAGAAATGTCAAACTGTTTTTGTGTTTCAACATATTAAACGTTATTTTTATGTAGCAACCATCAGGTCTATTTCTATGATACCGAAGTACATTATTTTAATAAAATTTTAATTAATCAATATTTGAAATACGACCTTATATTTGACTATAATTTTTTGTTTTATGCATATATTTTCAGAGGAGGTTGAAGGATATAACATTTATTAAAAGTCGTAAAAATATTTATTTGTTAGCAGATTCTCTTTACTGTATTATTAAATATGTAATTGTATCAATATAATTTTAATATTAATATTACATAATCATATTAATAAACATTAATTAGATATAATTAAATATTTAGCGATTTTTTCATTTTACTTTATTTGATTGTAATTTCTTTTTCATCCGATTATATTTCCCTTTGGTCGAAATTATAAATTAAGTTTCTACTGCTACATCAAATAATTGATCAGCTAAATTTCTAAATTCTTCGGAAGCTTCGCAATGTTGTAAAAGATTTGAACTAAGTTTTTCTTCACCATAAAATGCTCCGGCAATTGCACCGGTCATACTACCAATAGTATCTGTATCACCACCTAAACTAATCTGAAAAGTAGGAAACAGAAAATGTTTAAGCAACATTTAGTTTTAAGAATATCGTTAACCGCGATACTTTTATTTTAAGAAATACATTGAATTATTCATACTTACGGCATACTGAATTGCTCTCCTAAATGGATTTTCAGTTCTTATACCTGCAATCAGTTTTTGTGCTCTTAAAAAACAAAATATTGCAGTAGGCACAGAGTATAAAGCTGTAACGCTATTTCCAAGTTTTTGTATTACTTTTTCATCGTGCGGTCCATTTTCATTTTCTGATATCAAAGTTTTTATTATACCTAATTGTATCTTGTATGGTTGTGGTTCTGATAAATCTAAGCTGTAAAAAATAGAAACTGAAATATACATTATTTATAAAGAATTTATTTAATATTATAACATACCCTTCTTCATCTTTTTCTATTTCATCCATTTTATGAATTAAGTCGTCGATAAAATTTATTACATTCAATTCTTCGCTAGGGTTTAGAAGAAGACTTTGATGAACAGCTACTGCCTTCAAGACGAAAGTAACGTCGTAATTAAGATCATGGCTGTAAGAATACAAGATACATTTTAAATTAGCTTACTTGTAAAATAGCACCATCTATTCCAACTTTATTGGTATGAGTAAGTTGAGTCGCTTTACTGACTGTATTCAATAGTTTATCATAATCCTTATAACAAAACAGTGCAATAGGTGTCACTCTCATTGCTCCACCATTTCCCCATGAACCTTGACCATTGAATTGCTCTTTTGCTGGACTTATAACGTCGGTAAATTTATTACCCCTTAACTTCTGAAATACCTTTGAAAATAATATGTAGCATCTTTAATATAATGTCATTAACAATAACAACGTTAATGGGCATAATATGATATTATACTGTTACAACAGCAGGGCCATAGCCTCGATTAGGCATTTGATAATAACTCTTGACAAATCTTTTGGCGATATCAACAATATCCAATTCCTTTAATTCGATCAAAGATTCAGCTAAGGATCGAGTCATAGCGGAATCATCTGTAAACTGCATGACAGGTGCTATACAGTTAAAAAATATTTGGTATCAAATCTAACGAATAAATCAAAGTTTATTTATCTCCCATGCTTCTGTTTTAGATATTAAAAATGATATTTATTCAACTTTACCTTTGAACATTGGTCCCTCCAATTTATCAAACGATTGTTGTAAAACCATTTTCATACCACTTGACAATTCCTCATTTTCGTAAGGGCTTCCAAGACAATCGCCAATTAATCCACCAAGAAGAGAACCTCGAAATTTGCTTCTTAACAAGGATAAATCCATTTTTGCCATAACCCTTAAAGTCCAATAAATTCTTTAACTAAATAAATAGATTGGAAAGTGTGTCAACACTTGAATGCATATAAACTCGATTTGGAATCTGTAATTGAAAGAAATATTTAATGAATGGGTTTATATTCATCAGACGAGTAAATAGTATTTATAAACAAACATTATGTATTTAACTTATAAGTTACCCATCGAGTTTTTAATAGATGTCTCTGCTTACATGCTCACAGTGTAAGAATTCAAAAAATGAGAACTCAATAGTACATATTTAAATATGTCAACGTGTATCCAATAATTAATTTAGAAAAGGTATCGGTAATTAGTTATTACAATAATGTGTTGATAATATCAGCGCATACGTATAAAACACCGTCATATAATCGATGAGTTTGCATGCAACTACATACTACGAGCATTATATTCTGTATTTAATTTTGAACATTATAAAAACTTGAAATATTTGTATTGCGTTAATCTCGAGAGAAAATCACGGTTTCATCATAAATTGATATTTACATTTACATGGAGCAGCACATAGACGAACATATTTTCTCGTTAATTGTTTATATTAATATATTACTAGATACGGAGATAATTTAGTTGTTTAGACATAAATTTTTGATAATTGATCTTGCAATGCGAAAAGTTTGTTGAAAGTTATTAGACGTTTGGTGGAAGTTACGCGAATAAGTGAAAATGTATAACCCTCTTTCATTCTCCTTCTTCATTATTTTGACATTTCATAAAGTTTTATCAACGAAAGAGCAAAGAAAAACGGAAGCTAAAAAAGGAAGCCTCATGTATGTATACGTAAATAATTTTGGTATAATTTTAAGCAATAAATATGGAACCTCTAAATTTCCAAATTAGATAATTGAAAACATCTGAATTTGAAAGTTTCTAATAAATGGTGAAAGTTGGAAATGAAAAATTTTGAAATTCTCTGTTAAAGATGTAGAAGGAGAAATTCTCTGGTAGAAAAATGATTTCTAGTTTCTCATAATTGGCGGTACATAAGACGTACCGACCAAAACGACCAATGAAACTTCGGCATCAGCTACGAAGGCAATTCTTCTCCTTGTTCTTAATTGAAGTTTAGATTTAATTTCTGTATTCGTTTGTTGATGGAGGCCTCCAGCATGTAAGGAGGAAGGAGCGAGACCGAAACTAACTAAAGGGTTAGTTTCGGTCGAAAAGGATCGAGGAGCCGAAGGCGCACGAAGGAGGGCGACGATTGGTCGGACCAGAGGATGCGTGGTCCGCTTTTAACCCGGCCACCGGCCGCGGCCACAATCCAGTCTGCCGCCGACTGCGTAGGAGCGCAGTTGAACGTTTTTTATTTTATCACCTTTGATTTGATCGTGCGACGGCAACCGATGTCAAACGAGAACGACGTTATCGTGCGTGTGTTGTCGTCCCGAGTCCAGACATGACATAACGTGTATCCTATCGATAAACTGTAGAAGGTGCATGATGCCGGTACGCGTTTAAAGGAAAGGAAAGGTGTTACGGTATGCCGGTGCTGGGACCAGCTTGACTTTTCGTTCTTCTCTGGAATATCGTGGTTCTCCCTCGAACGTGGGTCATCCACCCTGGTACTCCAGCTGCTTCGCGTGTTCACTTTATCCTGTGAAGGTGATCCTGGCATCGTGTTCTCCTGCACAGAGGCCTACGACCTCGTTCTCTCGTTCTCGTCGTGGCATCACGGATCTTTCGTGCGATCTTGGCTGAAGGTATAAGCGATTTTTGTCCATTATTGTTTTTAGAATATATCGATATTGAATGTATCGACGATACAGTATATCGCGAGATATTAGCGAGAATCGACGTATTATTAAATCGAAAATCGTTTAAATCGTAATTTGTTTGGAAAGTTTCTCTCACCCTTTTATCGCGACGATCATCGAATGAAAATTATTTAAGTTTGAGTAGAGACGGATCGACGAGGTGTTTTGACGTGTTTGCACGAAGAGTCGGGTACGTTTGAATGGAATAGAGGTTAAGTAGACAGTATATTTTTCTTGGAGGTTTCATGCTCGACTTGGTTCGGTTTGAAAACCGAATAGGCCAAAACGGAGTTTCAGGATTAAATAAAAGTATATAACTATTTTATTATTCTTGTGTTAAAACGACGAGTGTCGACGCAAAAAAAAGGAATACTCGTTTTTTGCATAATAGGAAAATATAGGAAAATATAGGAAAATATAGGAAATTTTGAGAATTAATGACGAGTTGTTAGGTGTGAGCGTTACGTAATGCTATTTTACCATGCATATCTTTCTCCCCTGTGTCTCCGTAGTAAATTGGCCGTATTGTTCCCAGCAGGAGACGGTGTTCTATAGAGTCATTCGAGCTGTATCTGTTCGTAACGAGCAATTAACTTTTGCTCGATTTATCGTCCGGCGTAGATCGATATCTCGATACCCCCTGGAAACGAGATAAACAGTTTGAAAACGTACATCGGTTTTCTGTGCTTTTCCGATCGATCAAAGAAAACAGACGAGATAAAAATGCTGAGATTGAAATGTCTGTGCGTGTACATAGATCGAGCCTTCGATTTGTTGGTCGGCAAAACGCACGATAGCGTGACACAGACGCAATGACTGAGATTCGTCATTCCTGCACAAGCATCGCGACGAATAAGATTTAATAGATAGATCGGTAGAAATACTCTGCAGGTCGAAGTAGTACTCGATAATTAGCAGAAAAATTCGATCGAGAGCCGTGTTGGAATATATTATACGCGCAGGTTAAGCAGAATTATTACAGCGAACGACGAGGGTTTCTTCCCCTACATCGGCCTTTTTTCGTAGGGAAACTTACCGTGCTCGGCAGTGTACTTAATTTCTTGCACGCATGGTATTCGGTTTACTTCACGGTCTATTTTTGATGGCGTCGAAGCGATCTCGACTCATTTACTACTGACAAGAAACGCGAGAACTATCGTTCGGCGGTAACGAGTGATTCGGGGAATGTCGATATTCGATCCTTGGACGAATCCTCTCGCGTGGCGGTAACGATAAAGAAGTTGGATATTCGAAACGATCGCGCGTTCCGAATGGAGGGAGTTTTAAAATTGAAAATCATCTAGGTTTAAAATACAAAAATATCTCCTGTTTATTTAAAGTATACATATATAGAGTTGTTTCTGATACTAGGTCAGTAGAGAATAGGAATTTTTTCAACGAAATGATAACGCGGAATACGAGGGTTTCTTTCAAATTTACGCGTTCAATGTAATTTCGAGAAATTACTCGAGTCGTTAATTGCGGTCCTCGTTACCTCGTTTTAACGTATAACCTCGTTCGTTAGCAGAGTGCAAAGATTCTTTCTAATTATATCGGAAAAGAAAAAGAATATTTCGTTTCGGGAAAGAAGGAAACGGAGTTTGTATAAAAATAAACATTTGGCGAGATGGCGAATTTGAAAATGACAATAAACTGTAGAGTTTTCGATAAAGTAAAGCACTCGATAGTAGGAATTTTGACTAGTAGATCATTACTTATGAATAGAAATTGGAAGTTTACGTAAAGCAGGAAAGTTTGGCGCGAGAGAAATCTGTTCTGGCAAATATTATAATTCGTTCGATGTTGTCGCAAATAACTAAACACGTAAACGAACGTTGAAGTTCATACGCGTATTTTGTCACTCCCACGTGCTGGCACGAGGTCTTTCGCTAATCGGTGCATTTTCAAATACATACGTTTACTGTGAGCCGGTGTCGACTTTTTCCCGAAATTATTGAAATTATTCAACGTTTTCGTTAATGGATCGCGTGTGATCGAAGCAAAAAAAATGAATTTTTTTGGATATTTCGATATATTAACCGGGTGGAGGCAGGCGAGCCCTTTACCTCGCGATCGTCGAGATATAAACCGAGGTAATAAAACGCGTAGAAAATACGATCGGTGTCGGATAAAAATCGGCGCGGTAGCGTTACGGCAACGTTAAAGAATGTAAATTTCTTGGAAGTTATCCGTGACGAGGTCGATAAAGGGCGGGTAGAGCATCGAAATTTATTCCGGAAATTCGCGCATGCACTGCTTTTGCCAAACAGCTTTTCCACCAAAACATTATATAACCGAGCGTGGGCTATAGACACCGTGTGTATCCATTGATTATGTCGATGCACGTACGTATGGAAATAAAAAAATGGAAAGAAGAGAGGAAAAGAGAAAAAAGAATTGGCTTTATTTATCGATCAGACGAGGCGGCGCATACTGTTGCTGGCACGTAACAGTGCGATTCCGAGCAACTTTTTCATACGTGTTGCGCGAAGGTTGTAGAGGAAAAACAACGGGAACACGTTGCTTTTCTATTTTAACGCTTTATCGTTGGCCAATTTGTGCTCACAGCACAAATGCAAACACACAGTTGCAACTGGTACTCGAGGAAATTGTACGTTCCGCTTTTACGAAGCTTTGTTTTCTTTAGCGTCGATCGCGAATGAAATTCCACTCGAGATAGAGCGCGTAAGTGGTCGCGCGAATAGCTGGATAGCGCGAGTCGACTGTAGACTGTAGACTATGAAATTAAGTTTAAATTTAAGGAGAATGACACCGGTGTGTCGATCGTCGAAAGAATGCAGCGATTATTATTTTTCTCTTTTTCTCGCTTCTTTCGAAGCTCAGATTTACGACATCGTGTTCGATTCGGTCATAGCGGTAGAGTTGCCAGGCGATCGCGAACGCGTGAAAATAGTAGAAAAATTTCGTTGGAAAATTAATCGGTACATAACTACGCGCGTGTCCATTTTGGCAGCAACGCTTTTGGTTAACGCGTTCGAAACATCTGGAAATTCGATTCGTAGAAAGATCGATTTCCGTTTTTTTGTTTAATCGACAGAGTCGTTTGTAGCACCAGCAAAATACTCGTGTGCAAATATTTGATCGTGCGTTGCTCGTTTCGTGTCAGAGTTTTAAATTCATCGTATTACAGCTTTCCTCTGGAATTCGTTTCAGCTTTCGCGTATCGGTCCAATAATCGAAACGTACGTACGCGTTAACGGTACGCGAAACTTTTCTATACTACGTTCATTCGCCACTGGAACACTGTTTCTGATACGCCGACTACATAGAATATCTACAAGAACATTGAAAGGGTAAGGAAAGAGTAAAAAAAGACGAATAGTAGACCGAACGTTCGACCAATCGTTTAGCTATTCTACTTCCGAGCGAGTTACTTACTAGTTTCACCTGGCTGTTTACAGTTGCCGATCTCGCTCGGTTCTCGATCGATTCTCGATCGATCGTTCTTCCGTCGGAAAAGAAACGGAATCGCGAATGAGAAAGTGGGTGAAAATCGGAAGATCGAAGATAATGGAGAGGGTGGGAATAGCGTCGGTGTGACGTCGAAATATCGAAGAGGAGGCAGAAAAAGAAGATTCGATTGTCAGGGAGAAGAAGAAAGGGTAGGGTTGACCAGGAATGGCTACACCGCCGGACTCGCCGGGACCGGAAGAGGCACTTTTCGACTTCGAGAGCTCGAGAACCAGGCAACAGACCGCCAGACCAGTCGCTCTCGAGGAACTTCTTCGACAGACCAAGTTCTCTAGACAGGAAATACGAGTGATGTACCGTGGTTTCAAGCAGGTGAGCCATGCAGATTCGAATAATTTTATCCTTTTAGAAAAATAATTTGTCGAATATTAGTTTGTTAATCTTGATTAGAGTAAGAATAAAATAAAACTAGAGAATTTACAAATGAAAACTAAATAAAATAAATTTCTGTTATCTCGCATCAGCCTTATTACGGTAGTTTACGATTAAATTTTCTTTCGGCCAAAGGGCCTGTACGAATCGTGTGTATTCTCGTCGTGCCTAGTCGCCCATCAATTTTCTTGGTTATAATTATATTTGCATGAATATTCATGGAAGCAGAGCGAGCAAAACGTTCCAGCGAGACCTTATTTCGAACAGCTCACGAACACCTAACCCGTTATGCATACGGCGTGTTCTACCTTTGCTAGAAATATTCCTCGTATTTGCCATTCGCTTATTCCTTCCATTCTGTATACATACATATCCTATATCTATACATAACGATTCGTCTTTTCGAAGTCTATTCGAAATTAAAACGGCTACGGACCAGTATTATTACTGGTGATATGATAGGAAGGTTATTAGGATTTTCAGGAGGATTTTCAGAGGCATTTTCGCGAGAATAGAGATTTCGAGGCCTGTATGCATGTAGAAAGACGCCTATTGCCACGTTAGTCGGTCGTAAAATATTCACGTAGCGTTTCAAGGGTGCTGCTTCGCAGCTTGCTTCAAGGTTGACGTTGCTTTCGGCCGAAAGCAAATATCGGGGGTTACGACTCGCTACGATCCTTCTATCGACCGGAAGCGCGTTGAATTTTCACATTCGACCAACTCGAAGAATTTCCAAATGATTCTCGGTCGAGCGTGTTTAAAATGCTTTCGATGAAAGGAAGGCGGCACAGTTTCACCACTCGAATAGAAAGTGTAAATGATCGATTTCCAACTGACCGATTAAAGCGATCGCGTGGCGAATGATCGATCACTATCGAGGTAAGAAGGATGCGAACGATGCCAAAGGTAGGTAGAAAAACGACTAATCAGCGAAACAACACCGTTTCTTCTCGGTGCTTCGGTTTTATTAATTCCTCGACAGAAACGGAAGAGGGTAGTTTTGGCCGTCTTTCAACGAGCAACCGTTCCCACTCGAAGTCTTGGCAAACAGAAACGTCAGATTAGCGGAAAAAGTTCGTAAAGGCTTCTTTTTCGATTGATTTTCAGGAGGTTTTAAGCGGTTCGGTGTCTTGTTCTTGCATGAGGGAGATGCAGCTCTCTTCCCTTCGCGAACAAACGAGTTTCGAATCGTGGCCGAACCACCTGTACGTTTCGTGCTAACTAATCTGGCATTCTTCTACATATATGTATGTTCGATAAATCGAATATTCGGAAGACACGATTCGTCTCGTTTCGTCTCGTTTCGTCTCGTTTCTCGTCGTCGCCGATCAAATTTGCGGATTACGTGCCTACCTAACCAACCTAAGACCTTTCACGCCGTTTTTCTCCAACCAGGCACACTTGCCCGTTAGATATCGATCCAGCTTTTATGCTCTTGCCAGTCTAAAAGTATGTCAGGACGATTACTATTTCGTGAAACGTTGCGAGATCTTGTTGTTGCGAGCGAACGATAACGATACGCGTTATTTACTTTTGGAAAAATCGAAAGAATCATGATACAACCGGTCAGAAAACGAGTAATTCATTTTTTCCTTTTTCTCTTCAAATTCTTTCGCGTACGATATAATTATCGATTTCGGAGCGTTCGAAGATGTCGGTCTTTTTAATCGGTAATTTATTCGAACGACGATATCCCCTAACGGTATACCAGTATCTTTTTTCCAATTCTGACCAAGATTCGTGTCCCCGTGAAATGTCCTGTGATTCTTTTGTCCCTGCAAACGCACTCTCTTGACACAATTTTCAAACTTGGCTCGAGTGCTAAGTGTATTGCAGCGAAATAGCGCAATTAAAACATCTAAGAAACTGGCGAGGAAAGTCCGATGCTTTTTTCGCGATACGCGTTTTCAGTTGCTTTCAGCTCATGAGCGACTGCGAAATTCAACTTTTCGATCGTTTTCGAGAGTCGGCGCCAGGGTTGGCGGCGACTAGAAAAAAAAAGACGAAATAAGTACGCTCGGAACGGTACCCAATGACCATTTAATGCAATCTTCAATAAAAAATTCCTAGTACCTAAGAGTACTTGGTTTATTACGACTAAACGCGGAATATCGAATGAGTTTTACCGATTGCTATATGCAACCACCATCCGTCTCTTTGTCACAGATATCGAAGAAGCCTTCATTGTTTCCCTTGTTTTCTTTGCTCGGGCCTGACTTAACCTTCTTAGATACGAGCTTCCACTTTTTTCCCCTTTTTTCCTTTTTTTCCTTTTTTTCAATGAAAGCGTAAAGGTTAGAGGAGCATTAGCACGTCCTATTGAACTCGATTCTATTTAAGGTTGTACAGTACCGTACAGTGTTCGTATCTAATGGAAATCGAAGAAGGCCTAGGTTGGAGTCGAGGACAGGACCTTGACGTTTAGGGAAATCGGAAGGATCCTTACTGTTGGAAAGCTACGTGTAAAGGTCGTGACAAAAGATAAATGAAGTTAAGTAGGGATATCAAGTTGTCAGCTCGAAAGCTTCTGACGAACTTCTGTATGCGTGATCGAACCGTGCTGCTCGCCTGTTTCGATCGATACCGTTTTCTTATTTTTTTCGTGCAATTTATGTTTGATCACGTTCGTATCGATCACGCGAATGTCGCACACATTTTCCCATTATACGTAAAGATTGACAATCCGTTAACGGTACATGCTTACGTATCGAATATAAATCATTGAAATATTTCGAATAAAATATAGGAACGATAAGTAAACGATAAGTGAACGATAAGTGAACGATAAGTGAAGAATTTCGGAGACATTTAGCAGGGAAAAGTATGTGTATAAATGCTTCTGGCGATAAGAAGAAAGAGTTGCTCGTATGGAAAACGACGAAGCCGTAAGCACCGGTTAACGAGAACTATAAGTTGAGTAGCTCTTCACTGAAGAATCTGACGTTCCTAGGAGGTACTAGTCCCTTCTTCGTTTAACTCCGTCATTTTATAAAATACTTTTCAAGCATTTCCATCGGTGTTTCGATCGCTTCTTTCGAGTTCGGTCACGCTAAAATTACAGAAGGAAGAAAAGTTGAAACTTATTTTTGTTTTTCCGTTAGCCGGGGAGTAGTGACGCGTGAACAGATTTCTAAGATTCCACGAAACTGCATATTTTTTTTGTCGCTCCTCGCACGTCTTAATAATGAAAAAAGAGGTCTTAGCTGTGGCCTACTTTCCTCACAATTTACCTTGCTAAGGCATTCGCGTAACTTCCTGGAAGAAGCTGCACCCCCGTTTCGTTGCTCTTTTGTTGCCGCTTCTTTTTCACCGGTGCTACTCCGTTACACTGGTCATTCTCGTTATCTTATGTATCTTTAACCCTTTACCCGTTCACAGTCACGAAACGAGAAGCGGTCCGAAAGAGCGACGGGCAAATTTAATGCCCGAGGAAAAATAATATTCGGTTGCGCAACATTTTTCAAATTAACAAATTTTTCCATTTAGAAACGTCGAAATTTATAAATCTGTTATTTTTAAAGAAATTTTTAAGCGGTTTTCAACTAAACTAACGATAGCGAGGAATCGTCGGTGGTCGTCGTTGGTTTTTCTAGTTGTTCGAGCATCATGCGTTTCGCTTCTTCCTTCTTCCTGTTCTTCCTATTCCTGTAAGCCAAACAGGGTACCGAAACATTGTTTGAAAGATAACACGATGATTCCCCGTTACCTGAGCACGTTCTCGTAGATAGACAGCTCCGATTGTTTAGAGAAATTACACATTCGAGCGGTGAAACCGATGATAAACGCAGCGGACCTTGATGCAGCCTCGAATGCCTCGCCAACTGGAATCGAGAGACGTCTCTTATTTTATGTATAATAACTACAATTACGTATATTAGACTACTGACCGACTAAATATACATATCGTTTAGCAATATGTATAAATATAGTTTAACGAAGAACGTTCTTTAAGCAACTTTTCACCTGTTTCGTTAAAATCATTATTGGACACGTCGAGGCTAAAAGTTCGGAACTTCGTAGAACCAGAACCCAATACTTCGGCTAAGGCTGTACCTCCGTCAGCCGTTATTCCGCAGCCGCTTAAGTCGAGAACTTCTAAACTGTCACTTCGTAATAGAACTAAAAAGGAAACATTAACCATATGTATTCTAATCCTCCTCTAGAGGAATAATAATGTATTCTAATAATATTATTAGTACGAGATCTAACTCCGAAGATTTCCCCGAACGCTGACTCGAATATAGAAAATTAGCAAAGACTATTTTAGTTTTATATATCACTATTTTAGTTTACTCCGCTGGATACAATGAACGGTACACAGCCGTCGATACGTAGCCAGTATAAATATTGACTGATGAAAGAGGATAAAGTTAGCGAAGCGATACTCGGGGGTGTGTACTTACAGGAACATATGTGAACCACTCCATCGTCCAGCAGTGGGTTCAATTTCAAATTTAGATCGTTCAGCATCGAAGCGTCTTCTCTTTTAAGCAATCCGTACATTATCCCTGCCACACCATCCGGTCCTATATCGTTGTTAGCCAAATGTAGGACCTTCAAACCCTTGTGCATTCGTAGAAATTCTCCAACAGCATGGGCTCCTTTGTCTGCCAACTTGCAGTGCGAGAAGTCTAACTCCTCTATCTGCGAATAACGCGATATATTCCTTGAAAATATTTCGTAATAAATCGCATTGTCGGTAATACACCGTTGCAATTTTAGTTGCAACGCGTTCACTGACATGATCGTTGGCCAATATCCCTTGAAGTAAAGCCGCGGCACGTGGTTGATCCAAATTGCTTCTCGACAGAGTGAATCTCCTCAATGTCGGACAAGCTTCGATCCCTTTTCCAAGGCCCAAGCAATCTTCTACGGAGAATCTTTCTTGCAGAAAAAATTCGATCGAAAGTTAGAAAATGATCATTTTCACGATAGGTTTTCGCGATAGGTAAAAAGGACTTACTCGAAGTCTCGCCATTCGAAGCCGTCGTTCGTGTAAATCACTCCGAAGTTAATGCGAATCTCGGTGAGACGAGGAAGCCGAGGTAGAATCGTCGCAAAAGGGATATGATGCACGATATTATCCTCTTCTGTACACGTATCCTCGTCGTCCAATAGAATCGTACGTTTTCTGTAAACGTTTTTAAAATGTTACCGATATTCGATAAAAGAGAGAAGGAAATAGTTTACTTGGTAGGTCGAAGAGAACGCAGTGCTAAGGTGTGCACGTAATTTCTCACAAGTCGGATCGTTTCTTCGCATTCCTCTTGCTGAGATTCGAAGTAACTTGGCTCTAGATTCTCGAAATATTCGCAAAGATGGCCCTCGCAGTAGAGTCGTCGCCAGGAATTGCCGTGTTCAGCGGGATTGTTGTGCTCCCATCTACAATAATGCTTCCTGTTATCGCAAACTATAGATCACCGTTTATGGAAATTCGATAGTTTTATATGCTCTTGAATGCTCTCTCCGTTTTAAAAATCATCGGACACGTCGGCTGTTAACCGCTAAAAGTCTTCAAAATTACTCGATTAAACATTCGTTTTATACTCTTTGCTAGGTAAACGTTTATTTCATTTATAGTTTTCTTTTTTCCTATCTTAGATCAATTATACATCATAATTGATCCTCTACAGAGGATATAAAAAAAATGTTTACCTGGTTCTCGAGCATCGTGCCCAATACTGTTCATCCTCGATTCTCCTAATAGTCAGTTTAAACGGCAAATCGACGGGTAGAATTTCCATGAGCATATGTCTATCTTCGCAGGTCGGTAGTTCTTCTAATATAGGGTTGTCCTTCCACGATGAGGCTATGACACGAAGAGCGAGGGTCTTCAAGCTTGGAACGTTTCTCTCGTCCCAGAATTCATCTTCCGCTCGAATGCTTCTTTCGCGTTCGTTGGTTAAACGCGTTGTTTCGTGCGAACATCTTTATGAAAAACGAACAGAACATGTTTGGGCTTGAATTTTCTATAGAATTCTCTATAATTTTATGATCGTTATATTCTCGCAAAATCCGTTTAAAGTAAACGCGGTAAAATATCAATGCTCTTCCGAGATATTTAATGCTTGAATCGTGAAAATCTTTACCTGTACGCTTCAAAAACGTTCTTGGGAACGCTGTAAGGAATCCTCATATTTAAGCTTTGCTTTAGGGATCGCTTAAATCCGTAAACATCCGTAAACGAGTGTACGCGTACAACCACCCTATCTCGTCCGCGTTTTTATCAACTCGCGAACCGCTTCGGGTAAGATGCAGTCGAGATTTACCTTGAGAGAATTAACCGACCGTTAGTATTACTCTTCTAAATTATATTACGAACAGTTTATTGACGTTTTACCTTTAACCTAAATAAATAAAAAGACGATGAAAGACAATGATGATCGCGCGAATCTGATCAAAGTAACCATTGACCATTTCAGGAGTGTCCAGAGGGTGTAGTGCACGAGGACTCGTTCAAGGATATCTATGCGAAATTCTTCCCGCATGGCAGTGAGTTCCAATTAAATAAGAGAACCCGTTTTTGCATAATTAGTTAACGGCGACTCCTACGAATTGCAGACTCCAGCCTCTACGCCCATTACGTGTTCAAGGCCTTTGACGTTAACTGCAACGGTGCCATCAGCTTCAGGGTAAATTCATCGGAATTTCGAACGCGAAAAATTCTAGTATAATAATAGCTATTAGTACGATACTGGTATAACTATACGAAATGCAATGATTTTTTTCAGGATCTTCTGGTCACTTTATCGACGTTGTTACGAGGTAGCATCTACGAGAAGCTGCGATGGACGTTCAAGCTGTACGACATAAACGGCGATGGATGCATCACCAGAGGTGAACTAGGGGAAGTGGTGACGGCCGTTCACGAGCTCATGGGTCGACGACATCATGCCGAAGAAGAGAGAAAAGCGAGGGAGCAGTTGGATAGGGTGTTCAAGAAGCTCGATCTAAACCAGGATGGTGTAATAACGATCGAGGAGTTTATTGAAAGCTGCTTGAAGGTACTGAAATAGTGAAACTCGTTCAGTATTATCGAATATTTTCCAAGATGAATGGTGCACAATTTTTTAAATAATTAATTATAACTAATTATCCTACGTAAATCGCGTTTACGTATTTTATAAATAAATGTCAACGAGATTGATTGTACCTTAGATTTTGTAGAAACGAAGAAAAAATCTGAAATGTTTTACATCCGCTTTCTCACGAGTCCTACTGTATAAATCTGCATACAGAATCTCATATTCTATTATATTCGTTATATTCGTACATGTACACGTATATGTATACTTGATAGAATTATAGTATTTAAGAAGAGGTGCCTTTTTAAGGATGACGTGATTACGCGGTCGTTGGCAATGTTCGACTGCGCGCTTTGATCTCCGGCTAAGGAAGAGCCTCCGGTAGTGACCACGACGCCGCCCACACCGCTCTCTACCACGACTACATTTTCGCAGTCCCAATCACCCTCGCCACCGCCACCGTCTTACTCTCTGCTGCCACCGATTCCACCACCTTTGCCTTCTCAACCACCTCCAGGTTACACGGTTCAGGATCAAGAGCTGTACATGCTTCTAGCGGCACATTGGTGGAACCAACCGGAAGCTCCACTCTTTTGCTAAGGGTAAACCGAACATTCGTTGGAAAATTTCGTTTAACAGATAAACTTTCGTCTCTCGAGATTAAACGGTAAAAGATGAGATGACCTTTTTCCCATCTTAAATCAGATTACTCGTTTATTCTTTTCTAAAGAACGCTTCAGTCAACGCTTAGCACGCGAAACAAAAACTCGGCCGTCAACGATTTTTTAACCGTGATAGCGACACGTTAACATATCGCGAAAGTATATCTTATAGTCGTAAGTTTATTTCGGATGTTATTTTAACAGCGATACTTGTTGCTTCTTCTGTTTCCAGGATATGCGATAAACTTCATTTTCAAGAAGCGAGAGTCGAGGATAAAGAAAAGAAATAAAGAAAATTAAAGAACGAAGAGAACGAACGTATGTGGAAATCTTGCGGGTTCAAGAGTTCAATTAACGTGTTTCTTCGTCGTTGTCAGACGAACTAGCTACAGGTATATTTCTTCTTGCGGAAGAACTATTTTACGCATAAGCGAATCTAATTAAACGCTCAGGCTGTAAATGGGAATACATTGTGTACTCCTTAAAGAGAAGAAGAAACGATTTGTCAATTGTGAAATCGACTATTCTGGTTGAACGTCTCGAAGAATCGTCGTGTAAGAGTGAAGACTAACAGATAAGGAAAAACGCATCGTTAAATTAAGGAATCGTTGAATCGATTGGAAAAAGTACGTGGGAACGTCGAAAAAAATATTGCCGAATAAGAGATATTGAAAATCTGCGTATTAAGAAGAATCATTGATTTTATTTGACTTCCGTGCCAAACTCCTGTTGAAACTGTCGCATTTCGTTCGCAAGGGACAATAGATGCGCGAATTGACCAGGAACTTTCTATTTAATTAAGAGATACGATTCTATCTAAGAAAAAAATATCGAGAACGATATATAGAGGAAGGGTCACGCACGACCCGAAGAAATAAACTATGCACAGGGTGTCGTTAAACGTCTCGGGAAGAAAAATCAGTTTCCGTGCTCGTCGTTCAGGCGAATGCGAAATTAATTGTTAAGATTATACTGTGGTCGAATAAACGGCGGAAGGAGGATCATTTCTGTAACGTTTATCGAAGAAACACCAAATTGCAATAATTAACTTGTAACTTAAACGAACAAACGATTTCGCTAAAAACGAAAAAAAAAAAATTAATTAAAGATCGTCGATTCGACTGGATGTTACCATAAACTTAACTAACTTTTCTTTATTTCAAAAATTTCTATTATTTTTCAATTATATCACTAGTTATACTTTAATATCGTTTCACAATTGTTTGTGTTTGCCGTTCTGCACACAATTCAGATATACTTTGCGATTCTGTTTACAATTTTATAATTCTGGCATCTGAGAATTACCTGAAATTAATTAACACACACACTCGACACTCGAACATTCGTTGATTCATAAACTTAAGTACACTATTTAACGTAGCAAACAACTGGCAAGCGATAGTTACCTCGAGAACAGCCAGAAATTGTTAAGTGATATCCTTTTTAATTAGATCCAATTCCATTCGAGATCATGAATGGAATTAGAATTAGTGCTGCAAACTTAAATAATAGAGAAATTTAGCGTAAGAAAAATTTGTTAATCGTTATCGTCTCCTCGTAGCGGTCTGTCACTTGTTAATCGATAAAACTTTTTCGCCATGTTGTTTGAACTGGAATCGAAGGTGTATGGTTGCTATAAACGTTCCTACAACAACTATTGAACGCGTTGTCTGCTACAACAGCTATTCGTGACTTTGATATGTAACTTTTTACATCGGCATTCTTTCCTCTATGTCTACTTAATGTATTATCATTTCAAAATTAATAGTTTCGTGGTATGTATCATAAAAATGAACGGCAGTCAACTTATGCAATCGCGAAACAGTACATGTTCAATCACGTTCTAAAGAAAAAATGAAAAATTACATTGAAATATTTAATTACGTATTACCTCGATAACTGCATAAACTTTCTTATTAACCTTCTCAATTATCGAGGTTCTGTTATTTTATACTTGAACATTAACAAATTCGAATACTTTCGAATTTTCCTAGGAACTATTCGACTTCCGGCAAGGGCAATAAAATGCTGATGAAAGATTCAGGTTTCTGGTTACGCCATGTGTGTACATTATATTTGATCTACTGTTAAACGATTTTTACATATTTTCTATGAAAACAAATTAAGATGAACTTTAAAGAAGGAGAAACAACGAACGTTATATTAAACTTAAACAATTTTCTATGCACGAAACAAAAAAGTCGACCGAGAGATTACTTTGAATACAAGAACACTTCCGGTATCGATAAAGCGAATTATTTATTTAAAGGATCTGTTATTTATTAGAATGTGTACAGAACTTTTTTTTTCTCTTTTCTCCTTCGGAACGGTTTAGAGGTAACTTTCTTTAAACCGGAAGTGTTCTGCGTGTTCGAATTTCATTGAACGGAAATATCAAAAAAAGAATTTGTTGAAGCGTTTAAAGTATCCACTAATTATAAACATATACGAGTGTTCTTATATTTAGTTACTAAATTTCTTTACACATTTATATAGAGTAACATTCGCGATTACTTAAATAATTGTTTACCATAAAAAAATGAAGGTTATAGTAGTAAAATTTGAAAATTAGCGATTAAATAACGAAGAATATCAACGTTTACTATTCATCGATTCATCGATTCATCGATTCATCGATTCATCGATTTTCTTGAAAATAACAAAACAGAAAAAGAGGATCATGATCAAAGGTGAAAAAGAAATTCTAATAATGTCCAATTTTTCACCGACATTGTTCAGTTTTATACCGATTGCGAGCGAAATTTTTTCTCGAATAATCACGAGTCGGTACGATGTAGAGGACAAGGTTTTTGTATGCACCAACGCCGATGAAAAAAAAAAGGAAATTTTTTCAATGTATTTGTAGTGAAAAACGGCGAGATGAGGAACGGAGATGAATATTTTCGTCGAATAATGACTGGAAGCAGCTTGTTCCTTAAAAAATTCGTAATTTAGATCGTTACATATCGTGCGTGCTTGCTGGTCGTTCGATAAATCGAAACAACCATTGAATTCGAGTTCTAGAAGGTTTTAAACTCGATGTTTAGAGAATCAAATTTCGAGAAACTTACAGATCGTAAATTTAGCGATTATCGGTTTAGTATCGATTTAAGAAAAGTCGTAGCCATACAGAGTGTCTTACAATTAGAGTAGGATACAATTTAATTTATATGTATAACTTCTGAGTGGTTTTATGTTTACGATAGTTCGAAAAAAGCATTTTTATTTTCGTAAGTAAACTGCCTCCGTATTTTGAGACACTCTGTACGAGTTAAAGAGAAACTTAGTCAATTGATAAGCGTTAGAGGTATCGTAGTTCGTAATTAACTAATTGGTACTTAGGGTTAAACTCGTTGAAGTATATACCAAAGTTTTCAACCGTGTCCAAAACTTAAAATCTTAAAGATAGCTCCTGGTTTATGATCGTAACTGTATATCTTTACTTAAAATTAATTTCGTATACAGTAACATGGTTACCGTGAACCGAGATAAATTCGCAAACAAATATCTCGATTTCTACTTGGCTATTTTAACCATTAAGATTTTTTAATTTACTTAATACCGACAAAAGACGTAAATTACAATCGCAAATAGAACTTGTAACGCGTAACTCTGTAACGCGTTCTGCGTTACAGAAAGTTTTTTTAAACGATGAAATAATAAGTTTATGTATAACGTAATAACGAGCCATCAAGATGTATTGGACGGGAAACACGAGTAACGAATCAAAAAATTTGTTACGTTAGTAACGCCATAGCCTCTAAAAAATAGCCGATTAGTTCATATCGAGTACGATCCAATTGTTAAGCTTGAAAAGCAGTTTTTTATGAAAACATCTTTACGATTAGAAAGAGTAACGAATCCATGATCGATTAGCGGTCGATCTACTCACGAAAATATTCGAAACGTTTGCTTCTTTTCCGACTGTTTAATTAAATGCATTAATTGCAAATTTTCAATTTATCTTTCCTACAAATCAAAGGTGTTGGTATTTACCGTTAACTAGGATCGCTGTTATAGATAATTTACGTACACATACGTATTCATATACATGCAACGTAAAGCATACTTTTATCTTTCAAATTTAATTATCCTTCGAATTACGTTATATTATATTTAAAGCTGTAAACAGATTTGACGTTGATTCTCGTTAATGTTAACGATGTTATCAATCTATCGTCAAATATAAATATGATATCGATAATGTATCGATAATCGACAACAGCATCTTTATCGCAAACGTTCGAATACTTCGCTGACACGTCCATACTCCAGATATGTTTTATCGAAATGAATAGTTAACGCGAAGTCGCGGAGTATATTCGTTAATTCTTGTACTGCCAATTTTCATTGAAAATCTCCGAGAATAACAGTAATTCAGAGAAAGAATTTTGCATTTGACAATGACGTGTTTCGTCGCAAGAAGCGTCATTTGTTCACGGTTGAACAGCTCATGATCCATTCCTAAGATTAATTCATGCCTTTATCCGATATTTCTATAGCATCCACTTTCATGATCCTTTGATCGTCGGATCGTCGACGAGTGTCGACAATCGAATCGATGCTCGTAAAAACAATTTGTATACATCAGCATCAGATTGTTATGCGGCCGCAATGAGGCGCGAACGTATCTCGCAACTGTTCGCGGCAAATGAATTGTAAATTCGAAAAAATAAAAGGAGATGGTCGTTATTGTTAGCCACTGAGATGATTTCCCTTACCGAAATAAGATATTTCTCTCATATGAACACCGTGTTTATTTCAATTTGTGCATTTTTCATTTTTATCGGGTGTTGGAACGTAATTAATTTACGCATTAAAAATTCTATGGTTATGTTTTTGAAAGCACGTCGACCTTCTGGCGGTTGCTATAGAAACTAAAAATATATGTTTAAATATATTAACTGCGATGTCTGTAGTGATCTGCGTTTCGAATATGTAGATTTAATGTTAAACGAGATTTGCAATTCGTGTTTATTTACCATTAAACCGTCATCTAATTTCAACGCCAAACTGTCTCACACGGGAGAGTATGTATACTATAAAACAGTTTTTCGATATAAAACATAACCTTCGTAATATCGTTGAGGTTATTTTTAATTTCTTTTCACTTTTTTATTTACAGAAAGGAACGAAATCGAGGCAGCATGCCAGAACCAGTACATCATCAGATAAATGCTGCTCGAAAAACGTTCCAAACATTATACCAAATTTCTAAACTATTAAACACGAATTTAGATCCGACAACGTTAAGTATTTGCATTCGCTTATGCGAGAACGGTGTAAATCCTTATGCGCTTGCAACTGTTGTAAAGGAGTTGCAAAGAGAAGTTAAAGCTATGGATAATGCTAATCAATTAGAATCTCCTACTAGCAAGTCTAATTTAAAGAAATAATTGTTTTATAAAAAAATAAGTTGAATTCGTGTCATAATTTAATAAGATTGATTTGTTAACAAGTAATTTTACTTGATTACGATGAAAAATATATACACAATGTTTGTAATAAAAAACGTTAAGTTATTTGTACAATAATTATTAATTGTCAAATTATTAATTGTTACTGTTTGATGTCTGTTCAACAATGCGATTGTTTAACAATGAGTTAATATCATAGGGCAAACATAATATTTAATCTACTTTGCTGCTGTATTGTTTATGGAATTGTATAATTTCAATTTGAGAACCTGTAACTAGATTATTATAAAATAAATAAAGAATATTGCTACGAAGAAAGTTGGTAGCGTAGAATGTTATAACTGGAAAAAGAAAGAGTATGTAAAAGTGTTACAAAAAGTATAAAACTTATATAATTAGTATCATAAATTTATTTTTACGAATGAATAAATACTTATATAAAAAATTATTTTGTGTATATTTGATTATCAAGGTACATATTTTATACACGCTTATAAAAACATACAGACAAAATATGCAATATTTTTAAAGAATTTATATAGTTGAAAATTATAATTCTACCTTCTTCTTTTTTTCATCTACAGGTCTACTTACTTTGTTAGTTTTTACCATATTTGCATTCTGAAATAAATCATATACAATCAAAAGTACAAATTTTCTAAAAGCTGTTATCGCGTTACAACAAATTTTTACCTTCTTGTGTGGATCTCTGTAATAGGTTTGTCCCTCAAGAGTAACGTGAGACAATTCTGGCTGTTGCAGTAAAAAATTTTTGGCATCTACAGCTTGGGAACCTTCACGAAAGAAGAAAATAGATCTTTTTGGATCGATTGGATATCTGCAAAAAAATTTAATAATATTATGAATCAAATTTTTTATCATTTAGAATTATTAAAAGCAAAATAATAGAATAATACCTTTCGGCGATAATGTGGTTATTTTGAAGACTACTTTGCCAGATCCTCATTATTACATCGGCTTGTTCTATTGAAATATCTTCATTAGTATCAACAAACATCATAATACCTTTACCTTTTTTTGTCATTTTCAATATGTTATCAGGATTAGATATATCAAGCTAAATGAAAAATTCATATATGTATATATTTGGTTTCACAAATGAAAAGAAATATTATAAATAAATAATCACCTTTGATATATCAATCTTTGGACTAGGCCTAAGGTGTTCTGGTAGTTCATCAGGTTCTAATGGTTCATCATTTTCCTTAAGAAAAGAAAGAATTTCAGGATTTGGAAATTGGAAATTTAACAATATGGGAATGTGGGAATTTAGAAATGTAAAACTTTATATAGAAAATTTTTAGACATACGAAGTATATTACATCCTATGTCACTTCTATTATTTGGAAAGAGTTAGTCCATATTTTTTATGAAATCTACTCTATTTCCTACATAGTTATGTAAATGGTTTGGATATTTTTTTAATTGTTGATATTTAAATAGTGTGAGGCTATAATAAAACAACATACCTCCCACTGATCTAACAAGTGCTCCAAATCTGCATCTGTCATATCTCTTATATCCTTGTCCTTCCATGACTTTTTTTTAGTTGACTTTGCATCATCAAGTGCATTCACGTATAATAATAAAATTATACTAAAGAAAATAATTCCTTTTCTCATATTTAATCTTCAAAAATTAATATTCCATATATGTATATATGTTTATAAATATATATATAAGACTTTAGATATTTTATTTACCATTGAATTAATACATTTTTTTTTTCTCCGAAACTATTTAGAATAATTGCCTTTATTATACATAAACCGACAACAAGAAATTAGAATGAAAATGAATGATTCTTTTACAAAGTTCCACTCATTTTATAAAGGAAAAGTGATTAGTGTTGCCATCTATCGTAATTTGAAATGCAACAGTTAGAACAACAATATTCGCTGTTTCGGACAATGATGTAAATTTATTATAGACAATATGTCATGGTTATCATTGTTTAGATCCTACGAAAATTGTAGAGCTATTATTCATTAAAACTTCTGTTACAAGGTACGATTCTTTTATTACTTTGTCATTAACATAATGAGAGTTTTATTTGGTTACTAAGTATTATTTAACGCTAAGTATTTAGGTCAAAATGATTTTCTTGCTTTTGATTGTGCTATATTAAAGCAATATTTGAGATGTGCTTACAATTATGTGCTACGCAGTAATATTCGTGTTAAAGTATTAATAAAATATATAAGTAAAGTGATCAAACTGTTTGCAAATACTATAAATATGTATCTTAGAAATATTATCAGGGTATGTAAAATAATATAAACTAAACTTATTTAATTGCACGTTAATATATGTATATGTTACAGTGATGATTGTTTGTCAAGACATCTTGTATACTGTTTGTTTTGTGATAATATTACAACTTATGTGTTCATTAATAATGAGATATACAGATGATGTACATGGTGTATCTATGAAATTTTAAGATTGGATTAATTTGGTCACTGTCTCTTGACCCGTATGAAGGTTAGTGTATTCTTTAATCATATGTCCCCTGACTCATATATAGATCATGATCCATACATGCGACACATGTGTATGAACACATATGTGTTTCAAGGCAAACAATGTAGTCCTATTTAATTTTCTGTATGTAATTATAAATATATTGAATTAAGTCCTTCAGTTATGTTAGCATGGATGTCTTGAATAGTTAATATATAATAAGAATCAATCAATATTTTCTGTAATTTGAAATTTAATTAGCTAAAAGTTTCCATAAAAGTCGGTACGTATAGTGATATGTATTTTGACTGTTATGTATATTTATATAATTTAATGTGAAAGTCGAAAAGATTAGAAACTGCAGAAAATTAAGTAGTATTCTTGGGAAAATGTTGGTCTTAACATTTTATAGATATGCCAAGTATATAAATAATGTCCACTAACGTAGTAAATTTATTTTGTACTAATTAGTTAACTATCGTTACGTATTTGTTTCTTTTTTAGATTATCATGCAGGTGCATCAAAATAAATTATAAATATTATTAATATTCTTTAGTCTGTGCAAATTAAAAGTATAAAATATGAACAATTCTCAAGATGTTGTTAATCTAAAAGAAATAATGGAACTTGGAGAATTGTTACATCGAAATGGAGATAAAATATTGAGTGCTTCAAGCAAATTGTCTTTGTCATCTACATTATTATATAATTTAAATGAGGCCTTTTTCTTAATCGTTGATGAACCTGAAGATTTAGAGGCCTCGTTTCAAGTATGCAATAGCTCAAAAATCGCCATATTCCGTGATTTGAAATTTTTACATGACTTTGTACAAAAGACAGTTGGATTAAAAGTGACTTATTGTTCAAAAAGTCCTAATGTTCCTATTGATATTACAAAATTTAGGCATTTAAAATATCTGGAACTGAAGAAAATTAATATAGATTTAGTGAAAGGACTTCAAGGCATTAGAGGTCAACTTGAAACTGTTATCTGTACGGGTCAAAAAGGAGTTTGTACCGTAAAACAGTTACTGGGTAATTATAATTGTAATTATAAATATATTGATTTTTAATTAAGAAGTGTATTCTAATCTTCATTTTATGTTATAGCTGCTTGTGGTGGAGATGCAGGTATTGGATTTGTATGGGAATCTTTAAAACATTTAGCATTATCTCATAATGCTCTTGAAAGGTTGGATACATCTTTGGAATTAGCACCTTGGTTGCAAATAATAGATCTGAGTCATAACTTTATAACATCTGCAGAAGAGTTATCGTGTTTACCTAACTTAAAATATGTGAATCTTGGGTATAATAAACTTGAAACAGTACCTACTTTTAATAAAGCTGCCTTGCATCATTTACAAGTTCTAATCTTGAAAAATAATTACATAGAAAATCTAAATGGTAATATATTATTGCATTGGGTATTTTTATAAGAAATGTATGAATGAAATAGTTATATGTAATTTTTGTTGGAACTTAAACTTAAATTTACAGGTTTACAAAATTTAGAAAGTTTAACAGAATTAGATTTATCGTACAATTGTTTGATGGAACATTTGACTTTGTGGCCTTTGGAAAAAATGTCAGCTTTGTTATGGATATCTGTGGAAGGGAACCCAATATCATACCATCCAAAACATAGACGATTATCTATAAAATATTTACATCCATGTTTACGGGATAGCAAGGTAAGTTAGAAGTAATAGAGTATGATAATATTATAAAACGAGCTTTAATAAAATTTCACGATTTAGTTTGTTTTAGATCGTTTGCCTCTTTCGAAATCAGAGAAGCAACTCATTGCAGAAAATCGTTTTTTCACTATTAGATCTAAACAGTCTGCATCAAATGAGATTCTTACTTCAGTAACAAACTCTGTCAGTTCCAACAATCTATCTACATCCGTTAATGTATCTACCAGTAATGAAATTGTAGCAGGAAGATCTATAGATTATACAAATAACATAGAAAGAAGTTTATCTAAGAGCAGAAAAAAATTAAATGTGAAAGAAGCTGTTATTGTAGAAGATGAGCAAGGGAAAAAGGAATTAAATGTAAATTCCAATATTTGTAATTCCTATTTAGGTAATAAAGTATTATTTACTTCAACTATTTATTACTGAAAAATTATTAGCGTGTAACGATTAAATTTGTGATTAGAACAATTAATATAAATGGTGTTATTTATATTTTATTTCTTAGAAACTTCAAAGGATCATTTAGAAATAAAAAAGCAAATTTTAGCAGTTCGAAAAAAGTATGAAGATAACTGGTTAAGTAGTTCTGCTGGAACATTTGTTCAAGATATCATGGGTTTACAAGTTTCGTCGCGTTCTGTATTAACACCGGAATCTACAGTAACAAATTTAGATGATACAAGTAATGTATCAAATATTCAAGATCCTACGATTTTATTAATCAGTAATGCACAAACTGATACAGAAAAAGGATCGGAAACTAAAGAGAATGATGTGATTAATAATGAAGAAGAAAATGAAACTAAGGTATTGAATGAAGAAGAGAATGTTTTTGAAGATTTTAAGGATTCGATAAGTACTCGCGTAGATATATCTGAACCTCTTTATGACTCCGAAGAAGGTACATTGATAAAAGATAAACGTAAATTTAAGTAACAACTTGTTTAATTTAACTGTGACTTTTTTAATGTCTAGAAAAGGCGGACTTATATTTGGTACAAAAGAAGAAAAATGATAATGAATTAGAAGATTTATTCTTAATAATAACGTTAAAGTAAGTGTTTGTTATCTTATTGGTTCAAAAATTTTAAATACACTAATATATACTAAATTTAAACATAAAATTGTTATAGTGATATTAAAGAAAGAGATGCGCTTTCCGGCAAATTAAAGTATTGTTGGTCAACGAATTCTGTATTGTCTTGCGTACTAGGTAGAAGTGAACCAGTCACGGTAGACATAATTTTTGATACAACTCGAGAAGAACGTCGAAACAGGAGATATTATGTAGAGCCAGATGCTGCAAAGGTAAGAACAAAATAAGCATAAAAATAAAAAATGAATAATATTAGTATATGCATAATTAAATTGTCTTACAGAAAATAGTGAAAACAATTGGTGAAAGAATGAAAAAACGACCTATATCATTGAAAGTTTTTAAATGTATGAAATGTTCAACTCATTTTTCTCAGGATACGGAATATGTCACTGTAATAAGTTCATCTGTATCAAGTATGTTAATAATAATTATATAAAATAGATATTACAATTATAAAGCATAGATTAAAACAAGGAAAATATATGTAATATATAAAATTTATTTCATTAGGTGTAAAACAATTGAAATGTCCAACTTGTGAAAGTACCCTAGTCATAGAAACAGATGAATTATCAACTTTAGATGCAGAAAGTGATATTTCCGAAGATTCATCTGAATGTCTGATTAAAGATCAGCATTCCGAAAACATTGTGAAAACTAATCTACAACATTCTGAGTCTTTTTCCAGCATTGGTAAGTTTTGTTTTCATTTGTGCACGTGATATTTCCATGATATTAATCTAAGAGTAAATCAAATTTTTGATATATTTACTCTAACAAATATGCAACTGTCAGTAATTTATTAATTATAAAATGTAAAATAATCAAGTTATGCACTCATAAGATACCTACAGTAATTATTAACTATATAATTATTCCTTTATAATGTTGAAGTTGTGTAGTACTAGTGTTTTTAACTTATATAATAGAAATAATATTTATTAACTGATTGAATATGAACAAATTAATTATACCGCTGACGATATATCCATGCATTTTACTATCAACTGGGACTGTAACATACTAATCCAGGTGCAGGTGGAACGGAGGGTGGAGCTATATCCGTCACCACTTCTCTGGTACACTCCGACTTTCACATCCAAGCTCAAGTCTGCTGTAAGCTACAGCCACAATATTTTATTACAGCACTTTCCGTTTAGTCAAGCTTCTTTGAAAGATACAGTAGACTATTACATTAAAGCTTTATTAGTTTAAAGATTAAACACTATAATTAATGAATGCTTACATTATTAATTTTTTTTTTTTTTTCCTTTTTTTTCCCCGTTTTTACAATATATCGCATTTATATTAAAGCAGTTGTAGTTATCCTATTGTATTAAGTGATCTAGCTACAAACAAAAATTATATAGAAACTTGCAAGGTGAAATGTGATGCATATTTTTTAATTATCAATCTTCCATAAAATCCTGAGAAGCAAAAAGAAATATAAATACCTCTTAAAGTATATATTTTAAATTAATAAAATTGTGTTGCATATATCAAAAAACAATGTAATAAATGTTGGATGTTAAAAACAAGTACAAATAATTATTACTGCTATTATTATTATGATTATTATTGTTATTGTTGTTGTTGTTGTTGTCGTTGTTGTTATTGTTATTACTGTTGTTGTTATTGTTATTATTATTATTATTGATAGGTTCAGCAACCAGTTTGGAAGAATCACGAGAATCTACACCATCTACAAATACATTGAACAAGAAATATGAAAGCGATATTGAAATACTCAGCAACCCCAGTCAAAGTAGTATTGAAGTTTTAGATGAAGCATCAAGGTAGAATCATTAAGTAGTGATATTGTGCATACATAATATACATTTATATATTTACGTGCTTATTTATAACTAGATTGCATAAAAATCTAAAACTTAACTATTTAATTAATTATTGCTTTATAACATTTATACGATTGTCGTAGAATTCATCTGACACCACATAGAAAGTATTCTTCAGAAGAAAGACGTACCGCAGTTGCTCCGTCTCTTTTAACGATACCAGATACAGTGCCAATTATGACTGGTTTAACCGAAAGTAGTTCTTCAGGTTTGCCGTAACTTTTACAAATAACACTTATTAATATGATTATTTGCCAATAATTACTAATAATATTGTGTTTAATAAAGGTTCTTTAACGGATAGTATTTGTACCGCGTACGAAAATAAGGTAATTAAGCAAGCGATCGTAGACGAAAAATCCCTTAATAACAGCACTGACAAAGAGATGAAATTTACACCTGTAACAAATTTAACTTCTATGCTAGGTGGTAAGTAAACTACATGTTTTCTGTTTTAATATTAAGTATCTTTGTATAATAAACACATGCATTAACCAAATTATTAGGTTTACTTCAAAGCATAAAGATTGGTAGTAATAAATCATTAACATCAAAAGAAGAGGAAGCATCAAATTTCTTAGGCAGTAACATCCAATATTCTTATACGGATTTCGGCAGTATAGATCATAGAATAAAGTTGCATATTATTTTGAACATATTTGAGCACGAAAACGAGGGACTTATTCTTCTTCTTAGGGTAATATAAAATTTATCTTATTATTTTTTAAATTGTCGTCAAAGACTTATATTTAATATTTGGTAAACTTTCAGGCTGAAATTCTTATGCATAACATGAAAGATACATTTCCTGGTTGTTTAGTTTTATCCACATCAAAGGTTTATGTTCTTAAAATTGACGGATTCGAGGGGTAAAGTAAAATGTCTTATCATGATTTTATTTTTAGAAATGTCATGGTTTGTTACTTTTATTTTATTTACGTTACAGAGAGGATCCTCAACGTTGGTTACACAAAGAGATCAGTTGGACAATGGATAGATTAAGATGTTTTGCACCGCTACCATTTAAACAGGGGGTTTTGATTGAATTAGAACAACCTACAAAATCAAACGATGAATCATATTCTACGATTACGTTTTTATGCGTTCTACAGGATTTTCAGAGAACATCTAATTTTCTATTTTATATTACTGGTAAACGAAAAGATATTTTAATTGCATACAATTTAACTACAATTCTATCTTTAAGTACATAAACTTTTATTTGCAGATTTGTCGTTACCACCCAGTTGTGAAGTGGAATTCACGGTACCAGAACACTGTACTACTTTCATGCACTGTTTATTAAAAAATTGTAAGAATTATCAAGATGGGGACACTGTGAGACTGCTTGCACTATTTTCTTCTGCCTTATTAAAATATCAAGATCTTAAGGTTGAACTGAAATTATCTAGTTTGATAGTAACTGCATCTGTTTTGGTAGTATGCAATATGCAGTGGCTCTTACCTGGTAATAATGAAATGCCACATATAATAAGGGAACAAGCTATGAGCAACTTAATCGGGATAGTAAGTAATATACTTTTCTGCGTTATTCAAATTTGAAAGTATATTATTACATTTATTATTTGCGTTGCAGGAACATTACGGTTCGACATTGACCCTAAACTTCTTAGATGAGTTAATGGGACAAGAAGAATCATGGGTTTTAGATTTTATTTCTGCGAGTGCCGCTGAAACGGTTATCAATTCTGTACAACCACCCTGGGAAGAATTATTCTCGATTCCATTACAAATCACAACTTGCAAGTCACAAAAAGCCGAAAACGTGTAAAATGATATATTGTATACAGAAAAGGATATTCTAGTCAAACATATGCACCAGGTAACCATTTAACAAATACAGCTAATTAAATGGAATCAATAAAATTTGTGATTTTGCGTAATTTTACACGTGTTAGTAATATGAATAGTTCTTTTTCCATAAAATTATATAATTCAATAAGAAAAGAGAGCAGAGTGTAATATTTGACCAACGAAAATGTAAATAATTATATGCAGTATAGAAAAATTAATAATGTATCGTAGGTAATGTTTTTCTAAACTAACAAACTTTGATTAAAAACGTTTATATCACAATTTCATCAATATTTTAAACATTATTATATACATCTGGTATATTTCTACATGATTTTTCTCTCTTTTATTGAAACAAAAGGGGATGTTAAATGGTGCTATTAAAACTAAGATACTGTATTTTGAAACGTATTGTGTTGCTGCAATAAACGTTTTTGTATTAATAGTTTATATATTTATGTTTATAGAATTTAATATAAAATGTAATTTTAATATAACAAAATAAGCACGTATTTTTGTATTACAAGAAAGGAGTAGCATACAAGAATCGTTTAATTTTGAATGTCTGTTTGATACATGTTTAAAATACCAAAAGTACATATAAATAATGCATGCACCCATAGATAATTGCGAATGCATACAATTTTTGTATGCTCTCTTTGTAGCCTTAAATAAGTGCAAAACATTGCAATACTAAATAATAATTGAATATCGTTATCAATCTGTGATATATATTTTGGTTTTTATTACATATTTTGCATGTGTACGTTATAAAACTTTATAATATTCATAATATTAAATTAGGAAGAAACATAAGAGACAGAGTTATATTGTAGTAACTAGATCGAATTTCTTGATATTTTAGTTTAAGTAATGGCATTAAGCATAAATTATTTTATTCATATATTGTATTAGTTAATGTTCGTGTCAAATTTTTCAAGAATTAATACAGCTCAATGTACTGAAGATAATATTCATGTCATTTTGTATGTATATACATGTGTAAATAAATTGTTATTGTGTCTATTATATTTATGCATAAATCTTTTATCACAGTTTTATAGTAAGGACACATAGATTTAATATATATACAAGAAATAGATATTCAGTTTTGTAAATTTTTTAATTTATTTATATAATGTAGATATTATCATTCAATTATTAGATGTAATTTATATGTGACTAAAATTGCACGTATCTTTTAACTGTTAATTAATTCTGTTTAGCAAGTGTTACATATGAAGTAAACAGTTGACATACGTATTAATACAGTTCTAATAGAGGCAAAATACAGAAAAATGTGTACTCAAGATATTTTGCATTGATGATAATAAAGGATACAATATGTAAATGAAACAGTTGGAAGATGCTGAAAATAACTTCTTAGTATGTTTCTTAAATGCATACATGAAGTATGCATCCTAAGTACATGTTATTGTTCCAGTGAATTCTACTTATTCGTAAATATATCAAATTTTATAAAAGTGTAATCAAGAATACATGTACAAATAGACATGGCTAACATTATAAATATTATAATTTTGTTATCGGTAGCCAGTAAGTTTAATTGTACTTATCCATTTAGTGTATGAAATACTATTATTCAAAAAATAATTACTAAAATGAGTTTAGATAAAATTGTAAAATGTTATTAATATTCATATATTTCTCAGTATCAATTGTTATTGGACATTTTGGATACAAAAAACGTGGTATGTATGATAGTGTTTTACACTTATTATCATTTCTTTATTTTTTATTTTAATATTTAATACAATATCGTAGATCAACACACGTGGGTTAAAACGTATAAGTTGTGTGGTGGAAAGTTACAATCCCCAGTGTCTATATCATCATCAAAATCAATTGATATTCCTTTACCTGCACTCGAAATAATTGGATATCACGATTATCTTCCACGTCCATTGTATCTGAAAAATACAGGTCATTCAGGTAGTATCATGTAACGAAATAACATCATTCAAAATAATATTTAATAATAAATTAATACTTGTTTTAGTTGCAATGTATATTAACAATCATTCACGAAAGAAATTGCCTTACATATTTGGAGCTGTGCTTAATGAAAATGCAGAATATGAAATAGATCATTTACACTTTCATTGGGGTGCAAAAAATAATAGAGGATCTGAGCATATTTTAAATGGTGTCAGGTGTAAAACACAAAAATGTATTATATTTATATATCCAATTGCTATTTATTTAATTCTGTTATCTCTGATTTGTAGGTATCCTATGGAAATGCATATAGTTCACAGAAATAAAGCATATTTAAATTTTTCTAATGCAGTGAATTATGAAGATGGACTAGTGGTTTTAGGAATCTTTTTTCAAGTAAGTTAAACTCTTTATAAAATGTATTTAAAAAATTAACAAATGGTATACTATTATATTATATTTAGTTACAGGAACAGAATAACAAATTGTTATATCCAATTATAAATGAATTAACAAGTGTACAGTGGCTAAATGAAGAAGTAAAATTAAGCACATCTGTTACATTATCATCGTTGTTACCTAATAACATAGATGTATTTTATACTTACAAAGGTTCTTTAACTACGCCTCCATGTAATGAAGTAGTAACATGGATAATTTTTCCAACACCAGTACCAATATCATTTGGTCAGGTAGTCTTTAAGTATTTTAATATATACATACATATATATATATTATTAAAGATATCTTTAATATTATGTATTTGCAGTTGAACCAGTTTAGATCACTTTCTAATGGAGAAGATACTCTAGCTGATAATTTTAGAAGATTGCAAGATATAGGACTAAGAAAAGTGTATGTTAGGAGATTAAATTCATTCTTATTTACAAAATATAATGGCACAGTTTTCAATATCACAAATTTAGATTGGTTTTTCCATTAAATATATTCTCGAGAAATTTAAATACGTGTATCTATGTAATGTCGGTGAATACACGAACAAAACAGATAATAGCACCAGAGCGCTGTAATAAAAAGCTCTTAATATTCTGCTATTATTCAAATAAAACAAAAAAAAAAACAAATATGTGCGTAGTCATCACTTGCATTAGAAGTAAAACTTGTAGTAATTATGGATAGAAATATGAAATTTCAAAAATTGAGCGTACGGTAATTTGAAGATTTGAAAATTTCATAATTGTTTTTTTTAAAGGAGAGGAAACGCGCATAAATTTACATTAAATTATTGTTGAATTTTGAAAAAATAAATCAAATTGTTTTTAAATGTAAGCATTTATTTGGGAAAATTATATATATATATATATATATGTATATATTACTTATTTATTCATATGAATTAGGCATAATGCGTGCCAATCGTCTGGTGCAATTGTCTGGTAGTGGGGACATCTTCCTTGTGTAGGTAATACCACACATGTACTACACTTGTATATGAATTATATTGTATTATGTTGGATTAGTCATCGAATAAAGTAACCGCAAGTAACTGAAATGTAAAAGTAGTATTGGTAGAATCAAGTATATATGTAGAAGCATTGACAGTATCACATTTTTGCACGATGCTATCATAATAAGTACAAAAAAAACTTATAATCAATCGATAATTGAATGTAGTCTATTGCCTTCGATAGATTTCAAAGTCAGATTCAAGTGTGGCGTAACAGTGAATTACTATAACAAAATCTTCAATCGTTTACTTACAAAGATGATGACAGTAAACAAGGACATTACCCGTGAATAAATTATAGCGGTCACACTTATTTCTTACGTATTATTTTTATTTATTAGATACACAAATCTATTTTATTTACATAGTAAACACATTTCTTTAAGGTTATGCGATTCTTTTGTATTGATCGGTTATATTATTCTACAATCTAACAAACAAATGTTGAATTACTCGTTTCTGTTGATTTTATAAACATTTTCTACTAGTTTCAATCGAAAATCGAAGATGGTTTTTGAATCGATCGTTGCCGAACTCTTAAATAAAGTGTTAGGGGAGTATATTCAAAATTTGGATTACACCCAATTAAAACTCAGTTTATGGGGAGGTAAGTATATGGGACATTTTAAACATTTCATATATATATATAACTCATAAGGATGTCAAATATGCAATGCTTGTATATAATTGGAAACATGATAAAAATGAAACTTGATAACAAGTTTGATTTCTTTCAACCATAGATATATTATTAGTATATCAATGTGACATCAGCTTCTATTTATGTTATCATTTGATGCTAGTTTTTTATTGTACATTATTCGTACAGTTCATTGCACTTGACTAAATGCAATAAAATTCTCCTTATGTTGTTCTATATATGATCACAAATATTAAATTATATTTCTTAAATTTAAAAATACCATTTTTATAAACATAAAAAAATATTTCTTTATAGGAGATGTAGTATTAACGGACTTATTGATAAAAGAAACTGCATTAGATGTTTTGGACTTGCCTGTTAGATTGGAATATGGAAGATTAGGTTTGTAAGAATAATGTACTCATTGGCATAAATAGGTAAGATACCAGGATAGACTTGGTACTCCCAAAATGTGAACTAACACTTTTTAGGACACTTCATATTTTGTATTAAAAAGTTGGATATTTTCAAGTTTTCTCCAATTCCTAAACATTTAAATTCCTAATTCCCAAATATTTAAAAGTCACTTGATCATGTATGGTATAGAGCTGACCTTATTAGTGAAACTAAGGTATATGGATACTTTATTATTTTATTCCCAGACAAAAGTCCTGTATGCAGCAGTATGTGTACCTTCTTATGTCAAAGATTTTGATTAAAAAAAATATAAGATCAATACATTGTGTAACTGTATTTTTTGTAGGAAAACTTATATTAAAAATACCTTTCAAAGATATGTGGAATGGGCAAATTGATGCAGTAGTCGAAGAATTATTTGTATTAATAGTACCCACGAGTCAGGTTGCATATGATGCAGAGAAAGAAGCAAGAGTGCAGCTTGAAGCTAAACGTGCAGAACTTGCAAGAGTTGAGAAATCAAAACAGCTGGCAGATACAAAATGTAAATAATTTTTCTAAATAGTTTTATGTTTTCGTTTTAATATGATAGTTATTTTATTTATGTTTTACAGCACAAGAAAAATTAGATGATTCAATGATTGAAAAGCTTATTGCTCGTATGATAAAGAATATTCATGTAGAAATAAAAAAAATCCATGTAAGATACGAAGACCATGTTTCGTTTAAAGATCATCCATTTTCCGTCGGTTTTACGCTAAATAAATTTATCTTGGAAAGTTGTACAGATACATGGGATGTAAATGGTAATTTGAAAGACATGTATGCTATTCCACAAATTTACAAGGTAGGTGAAAGTTATAAACGATAAATGCCTTGGAAACTAATTATATTCATGATGAAACATGTCTTTACAGTTGTGTATGCTAGATGGTTTGGCTGTGTATATGAATCCAACTGTAGAACAGTTTAGTAAAGATTCTCAATCAAATTATTCAACTCTTTTTTATGGTGGTATCGCAACTATAGATTATAATCCACCTGGCTATCAATATTGTAAGAAGATTTAGTTTTAGAAACATATAATATAATTGCTTATATAAAATTTCCTATAATTACTTTTGCATAGATATAAATTATTATATAATATTATTTTGAATTCATTTAGTATTGGGTCCAATAAATGTCAATGCAAAATTGAAATTAAACCCAAAACCAGAAACAGATGGAAGTAATTATACTATTCCCAAGGTGTGGTTGGATTTGGAGATGCAAAAATTAAGAATTGGTTTAGCAAAAAAACAGTATCGAACCCTTGTCCAGTTAGGCGAAGGATTAGATCAAGCGCAAAAAGCTGCACCTTACAGAAAGTATAGACCAAATTTGACATCATATAGAGGACACTATAAAGAATGGTAACAAATTATCATAAATTATCATAAATTAATAATATTAGGATTTCAGAAATAATATATTTAATAATTGCTAGGTGGCATTTTGCATACACTTGTGTTTTGGAAGATACAGTACGTAGAAACCGTAGGAATTGGGATTGGAATCATATGAAAGAACATAGGGACACATGTCGTAGTTACGCTCATGCGTATCAGACAAAACTAACAACTAAAAAGGTTTCGCAAGAAATCGAAGATCTTCTTACAAATTGTGAAAAGAAATTGGATATTTTCAATTTAGTTATTATTAGGCAACAAATTGAAATGGAAGTTAGTTGATAAAAGTTTTAGTCGTTAATAAGTATTCATGTGTTTTATATTCTTATAACAATGTTTAGTTTATATTTTATATTTAATAGGTTGAAAAATTGGCAGAAAGAGAAAAAAGCTTAAAAGCAAAACGTGGTTGGTTCGGATTTTTATGGTCTAATTCTCAAACAGAAGAAACACAGGAGTTAAACTCTGCCGCTGCGATAAGTAATATATTCGATTTTTATTAATTATTTATTTATTATTAACATAAAAGTTTACAGAAAATGTTTAATTTTAGTGCGGAAATTTGAACAAGCCATGACACCGCAAGAAAAAGAAAAATTGTATAAAGCAATCGATTATCAAGAAAACAGCGCACCAGCTCATTATCCTGAAACATACGAAATGATCGATACACGATTTCTTTTATTGGAACTTCAAGTTATATTTTTTGATACAGATAAGAAATATCCATGTATTTTGGACCTTCAACTTCATAGCGTTAAAGCCTGTTTCAAATCAAGGCCAGCAGCTAATGCTATTTTGTATGTAGATATTCTTTAATAGCGATGTAAATTATTAAAACAAATGAAGAGATTTTAATATTTATTTATTTTATTACAGAGTTACAGCATCTATTAACGAGATGAAACTTTTAGGAACAAAACAGGGTGACCAAGTTCCGTCGCTTTTTAATTCACACCAACATAACATAGATGATGTTTTATTATCGATATCATATGAGAAAAATCCTCTTGATAAATTATGTGGTGATCGCGTTATAGTAAAATCAACATCTGTGGATATTATTTATGATGCACAAACTGTAATAGAATTAGTTAATTTGTTTAAAGTAGAAAACTCGTCTACTTTAAATCAGTAAGTAAAGTATTATGTTTTGCGTCATATTTTATACAATAGATATCGTATTATTAATTCATTGTTACCTTGTTTAGACTTCAAGCAGCTGCAGCAGAACAGTTAGAAGGTTTGAAAGAAATGTCGGCTCTAGGTTTAGAACATGCTATACAAAAGCACTCTGTGTTAGACATACAGGTAAAATGATATTGTTTAATAGGTATCAAATATGACGAGTGAAATTTACATTAGATAAAACAAGTATATGTTTGATAGGTTAATATGCAAGCATCTCAATTAATCATACCGCATGACGGATTTTATAGCAGTACGAAATCTTTATTAGTAATAAATCTTGGAAGTTTGAAAATGAATTCCTTAGAGAAAGCAAAAGAGGATAAAACAAACGTAACCGTTAAGCAGTTGATTAGTATGGGTAAAAGCGAAGAAGATGTGTTATTGCATCTGAGAGCACATAGTTATGATAAATTTGTTTTAAAAATAGTGGATTTTCAAGTATTAGTTTCACTACCTGGAGAAGAATGGCGCACAATTTTACCGACTGTAGACGATATGGTATTACTGCATCCAACAACGCTTGAAATTCAGTTTCACAAGTGTTTAGTAACAGATGATCCTTTGCTACCAAAAATTCGACTTATTGGTCAATTACCATCAGTGTTTGTCAATATAACGGATATACGTTTATTACAAGCTCTTTCTATTGCTCAAAGTATACCATTTCCAAAAGAGGAACAACCTGTAGAACTTCATAAATCATCGCTCAGTAAGTCTCTTTCGCAATTGTCATTGTTAAAAGAACTAGCAACAATTTCTGAAAAGAAGAAAGAAGAATCTAACGTAACTCCAGTGAGACAAACAACAGATTTGGAGATGAGATTTGAAATGAAAGAATTTGCATTACAAGTCTCATCCCAGAAGGACAATGCAATAAGACCATTCATTAAACTTCAAGTATTGCAGTTAGAGGCAGAAATGTTACAACGAACGTATGATCAGGAAATATTATTAAGATTAGGTGGTGTTCAAGTGAAGCAACATTACAATCAAACTGAAATATTTATGGTAGATACGCCGATGTCATCGGGCAAAGACGAATATTTGATAACGGTACAATATATAAATGTGAATAAAAAATCTCCTGAATTTACAACGAGACACGGATCTGTTATCAAATTACTAAAATTGGAATTTACAACGTTAGATACTTTGCTACATCAAGAAGCCCTCATAAGTTTACTTCAATTCGTATCGGTTACGCAGGACAAAATGAATGCTATAGTAGAGAGTAAAATTGAAAAGGAACATCAGGCACGTCCACGGCCTAGTCATCTGACTTCTATTCAAGAGGAAACATCTGCATTCTTTAAGGAACATATTCAAAAACAAAAACAAAAGTCGAATATACGTCGAAAAAGAACGGTGGTCGAACATATAGATTTAAAAGTTCAAGCAAAGATTGGAAGTATTTGTATGAAAATAATTAGCGATTGTAGAGAAATCACTGCATTTTATATTACTGGTATCACTGCCGGATTTATGATGAAAGCTTCTTATTCTCAAGCGAACATTAATTTATCCTCCATCAGTATTACAGATCTTAATGCCGCGTCAGCTTATAGAAATATTGTATCGGTGACAGATGACACCGAATCTTTGCAAATTCAAGTCATAATGTATAACATTGAACCGTCGGATGTTGATAAAAATAATATGGCTATTACAGTTGTTATGGGTTGTTATCGTATTGTTTTTCTGAACGCGTTCGTTACCAGTATAATGAGTTTCTTAAATAACTTTCAAGCAGCTCAACAAGCCATAAAAGATGCATCGGCAGCTGCTGCAGAAGCTGCAAAGACAAATATCAAAGACGTGCAAGAAAGTGCCGCACGCATCGGGCTTGCGGTGAAAATTAAGGCTCCTGATATATATGTACCAATGCATTCAAAAAGCGATCATTGTCTAACATTGGACATGGGTAATCTTACTATATGTAACGTTTTTAAGAAATTAGAAGTTACGAACGAAGCCGGCGATTGTCCTATTGTTGACGAAATGAAAATCGAATTGCAAAATCTAAAGTTATCGAGAGTAAAATTGAATCTGGAGAAATTTTCGATCGAACATGAAATATTATTGTTGGAACCAGTCAGTTTTACGCTACTTATGAAACGTAACTTATCAACAAGTTGGTTTACTTCTATACCAGATATCGATATGTCCGGCAGACTAAATAAAATTAATATATTGTTAAGCAAGGAAGATTACACGACTGCGCTGAAAGTGTTGGAAGAAAATTTAAACGAAACAGTCGAGGATAAAACAGCAGCGCATAATATTCATCAGACTGAGAAGAAATTTGAAGTAGAGGTTGTACAGCACCTTCAAAATGAAAGATTTAGGAAAGCTACCGTAGAAGATTCAGAGGATATAGATTTTCAAGAACAAGTGCATGTACATACATCTATCAAATTCGAATTTGTCATGGATAGTCTTGTAATTAATCTATTCACAGGAGGTTCTAAAACGCTGCAGTCTAAAAATTCTCCGATTCATCTACCAGAGAACGGATTAGCCAAATTTTGTCTGACTCATTTTGCGTTGAAAGGTAGAATATTTGCCGACGGATTGATGGCAACTTCGATTCTTCTTATGAATTGTACTTTGGACGATATACGTCAGAGTAGACAAGGTTCTCTTACACGAATTATGGAAAGAACAGTATCGGTATATTCTGTCAACGACACAGAAAAAGAATCGAAGTCTGTCCGTAGTATGTTGGATATGACTATTCGGCAAAGCTCGAACGACACGTTTGTTGACATAAGAGTTTTTTCCTTCAGTATTATTGTATCGCTTGATTATTTAATGAAAGTAAAGGACTTTTTCGTGACCGAATCACCACCGGCATCGAGTAGTAAAACCATATCTCAAAATGTATCAAAGAGTTACAATGAACCAGTGAGTAAAAAAAAGCAAACACCTGCAACGCCGATTAAAAAGATGTTAACGATTAATGTGCATATTGAAAAACCAGATATTATTTTGTTGGAAGATATGGATGATATAAATTCAAATTGTATTATATTAAACACTGAACTGCTATTGAAAGTGCGTTTAATCGATGAACATCAAGTGATAACGGGGTCTATAAAAGATTTATCAATTTTAGCAGGAATATACAATCCAATAAAGAGAAGCGACTGGATATATCAGGTACTAAGACCATGCAGTGTTAGTGTAGCAGGTTCTACACCAGAAGGAAAAGGACTTCACATAGAGGTTTGTTGTACCGATATTCATGTATCAGTCTCGCCAGGTGTTATTGAAATATTGAATAAGGTTGTTCATACCGCGACAAAAACGGAAGTGAAAAATGACGAGATCGTCGTTTCTGAACAAAATCACGAAGGATTATGGATCATAACTCCATTCGAAGAAAGTGATTTTTGGTTTCTAAAAACAGAAGTAGGTGTAGAAGCTATAGAAGATTTTGTTTACTCCGATGACGAGGATGCCACAACTTACAAACCAGAATTAGCAATAATTTCTGCACCAACTATATTATTCACGTTGGAAGCAGGCGTTGGTAATAAAACATTACCTATGCTTTTGCTTAATATCGGATTCCAGAGTAACATTAACGATTGGAGTACAAAATCTGTATGAAACGTTAATATAATTTTTAGCAGCGTAACACGTTACTCTATCCTCTAATGGTTGAACATTTTCAGATGTGTATAGAAAGTACGATGTCGTTAATAATGGCATATTATAATAGTTGTCTTGCATTATGGGAACCATTGATTGAACCAGTTGAAGGAATTAAAAAAGGAAAACGAGTTTCGACGCCTTGGGAGCTAAAAACTAAAGTAAATTTTACAAGATTTAAACGTTGCGATATAACTTTATTACAATCTATTATATAAATTACTCATTTCCCGTGAAATTTTTAATCATTATTCGACAGATTCAATTTAACGATGTATCAATGGACTCTAGAGGTATGAGTGTAATCAGTCCTACTTCGGAGAGTGAACTAGAAGAATTTCATCAGACTTCAAAAATGTCCATTGATGTGATATCGACTGTAAGTTGAAGGAGAAAAAACAGCTATTAACATTGTATGTATTATCTAGAGAGAAATGTTCATATTTTATAATAGGAAAACCTGGAAATAACCGTAACGAAAACCTGTCTTGATGTGTTGAAACAATTGGGTAATGCATTTTCATCTGCTATGGAATCTAGTGGAAAAGGAAGCGTGAAAAATGTGGCACCGTATGTGCTCAAGAACGAAACTGGATTGGCGATGGTTTTAAATTTGCAGCGCAGTCACTTTAAAGTTCGTATTACTTAATTTACAAAAGTAACTGTAACTCATCAAATCTTATTGCATAAAAATATTGTTTTAGGTTTTTGATAATGGGTCAAAACTTGCGAGTGACAATTCAGATTCATATATGGAAGTCATCCTAGAGTCGGGTGCGTCGGTGGAACTTGCTCCGAAAACAACAAAAACTAATATACCTTTGTTGGACCAGTTAAAGACTGAAACCGTTAAAGAAAGAGACGATGATAAATTTATTATTTCGGTAATGTATTTTTAATTATTTGTGAACATTAAGTATCACCAACTTTGATTATACTCACGATAATATATATATTTTTAAGTTTAAAGAGATTCAATGTACATTGACCATTCCTGTTTTGAGAGCCGATAAAAGATTTTTCTCGTTGCGATATAGAAAAGAAGGTTCCGAGGAGTGGGGTATTGTTTCTGATGTTGTAGTCGATGAAGGAAGTACTATCGTTACTCTGAGAAGTATTCTTCAGGTGAATTACTCGAATTCTTGTTCATAATGATAACCAATATATATATATAAAGAGTATAATGATCATACACGAATTGTAGGTACATAACCATTTTAGCGAACCGATATCTGTATATTACATGACTAAACGTGGAAATGAAGTCGAATGCGTTGGCACTGTCGCTCCAGACAGTAAATTAAATCTTCCATTAGATGCTGTTTATACACCGACAAGCATCTATTGGCTGTTTTTCAGTGTTGACGGGTACTTGCACATTTTTTGAACGTTATTTTTCTTTCTTTCTTTTTTTTTTCTCTTTTTTTTTTTTTCATATGGCACTGGAGGCCATGGTAAGCTTCTTTAGCGAAAACAACGACATAGAGGAAGGAGGCAGTACCATGTATTTCTTTTTATTCGATTAATTCTAAAATTTCCAAATGTTCAAATTCAGAACATTGAGTAGTTGAGAATTTGGAAATTTAAGAAGTTAGAAATCTAGAAATTCTATACTTACATATGTTTTTCGTTTCTAGGTACATGGTTTCGATAGAACCATTCGTTTGGAAAGATCTGCAAAAAACAGTTTCTATGTCGAAACTTTTAAAATGCGAAAGTCGAACGAAACAAGAAATCATAGAACCATTTTACATAAAGGTAATGAATTCGGATAAGCTTCTTCATTCTTATACGTTTAGCTGATTCTTGCATTCTACTTGAATCTATCACTGTATACGAAATATTTCACTGTTTAGTATATATATTATTTATATTATATCACCAGTGATCGATAGTGATATACCAAAGCAGATTTATTTAATTTTAACGCTTTAATGAAACAAGAATTTCGTGAAAATCATATTACATGTTCTTATAAGCAGCAGTTTTTACTTTTAGATGATTTTCATGATGATTGTGGTTGGTAGTATTTTATATAATAACAACACTATTGGCTTATTGTTGAATGTTATTAACTGGCGATCCATATTCTGTCGTTTCGTTGATTGCGTCAAGCGTTTATGCTTGAAAACTTTACCCTCTGAACATCCAAAATATCTGGAAGCACCTATTCAGGTACTACCATTTTCCTAACTAGTTGAGAAGCAGTTATTTAATTTATATTCAGTATCGATCAAGTATGTATTTTTATTATTACTGTTAGATAGTTTATGTGGATGTGTATTTGTATAAAAATTATTCTACAGGAAACAGTTTATTCGTTACGAAAGTTAGTCACTAGACAAATATAGACAAGGAAATAAATGAAACAAATAGATTATGTGTATACTAAACCCAGCAATATCCAGTTATGCAGTTACCATGACCAAACATGTTATTCTGTTAGATTTTATTATGGGCATTTACTTTAATAAGCACTGCTTTGCTTTTCTAATATATTAAAACATTTATTGTTTGCTATAAATTTCTTGACATTTTTATTTTTATTTTTATTTTTATTTTTATTTTTATTTATATAACATCGATTTAATTTCCTAGTTTCTATTATACTTATTATTATAAAATTGTTTATTAGTTGCAAACCATATACTATGTGTCCAAGAATTTAGATAAAAGTGGAAAATTTTAACTAGTATGGTTGTTGCATGTGTTTTATTTATACGATTGTTTTATTAAAAATGAATGTATCTTTACTATTATTATATTAAATATATTGTTTACTGGTTTGGATAGCTGTAGGAAAACTGTACTAGAATAATATAGTTGATTGCAGCATAAATACAATATGCAATAAAGAGTTACATGTATCAAGAATTTATTGTGATGTTTACAGGTTGTCGGTGAAATAGAACAGGTATATTTTGAAAATACTAGTCGGCATACAATGGCAAGTACCATTTATAACGTTCACTTATATCCATCCGTGTATTTGAAAAATTTTCTGCCTATCGACATTATTATATGTTTGCCTGGTGCTGTACAAGAAAAGCTTTTAGAGGCAGGCACATCTTATCAGATCCCTACAATCGATCCTGGAAAATCTAGTATAATCATAAAGGTAAGATGATAACATATTTATGAACAATACAATTATCTTTTAACAGTTATTATTTTTAATTGTAATAATATGCTATAGCTACCAAATTATTTAGAAAAGGATTGGTCATGCAGAGGAGAAATACTAGCTAATCCGCCGGAATTTTCTGTTTGGTCTTTTGAATCTTTTGATAGCGTTCATAAAGTTGTCATGGATTTAGGAATGCATACATCTTACCAACATGGTTGTATTGTTATGGCATTGTATTGTCCATTTTGGATGTTGAATAAGACAGGTTTAATGTTGTCCTACAGGGTAAATATCAAAATATATTTCTGTTAAGTAATGCAATATATAATACTTTTAATAGGTTTTGCTTGAAATAATACTTGCTTACATACGTTTTACATTTTGTTTACCCAGCACAGATTTCCTTTTACTGCCTGTATAAACTTTATCATTTATATTTCTTATTGATGTTTATTTATTCATCCCTAGTGTTCAAAATTAATTCTTTTATTCATTAAGTAAAACGTCATATAATACATTCAATACATAATATTACACGATATTAATGATTTAAATTATGCTGCAACATCATGCAATATTTTGTTATCAGATAATAACACCAATCAAAATGATGCTGTAGTTCTTTAATAATTTCGTTGTACATAGAATTAATCTCTTTATGCAATGCTTGAGTTGTAATATTTTATGCAATATGTAAATGCTCCGTCGTTACATTATGCATGTTGGAATTAGTATAATGTTGCGGATTGTTAATTTCTTGTACGATCATGTCTTATTCGGTGCGTTATTTTACAGAAATCAAGTAAGGGTGGCAAAGAACACTCAAGTCCGATAAAGGTAGTGATTTCACATTAAAGTACTTTTCATGCTTTTAATCGTAATATTCGTTAAAATACTGTTGTCGTATAATAGTGGCTATATTTTTTCATGTGCAAAATTTATTTAAAAGGCATGAAAAAGAAAATTATTTAAATTTAATAGTACATTTGGTTTTAAATTAAGCATAGCTCGTAAAAATGATATAGCAGCATGTTAAACTTAATTGAATGCTGAAACAGCTTTTCGAAATATTTACATCTTATTGTTTGTGACATTCATGGGTAAAATTACAAATTTTGCACAGCTTTTATGTATACGTATATATATGTATATATGTACATATACATATATGTGTGGGAAAATTAATTTAATCATTAATGATCTTACGAAAATACAAGAAAGATATCTTTCAGACTTTGGTTTGTGGCATGAAACCTCATCAACCACGTTCAGAATACAGGAGGAAGAAAGCTCGTTCGGTGATACATTATTTTCATTTTATATTGGTGATGGTTTAATCTTACAAATTGTAAAAGAAAGTTTATCTACAAATGAATACATTGTACTAAACATACGTGTTCATTCGTTAACGGATAAATCATAGTACAATTATGTAAATTCGGTTCATACCATGATCAATGCTTCTTTACTAACTACATATAATTTATGACATATGGATCAAGTACACTGTTTGTTTTCAGTTTTGTTTCATTAGCTTGCTTATTGCAACATTACACATATTTTTATATGTTACAAAATTGTTTACCTAAAGTGGTTGTTAAAGCTGGTTTGTATAGGGGATGAGAGCATTTTTGAAAATAATCGAAAATGTTACTACTACCGAAACATATAAACAGCTAATGCAATCAATTTTTGTAAATCTGTTTAGTAATACTTAAACGCAAACGCCGGAACAGGAAGTTTGCAAATATTTGTTATAAATTCAAGCTTTGTTTATTGAGATACATTAGCAAGTTAACTAGTGTTGGCAAATTAATGTGCATTGTATATAATATTTGTTCATGTAACAGTGTAATATAATGTACAAATATGTATACAAATTTAATCAATTGTATTTTTACTGCATGACACAAATGAGATGTTAAATAAATTTAGCATTAACAGAAGTATTATTTAAATAAATGTCTTTTGCAGAGTGGAGAAGATCATTTAAATGTATTGTATCATCCTGAAAACTTCAAGGGACCAATACTGTTTTCATTTCGCTCCAAAGTATTTTTTGGTAAGAAGAAGGCAATGGTTAGAGTGGAAGATGGTGAATGGTCTGAAAAGTTTTCGATAGACGTTGCAGGAAGCGAGGGAGTAGTCGTTTGCAAATACAATGGTCTAATATATCAGGTTATTATACTATCTATAATTTAGTTATGGGCAAAATAATGCGTTTATATTATCTTTTATATAATACAGTTTTATGGAAATAATATTTTTATGTGCGTTCCAGATTGGAGTTCACAATCAGTTGACATATAATTCTTTAACAAAACAGATCACATTTACCCCGTACTATGTACTCATAAATAATTCTAGTCTGTATATTGAGTGTCAAGAAGGAGATCGACCAGCTGATCCCATGATTAAAGTGATTATTAAAGGCTGGAATTGTTTAATTAACAAAGTATATTGTTCATTTCGAACATCTAAATAACATTATACTTATTTATAGATTCCTCCTGGCGAATGTACAGCTCTTTGGCCTCGTTCTGAACATGAACATAAAACCTTAAGAGCTAGAATCGTGGGTGATCCCGAGAAAACAGCTCCTTTTCTTTATACAGAGAGCCACACAACTTTATTAAAACTAAATAATAAGGTATTTTTTATGTGTAAAATAAGGATTCAATCGTTCATCTGTTATTTTAAAATTTATTTCTGATTCCTTTTATCAGTATGGAGGGATTAACGTGGACATACAAATGAGCGAAGGCGGAATTTATATCTCTTTATCTGTTTATACTTATGGGAATGCTCCTGCTTTAATAATCAATCATACTTCTCATACAATCAACTTTTGGGAAAAAGGTTCTTTGAATGTTAGGTACGTTCATTCATAATGAAAATGCTGACCGCGAAATTCAGAATTGTATATTTGATATTTAGAATTATACTTACGATAACTAGCATATTAATTGTTTCACAGATCTGTACAGTCATATAATAAGATGTTCTATACTTGGGAAAATCCGGCAGGACAGCGGAAATTGGTTTGGGAAGATATAAGTAAAAAAGAGATTGAGGATACACTTCGAAAGGTAAACATTAAACAATATTTAACATTATGCAGCGACTTAACATTTTTTTTATATTGATGATACTGTGTTTTAGGATACTTTAGGAACTTTCAAGTTACCAGATTTGGAAGAAGAAGTATTTTATGTGTCATTTTTGGATGGTACACAGCGAATACTTCTCTTTACTACAAATTTAAAAATAGCAGAGGATTGCCAATTAGCAGGTGATCTGGAAATTATAGAACAAGATATAACAATAAGTATTCATGGACTTGGCCTGTCGCTTGTTAATAATGTAACCAGATCAGAATTATTATATATGTGTATAGCTAGGTAAATTATTCGTATATACGTATACATGCGTGAAATTATAATTATTAAAGTACTAGTAACTATTTTTATTTTTAGTTCTGGAGTGATATGGGAATCACGAAAATCTGTTAAGCACCTCTGGCGTGGTCTCAGTGCCAGAGAAGTAAATCTTATAGAAGAAGGTTATCAAAATTATATGCTCGAGTTACAAATAGGTAAAGATCCGGCACAGAAAGTAATGCTTGAACCAAAATTAGAGGTAACGTATTATTCTACATTCTTTTTTTTTATAATTATATATATATGTATATTCCGTCAAATTAATTTTAATTTTAGATTGACTATTTTAATATGGAAATGTCTAAACCGCATCGCCGATGTTTACGACGCACTTTCCAAACTGGTTTATGGTTGCAGTATCGAACATCAGCGCATCAAGTGCAATTACATGCAAAGATTAATCGATTACAAATTGATAATCAATTATCGGAGTGTATATTTCCAGTTATATTAGCTCCAGTTCCACTTCCCAAAAGTGTTACACAAAGTACTGGTAAGTCCTGCTAAAGGCATAATATAGTACGGATCACAAGCAAAGATATAAAATATTGTATATGCTTTAATAGTTATGAAACCATTTGCTGAGCTCAGTATGGTCAAACGATTATTAGAACACAGTAATGTGCAACAGTTTAGGTACTTTAAAGTTCTCATACAAGAATTTCACGTAAAAGTGGATATTATGTTTATCAATGCAATAACGGGGTTGTTTGAGACAAATGATGTGAATGACTTGGAAGAGGTAAATTATATTTCTTTTTCTCTTATTATACTTGCGAAGATAGAACATGAAATTATTTTGTTATAGACTAAATTATTTAAATTGGACATGAAATTGGTCGATGAGCCTTTGATGTATCACGTAAGTTTAATTACAACCGCCGAACAGAAAAATTTCTTCGATTTACTTCACTTTTCACCCTTGAAGGTTTGTTTTTTCTCATTTAAATGTGCGTAGATTTTTTTCAACTTACAATTATTATATCATATACATTTTTTTTATTTTTAGATACATATAAGTTTTTCAATGACCGGCAGTAGTAGTGGACCTTCTGCAGTTCCTCAAGTATTAAACGTATTATTACAAGGAATAGGTGTTACGTTAACTGATATTAATGATATTGTTTTCAAGTAATTATCTTTACGATTTAATGCTAAACTATAGTAATAACATTAGACTTTACGTATATATATCTTTTCCCAGATTAGCGTATTTTGAAAGAGAATACATTTTTATGACGCATAAACAGCTTATTTCTGAAGCTACAACACATTATGTAGGACAAGCAATTAAACAGGCGTATGTTCTTGTTTTGGGACTAGATGTAATTGGCAATCCGTATGGACTTGTAGTGGGCACTATGAAAGGTATAGAAGATTTATTTTATGAACCTTTCCAAGGTGCCATACAGGGACCTGGGGAATTTGCGGAGGGATTACTTCTCGGTGTGCGAAGTATGTTAGGTCACACTGTCGGAGGAATGGCAGGAGCAGTTTCTAAGATAACTGGAGCTATGGGTATGCTTTATTGTTTAGTATTGTTTCGTTTCAGCCGTTATATTATGAATGTTGTATCTTTTATTAAAGGCAAAGGTATAGCTGCTCTGACTTTCGATAAAGATTATCAAAGAAAACGGCAAGAACAACTTAACAAACAGCCTGCCAACTTGCAAGAAGGTCTTGCTCGTAGCGGAAAAGGTTTAGTAATGGTAAGAATAAAAAGTAAATACCGAGTGAAAATTTTTGTAATAAAAGAAAAAACAATTGTTGTATATATATATATATTTATATTTGTAGGGTGTAGTCGATGGCGTAACTGGTGTTGTAATGAAACCTATATCAGGTGCTAAAGAGGAAGGGGTAGAAGGATTTTTCAAAGGATTTGGAAAAGGCGTTGTTGGTCTTGTTACCAGACCAACTGCTGGTGTTATAGATTTTGCTAGTGGTTCATTTGGCGCCGTGAAACGGTGAAAAAAAAATATTTTACGTTACTAGGTAAAGAAAATATTTGAAATAATTGGGATTTAATTTTTTATAGTGCTACCGAATTAAATGAAGAAGTAAAGAAAGTAAGACCGCCTAGATTTTTACAACCGGATAATTTAGTTAGACCATACATACGAGAAGAAGCTGAGGGACATAAAATTTTAAATGTAAGAAATTCAAAATCTTAACATCATTATATCGATTAAGCTTATTGGATGATTCTTTTTTTTTATAGGAATTGGAAAAAGGAAAATACGCCAACACTGATATTTATTTTTACCATACTTACGTTAATAAGGATGTGTTATTACTTACCGACAAAAGAATAACATACATCGAACATAGTGACTTATTTGGTGGATGGCGGGTATGTAATCTGTTAATATATGATTTTTATAGACAGCACTTTTTAATATCATAATTATATTAACTGATATAGGTGGATTGGGCTCATACATGGCAAGAAATGAGTGAATCGCCGAAGATTGTCGATAAAGGAGTTCAAATATTTATCAAAGATGGTTCTAAAAAGAAAAAATTAGGAAGCTTATTTGGTAGCGCAGATCAGTCAAAAATAATTTTAATATACGATTACAATACGAGACAGGTAAGTTGGTTAAACATATTGAAAATAAACAATTATTAATTTAGATTAAAGGAAATAATTAAATGTTTTATAATCTCCACAGCTTTTATACAATAAGATTCAAGAGCAAATTAATCAATCCGGATTATAATGATACCAAAAATAAAAGTACTAAATACAGATAATATGCATATGATATGATATTTAAAACAGTTCATTAAACTAATAGTGCCTAGCATTTTAAACTTACACTAAGCTTTGCAAGCTGTTTTTTCATTACAAATATTTTCTATGGACACTATTCACAAGACTGATGTTCAATCAGAATCAACCGAAATTAGAAGAGATTCGATATGTAGTTTCATGTGTATTATGATCTGATTTGGACTTTAAAGTTACATCTTTTATGTTTTGTTATTATTTTTGTCATGGAATACGCTACTTTTAATATTTTTAAATATTGTAAGTTTGCGTTCATCATTAATACGTTATCATGACAATCCTAGTTTCATAAATACAGAATAAGGTAGTATAATATTTATGCATCCAATCAAATTTATAACTTTTAACAGTTTGCTGTTATTGTATAGTGAGATCATATTTTTATACTATTTGTTGATATATTAAGGATTAATTTGATATATACATATAGTTAAACATGCAAAGATGCAAACTTAAACGCACATTTTATATTCAAGTAAACTTTTATATGTACTTGTATAACTGTTGTTGTTATACACATACATATAGAATGTTTCTACGTATTTTTGTTAAGTATTCTTTACTGAATTAGACATTATACGTCACTTTTTTGTATAGCTCTTTTACACATTACTTACGTTACATTTTATATAAAACTGTTATATCTCCAAACGTTTGATAATTTAATTACGAATTAAGATCAATACGACATTACCAAATCTTAGAAACATTCTGTGTGTTTGTTAATAATGCACATTTTTTGTTAAAAAAACAGTTATACAATTAACCGTATAATTGAAGCGGTAGAAAATGAGAAACTCCAAAGATATTTGCTACATCTTCCACCATTTATAAGACACGTTATTATATAATTCAAATTATCTTTAAAATAATATGCTATCGTTACGTTATTGTTAAAGAGAGATATATGCATATTATTATATATTTACTTGTATAAAGGATGTATATTATAACGAATGAATTAAACAAATTTTCGCTTTCTACGTTCTTCTTCTTTTTTTTATTTAGATATTACATTTCTGTAGTGCATTCAGTTGTTTATATATATGTAAATGAATAATTTGACATTTTATGTACACCTCGATGTTGTACCATTTTATAGTTTCAAGAAACCAAGGAACACATATAAAATATAAAGTAAAAACATCAATTTATATATCTCATGCAGGAATATTCCTTTTAAGTATAAAGTTACATCTGAACACTTTAAATTGATAGTATATATATTTTTGGGAGTACCATTACTGATACATTTACCCAATGCAAGTGGATCAACGAACACAGAAGTTTGCACAAGGTCCTCCTCAGTTGCCTCGTTTATATAAAGGGCAAGAAATTAGAACAGTGAGTAATACAAAATTGTACCAATATTATGGTGCTTCAAATATTTATTACAATACGCAAGTAATTTAATTTGAAAAAGTTCTTTTATTGCTAGGGACCATATACTACCGTAGTTACTGATCAGATGGTAGCACAAAGAGAACGAGAAAATCAAGAATTGTATAATACTTGGCTCGAACTTCAAAGAAGAAGAGAAATGGACCCAGATGATGAAGATTCAGATTATGTTGGCGATTTTAAGCAGAATATAGTGAGACGAAATTTCATTAGGAAAGTTTTCTGTATTTTAACGCTCCAGTTATTATTTACGACTGGGGTTATAGCTGTCTTTCTGTTTGTGTTAGTATTAAAAATTAGTAACACTATAATACAATTTTTTTATCAGATCTTTATTATAGCGAAATATTTTATTTTTCTCGTAGGGATGCTGCAAAAAAATTTATGATAGTCAATTGGTATTTGTGGATAATAGCCATGTACGTAGTAAGCTATAGCTTCTTGCAAATGCTAATATATAAATAACTTTGTTCATTATTTAATTAGGATGTGCTTTACTATTTCTTATTGCGCCGTGTCCTTTTCTGAACGTGCTAGACGTAAAACACCTTACAACTACATATGGCTATGCAAATTGGTAAAATTTTAAACGTAATTGTTCTTATAATGTATTGTTTAATGAGGAAATATTAAATATTATTCTTCTTAGACATTAGCAATGTCATATCTAGTTGCTTTTGCATCTGTTTTTTACGAGGTTGAAATAATTTTTTTGGCATTTGGTATGACAACATTGATTACCTTAGGAATAGGTCTTATTGCAACATTTTCAAAGGTATTTTCTCGCTGGTAAATTTTTATTTAATGCGTAAAAGTTAAAAGTATTGTAAATAATATGTTATAATTTTTCAGTTTGATTTAACAATGAGAAGCGGACTTATGATGATAATTGGATTGGCTTCTATAGTTGCCATTTTTGTGATGATGATAGTTCTGATGTTTACCCATATAAAAGTATTACATATAGTAATTTCAATAATAGGAATGCTGCTATTGTCAATGGTTAATATAAAATTAATATATTTCCCAAGAAAAATGTTTACTTTGATTACGCTATATTTCTTTTTTAAATGTACTTGGCAGATAATAATTTTAAGTTCCGTTATCTCTTTTAGTATCTGTATTTTGATGTGCAAACAATTATGGGTGGAAGAAGAATAGAAATACATCCTGAAGAGGTAATATTTGCAACTGTGCAAATCTATGTTGACATTGTCCTCTTATATCAATATGTATTAATGTTTATGGGCTTAATTCATCACCAATAGATATTTCAAATAAAAGCACTTACTGGCAATTCATTATTAAATATGAGTAGCATGCGCGAGTGGCGCGCAGGAGGAATATACACGATAATGAGTATGCAAAATCGTTAATTACTTACTTTCTGAACACAGCCTATGCACTTTTATTATAACAGAATGTTCAGTGATCCCTCAGCTACTTTCTCGTATCATATTTGTTCAGATTTTTAATGAAATTAATTAGTTATTAACTAATAACCCAAGGCCACCCACGGTGACAAGCGGTATACACGAGGTCATCTTGAATAATTAATTACACGTTTTGTGGATATATTTTGTGAACTTTTATGATTGAAGAATGGTCAACAATGCATTATTTACATGGTTCGATCATAAAAATTCGTAAATAATGTTCGGGTAATGAGTAATTAAGTATTTTGTGTTAGCATTGCGATACGTACATGAGCCGCCTATGTCAATTCTACTGCGCATGTAAATTGCAATATTTCGGCACTTTAACGACGTAGTATGGATCCTGAGGCATTTAGAAACAAATTTCTATTAGGGTTTGATGCGTTTTGATGCCTAATAAAGCCAGAAAATCAATTTTTGTCGAATTCGGCCCAAAACGGTACAGATGGCGCCATCTAGCGGCGAGCGGCGGAACTACGAAAAACTAAAATTTCGATTTTCTCGAAAACTAAGGACTTTTCCGAAATTCTGAGATATACGAATTGTTCCTTGTTGCCTGCGGAATCGAACGAATATAATTAAAGCCTGCTAGGACCATTATTAAAGAAAATAGAAAAATAGCCCATTTCATGGACTAAAAAATTGCCGTCCATCTAGCGGT